AAAAAAAAAAAAAGCTGCTCCTAAAAAACAAAAAATGGGCTTCGCCGGGAATTGAACCCGGGACCTCCCGCACCCTAAGCGGGAATTATACCACTAAACCACGAAACCCTGTTGTGGTTTGTGGACCACTACTATCATTTCATTCATACCATAGTTGTAAGCATAATATATAGATTAATCAAAGTTCACTACACTTGTCACTACAGTAGTGAGAAGATATACCATTAAAGTTGATGTGTCGAGACAAAGAAAAATTTTCTTGTATAAGAATAACATAAAACTTTTGGCGGTTCGCATATATCCGCTCCTGCCGCATCTAATTTTCCAAGTTCCGGAAATTTCAATCTTTGAGGTTACGCTTCAACCGTGTGCAAATACATGAAATCATAGGGATCAAGCCGTGATGTCAACATGATTCAAAGAGATGAATTTATATGATATACAATGCTAGTTTTATGAGGGAAAATCAAAATGCAGAATGATAACTGTATAATACATTTTGTTTTTGTTTTAGCTAACTAAAACCGCAAGATCACTGGGTAGTAAACACCCAGCGAGTGCCAACAAGTTTTTGCTCTATTTCAACTGGCGGCAATGGCCAACCTTTAGGACCAAAGCTTGGAACAACCCACGACTTTTTCACAGTCTTCTTTTCGTTCATGAACTTGGCAACTGGGAATTCTAGAGGCTTTCCGTACGTACACATTGATTTACCAATTTTAGCAAGCCATTTTGGTTCCACTTTTGTCACGCCTTTCAACCACACTTTACTGCTCTTGAACTGCTCGTTGTACGCAACGAAAAGAGGGGCTGGCTGATGGTAAAGGACGGAAGATGGGTGTATAAATACATCTTCGTCGCTCCACATGACTCTGTACGGGACACCTCGTGTGCTCTTGAACTTGCTGCCTTCGCTTCCGCCGCTTTCAATATAATCCTTGCGTACAGCAATAGAGTCAATAAAACCTGCGGTAAGGATCTGTCGCAGAACTTTAAGTTGTAGTGTAGATGGTGGTTGCATTTTAGGGTCGATCGAGACATCGACTCCGTCGCAATTGGCCACAACCAAGTTAGTCAATTGTCTACGAAGTTTTCTTATTTCCTCCATCGCCTAAACAGAAAATGGCTTAGTCAAAAAGTTGGAGGTTGCTTTGTATTTGTAGACCGTTAATCTTACCTTGGGACGAACAAAATTCGCCTCGCAAAAGCTTTGGGTTGCACCAGCATATTCATAGGCACCAACTATGTTGAGTAACTTTATGATGTCGCTTGTAGGATCCAATCCGGCATGTTTCTGTTACAAGTGCACAGTTAGGAGCGACTCAATAGCAACGCGTTGACCAAGCCAGACTACTTACCATTTGGGTTTGGTAATATTTACTTCTTGTCAACTTTCTGCGCTCCTTCTCAGCAACGCTTTCGTTACGAATGTTGTGAAGTTCCATTTTCTTCACATCCGTGGTACCATTTTCATCGTCGCTATCGCTTTCCTCGTCTGCAAGGTCATTCAGGTCGCTATCTCTTAAGACTGGATCTCCGACAGAAAGAGCAGAGACAATGGCGATCACAAAAGGCAAGCATCCATGCTGTTGGCCGATGATGAGCATCTTGGCAAATTTCGGGATGATAGGGAAAGTGGCCATTGATCTTCCTAAATCAGTGATGCGTTTCTGATCACGATCGATTGCTCCCAGATGTGTCAAGATCTAGAAGGATTGCAACCAATGTGTCAGCCACTGAGTACCTATACATCACGGCAGTTATATAATTGTTTTAAACTCGAGGTACCTTTTCAGCTTTGATCAAATTGGGCTTTGGTGGAGGTGTGGGAAATGGAAAGTTCACCACGTTATCAATATACATTGATTTCATTGAAAGGATGACACCTAGCGAGAAGCCATTTAGTAAAGTATAGCGAAGCTGAGCGATATCATCTAGTATCATAATTACCTTCGATAGGCATGCGATTAATTTCAGGAACAGAAAATTGTGGAAAGTAATTGTCGAAGACCGCGGAGGAGTAAAGTCGATAGCAGTGGCCAGGTCCTGTTCTACCAGCACGACCTGCGCGCTGATCCGCAGATGCCTTTGATGTCCAGTCCACGTCGAATGATTGAATGCCGGTGCCCAAATTATACTGCCTCTGTTATGGTAACGAAAACGGGTCAGTGTATGCAAACCCTTCCATCAGCCGTTACCACGCATCCTAGTACATACCTCTTTCACTTTGCCTGCATCAACAACATATCGAATGCCAGGAATAGTAACAGATGTTTCTGCTACATTAGTAGCAACAATACATAGGCGAGTTCCTTCAGGTGGATCTTCAAACACTCGCATCTGAGCATCAGTGGGGAGCAAGGAATACAACGGAAGAACGTGCAAGGGAGCTGGACAAGGGTTGATTAGATCGTGTCATTATACAGGCCGGTCAATAAATCCAACCTACCATCAGTGTCTTCCTCTTCATTTGGCACGTCATCTTCGCCATAAAATCCAAGCTCATCGTCGCTATCGTCTTCTTCGTCACTATCAGGTAGCTCAAAGTCTTCAATTTGATCTGCAGAGTCACCCAGCTCAATCTCCTCAGCTTCAACATCCTCTGCAATAAAAATGAATTAATCTAGATATCGTACATCATAACAATATTTTATGAACCTTACCGTTACGTGCTGAAACTGTTTCTATACGAGACTCTGCTTCAATCGAGGCTTTTTCTTTTGCAACATCTATTTTCGAAGCACGCTTTGGCAGCGTAGGAAATCGCTGACGAAGCTTTTTACAAAGATTAACGATCTCTTGCTGTCCGGTTAAAAAGACAAGGATTCCTAAAGACCTCAATTAGAATCGTTGTATGCAAATGACGGGATTAAGAAGCCATCTAACCTCCTGGTGGCAATCTCTTGTGAATCTTGCCAATTTTCTTATAGGCTTCGTCAACATAGTCAACTTCTGGTGTGCGCTTATTAAAGTGAATAGATACCTATAGCATCTGTGAGTCAGAGAGGGTCCGTGGTAAAGGCGGTCAAATCAGGTCCATTTTACTTACTGGATATTGTCTGGCATCAACTTTAATAACAGGCGGTGGGTTGTCAAACAAAGACTTGTTTTGAGTGAAATCAGTGACTCTAAGCGTTGCTGACATGATGACTACGCGAAGTGGCTAAAAATGTCTCTGGTTAATCTATCTCCTAATCGTACACGTTGTCACGATTGCATACACCCAAAACATCAACATACCTTTATCTTCTCGCGATCTTGTTTACTCAAATTGGCTCTCAGTTTAAGAACTCGACTTATGACACCAATCAAGATATCAGTGTTCAAATTTCTTTCATGGGCTTCATCAATAATGAGAACGGAGTATTTTGTAAGCAGAAAATCTGCCGCTAGTTCTCTCAGAAGGACACCATCAGTCATGAATTTGATCCTTGTGTTTTTGCTGGTGGTTGTATCATAACGAATCTGATAACTAACTTCATCGGTGACGTTCAGTTCATGCGAAACACGACTGGCCATGCTGACAGCAGCGACACGGCGTGGTTGGGTAACACCAATGAGGCCAGGATTGACTATAGAAATCGAGTGAGACTAGCAGTTAAGGCAACCAAAGAAAAAAATAAAGGCTTACCGCTATCTGGGTGAGAAAATCCTGCTTCATACAAAAACTGTGGAACTTGTGTTGTTTTACCAGATCCAGTCTCACCACAAATGATAACCACAGTGTTATTTCTGATGGCTTCCATTATAACTTGCTCTTCACCACACACCGGAAGCTTCAGTCTTGCTGCTTGGATTTCTGGCTTACGCTTGACAGAGACATAGAAAGGCTTGTAGTCATCGTGGCTCAGGTCTCCGCCTCTATTGCGCTCTAACAACAGCTTTTTGATTTCATCGTCTTCCTCAACAACTCGAAGTGTGACTGGTTCCTTTACACCTTTTACTGCCTCTACAGCTTGTTCCAACGCAGTCGGGCCATTGTCTATATCTTCTTCGGCTTTGCTCTTGGGCTTCATGGCAGGTTCGCTATCGCTCATGGCGTCGTACTCTGAGTCGGAACTATCGAAAGAAGAATCGGTATCGTCTGCTTTTGACGGCCTATGCTTCTTGCGAACTGCTTCTGGAATAGTCGACTACAAATATGAAAAAGGAATTGGTCAATTTTATGAGAGAACGGCGGATTGTAAACCTTTTGAGAGAAAGAAACCCACCTTCTTCTTCTTACGCTTCCTCTTGACGAGCTCAACAGAATGACCATCTACTGACTGTTTTAAGGCACCACCAATTACTACAGGAGTTTGAGTGTCCTGAGGCACTTTAGCTGTTATTGCGGTTGTGGTTGTTTCCACTGGCTGTATGTTGGCTTCTGTCAATGCAGTGGACTGTTCAACTGATATATCACCAACATCAGCTTCTTCTTCTACCGTCGCTTTTTTTCCTTTCTTCTTCTTCTTTGATCCACTGACAATTTCAACATGCTCGGGAACAACGAAGTTTGCTACATCTCCATGCTCGGACTCAACAAGGAGTCGTATATCTGAGTTGTCGTTGTGTATGCCAGCCTTTTCTTCATTGAGTGCTCTTCGAAGCTTTTCTCGCATAGTTTCTTTGTTTTGACCAAGTTTGCGGGATGAAAGTAAAAGATCTGACGACCATGCAGACGACCTAAATAAATGTCAGCAAATGGATCGGAATTTGTTGACACAACAAATGAGTACATACGAAAGTTTTTCGAGCAAACCTGCTCTAGCGTCTTTCTTCAGCTTTTGCTCCTGTTGACGTACACAAGTCAGAATTTGCGCTTAAGAGTAGATCAAAGATAAATTCGCACTTACAATGTATTTATCCAGCCTCTTCTTCTTCTTTGACGACATCTTGACCACTGGAGCCTGAAGCCATAAAAGTTAGAGTTGTGCCCAAAATGAAAAGACATCCAGGAAAGAACATACCTCAGCTTCACTGGATTCATCTTTTTGCTTTGGTACATATATAAGAGAGTTTGTGTCCTCACTATTTGAAGAAAGGTTAGCTAGCTATTGAGTGGTTTGTTGAAGGTATACCTATCCCTTACATTTCAGATTTACGGTTACTACTAGTACTGGCTGTGGAATTGTCTTTTTCTTCAAAGGCAGTGGTGCTCATGCCACCATTCCTAGCTCTAGGATGAGGCTTTTGAGTTGGTTTTTTAGAAGAGCTTCTAGCCTTCTCATTATAGCGTGGTCGAGCTCGTCCCATGATCAAATGGCAGCTGAAAAGTGATCTCGGCCTTGCAAGAAAAGATCAAAAAAAACTCGCATTTGAAGTCCACCTTAATTTCAACAGTCACGCCCAAATGTTCCTCCTCAAATTGATCAAACTAACTGGCTGGCAGGCCATGGTTTATTTCTTTTGCCTTTCGCTAAGAATATCACGAAATCCAGATATAATTTCATTTTCTCTCTTAAGCCTCTGCTCGGATGCATGAGTGAGAAGTAAACGCTTTTCTTCGGCTGAAATGACTTGGTTTTCCTTTCTCATACGCACTGCGTTCATACGTTGATGACTATTGGGGAGTGAATTGTGTTAAACATATAAAGACTTGGTGTGTAGAAAAAATTAATCTCATTAGCCAAGATACTTACCGACTACCGCTCATGACAAAACCGGCAGATTCAAAAGATTCAATCTGATCGCTTTTGAGTCCAATTTCACCACGTCGAGGAATACGTTTGCCTTCCTGAACATATGCCGCCATGGCTGAACCTTCACCGGGTAGAAGTGCTCCTCCATATGCCCTCTCTTTCAAATGGTCGTCGTGTGCTGTTACAGGTAGAGGACCTACAGGTGCAGAATCATCCACCATCTCAACTGAATACAAATATACAGGATCTGAAGTTAGTATGATCTTCGGTCGTTTTCCTTAACTGTGAAAGAAGCGTACCTTGTTTCTCAACCCATAGATCCGGGACAGCATCCAATTGAGTCTCATCTACTTCAAGTACTCTATCTTTATCGTTTGATGCAGATTTTTCTGATCGACTACCATCTTCGCTCGCAGACTCGTCAGTCGGTGTTAATGATCGTCTGTGTTTCCTTCGACTACTGCTACTAGATTTTTTATGTTTGCTACTCTTTCTTTTCTTGTGGCTAGACTTTTTGGACTTTCTTCGTCGGCTCTTGTCGTCTTCAGATGCTGAATTATCATCTGAATCGTCAGAATAGCGAGCAGAGCGTCGAGAGCGCTTCGATTTTTTACCAGTATCGGAAGTTGGACTTGGTGATCTAGGTCGTAATTCTGGAGATGGCACCCAAAATGTCACAGTAGCCTCCTCGCGAGTTCTCCTACGACTTTAAAGCAAATAAATTCAGAACATTGTGACAACAGTGAGCAGTGGGAAGCTATTCTTACTATTCAAATGTGTCTTCACTAGGTCCACCGCGGTTGAAATCCCTTCGTCTACGACGATCTTCATAGGGTGACCGAGACCGTGAGCGCGAAGGTGTACGTGAACGCGATCTAGAGTGTGTCCTTCCACGTCGACGGTATGATTGGCGGTCTGGGCTATAGTCACGGTAGCTTCGTCGTGGGCTGCGAGATCTTGATCGGTATGACATTTGGGAAAGGAGCAACAAGCTGACCAATAGCAGTCACCAACCGGAAGCTTCAGCCTTTAAAGGCTGACGGGTAACACGTCCCTGTTTCCTATGCCCTTGCCAATTTCTCTGGAATGGAAGCCTTACGAACTGTAATAGCTCGGCTATTCTCGGACATTCAGGATGTTCCTACTGAGGTAATTCGATACCAAGTTACATAAATATAAGACTGCTCGGCATAAACTATGATTAACTTGAAAATGAAAATTAGGACGTCGATTCCGCTGACAAGCTCGGAAATTCATACTACGGGTACGAAGCACACTAACTCATATTTCCATCCACTTCATTACATGATACTGACGAAAAACACAATAGCTTGTTCAATTCCAACCCTGCAAAAAGGCAAAGATTGCACTTACTACACCCGACTGGCGGTGCTCATGGTCTTAAGTACCAAAGCGGCCTCATTTCCTCAAGGAGTGAGTACGCCATACTTGCTAGTGAGTTTGTCAGGGCATGTCAGACGGGAAGCATGGTAAGTATCTCCTGTGTTGCTATCATGTGTCAACGGGCTCTAATTATGTGTATCGCAGGCTGAACAATTGAAAATCCTAATGATAAAATATCGTGAACCTCCGTTGACGGTAGTCAAAACGTCGCATCTTCTCACGTTTTTACACCACTTATTGATCTTGGTTCCTATCACATCCACGCCAAATGTTCCCACCTTTCCATTATCGCAACTTTTTGAAGATCTTGGAATGACATTAACCCTGCGGCCTACACAGCAATTTCCTTTTGCATATCAAATTTGGATAATGAATCTTCAGTTCATGCTTTCTTGTATCAAAGAAGTCGCACCTCAGGCACTTTATAATGCTGGTATTACTACACCGGTGGTCTTGGGGATCATAAAACATGTTTTGCTAGAGTTGACCAGACTTCCAATCGAGGTCAATTCCATTCAACAAAAATGTTTTGATATGGGTAAAGAGTTATTGGATACATTCCTGTTGAAGGATACTCAAAGCGAAAGGTCTACGACGTCGACCGGATCCAAGCCAATTGTCATACCAAAGGTGTCATATTACGATATCATATTTTCGGTAAGTGGATTAACATAATAACTAAATGAAAATGCTGTAATTATCGACTGACAAAAGCATAACAGTTCCCAGAGCTGTATGGCCACTTCTTACATGGATCGATGATGCCTATTCGAAACGAATCAGCACCTTCTGCATACCCACAGCCTTCAATCGTCAATTATCGTATATGGCAGGCAACACTCCAATATATGATTGCATCCATACGCCAGGACGTTAAACTTCTCGATCGCATACCAACCTTGATGGCCATCAATATCATAAAGCATGTTCTGCGGGAAATCAATACTCTACCAGCTGATCTCAGCAAATCCGAATCACGCTGCCTCAATAGCGGAAAAGAGTTGATCAACTTATTGTTATTAGGACCCCATGGTGACGGTGCAGGTGTTGTATCTCACTACGACATCATCGTGGCTCTCCCCGATGTTTATGGTCACTTTCTACGGGGAACTTTTGCTCAAAGCGTTCATTGGACCATGGAAAAATTTATCAATGAGCTTGGAAAACGTAGAAGACATTTAGCATTTTTGATGATGCCACCCGATGCTTCATGGCCACTTATTTCTCAAATGAGTCGAAGACATGAATACAATGACTTGACTACAAGAACAAGTTACCATATGTTTGAAGGAGATCTGATTGAATTTGTCAAAGAGGGTAATTCCACTGGCATCGAAACACACTTCCGCGATATGCTGTTCCAAAGAGCATCCATGGATGAGTTCAGGCAACTGACCAAATCTCTCACCATCACTGGATTGGACACTAGTCAAGTGCGAAAAGCGATGATCACAAAGATACGTGATGTTATTAGATGCATTCAGCAAAACAGCGATTTTGAACGTAGACAGGAATCCTCAAAAGAACGTGAGCCATACAACCCTGCCACCAACGTTCGCGGGGAAGATATCACAATGCTCATTCCGGATAATATTGACCTTTGGGAGCTTATGATGGAGACTGCGGATCAATTGTACAGCTTTGTCACCGCCGAATTTTTCACCTATGAAGATATTTTGCAAGATTTCTATGATTTGGTCTATCAATATGATGGAAAGCCATACCCAATTGGAACAAAACATCAAATGATGAAGGACAATTCTCTCATATGGCTTTTACTTCAGTTGTTTCACATTGAAAAAATTGGTTCAAGTGTGATTCAGAAAGATTTCGAAGGCGATGAACGCCTATTCGACAAACTGGTTCGTTTGTACAATGAGGAGCAAATTTTGACCAAAGGCGCCTTCTCTCTTCGAGATTTAGCACTACAATGTGCTATCAACCATCAGCAAGTGAATATCAAAGATCGAACTAATATCAAGCAACGACACCCTCGAGTTGCTGCAGCCTTACAATATGCGGGGTTATGCTATCAAGTTCAAGCTTACTTTAGCAATCACTACTATAGCAAAGCTACAGATCCAACGGTCTTCTGCAATTTGTCCATGCAAGAGGTCATGAAGGTTGCCATGGAGAGTCAGCTGAGACAGAATCTAGTAGCGAATACGTTGTATGTGTATCTGGTACCAAACAAGGTAGAGATAGGTACCTTGGGGTATCCAAAGGCAACATTTCTCAAAGGTGGCACCCTAGGTTACAAGCTTTTGGACTTTCTAAACGTCAGCGCTAAACATCGCTTGCTGCAGTTGATTTACAAGATGATGCTTGATACCGAAGCTGGTCCTCGTTATCAGGCTGCTTCGTCAAGTAATATAACGTGCGTCTCTCCTCATGTGTTGGATGTGGTATACAAGCTCTTATATAGCGCACCATGCTCAGCCGAGCTTATGATCAAAGAGATTTTCGACAAATTACGTCGCTGCGACAAGCTCATCAAAACGCGTTACGAGTCGAAACCAGAAGCAGAGTCACTGCTACCTGATCACACTGTGCGATGGCTACACACCATCCTACAACTTCTTAACCACAGGTTTTTGCGGTTTTTGAAACACTCCTCATTGTCATCTGGACTATTACACTATATCCGCTACTCACTATCATATCTGGACCATCGCCAAGTCTATCAAGTTTTGGAGTCATTTGCGATCAATATTATGCGAATGCAGAGTGATGCAAAGGTGTTGAGATCACTGGACGACCCTAATCGAGAAAAACCAATTTGGTTTGCAGAATCTGAAATGCTTGCTCGTAGCATGGTTTCTAGCATTGTTCGATTGATCAAAACAAGAGGTCAAGCTGATATTAGAACGGAGCAGATTCATAGAGTGCTTTCCAACTTGTACGAATATCGCATAGAGTGGTCTGAAGAAGCACTCAAATTCTTTCCACCAGCGGTTCGATCATTTTATACAGATCCTAATTCCAACAATCATAATATACCATTACGACCTCAAGTGACTTATGCCAAGATTCAGCAAATGATTCAGACCAACAAGGCATACATGGCGTTTTTACTTCAGGGTTCAAATGAGAAAGAGCGAGCAATCAAGCATTTCTTTTCTGTATTGGAGAATCAATCTAGTTTACTTCCAATGATCTGGACATTGGCCCTCATGAGAATGTCTACTGATGCTTTTCATATGCCATCGGTTCGAAAAGCGATGTTATGTATACCGGCATCACGTATCGCAACTCATACCATTGACCTTGTCGATTTTATACTATCAAAGGAAGCTCCACAAGGTGACATACAAGTTAACTACAAGTGCCTCGATGCAATGATTTGGAAGCACCAATGGATCAGCTTTACGCATGTGGTGTTTGCGCTTGTCAAGGGAAGTGGAAACGCAGAAAGATCGGAAAAGGCTTTCCAGTACTTGGAATATCTCTTATTAGAATCGCCTGAATTCTCACGACGAGTCGAGAAATTTACCTCCCTACAGTTCAGCTCTAAATACTGGGCGGAAGATAACTATCATGAGAAGCTGATGACATATTTGGCGCAATTTCCTGAGTATTCTGAATTTGAAGCATATGGAATGAAGGATTTCGAGCAAACTCAGCATATGGATCCACCAACCTCACCGCCTATGCCAATATACTTTACAAACGTGGTCCTGCGCTTTATACCCTTCTTCGATGTGATAGTTAGTCGTCTTATAGAGTATGAGCAGCCTGATTTACTTGCACGCATACTTGACAAACACGGCCATCTCTTCCAATATCACCATTACCCGCTATCCTTCATCTGCAATTTGTTCCTAGACCATTATTCATCACCCACACTGCACCAGCCATACATCAAAAAGAGATTATTACGCCTTCTTGGTAAGTAGTTTGATTTGTTAGGATACCAAAGTATGAATATGTACTAAACCTACCCTCCAGACTTTACTCAGTACGAGTTCTTGCCTGAAGCTATTACCTACGCGACAGACGAGATGGTAGGCACAGAAGTTTTCGGAGCAAGATATTTTGAATCGGTGTTTCACAAGCTTGCCGATAGTAAGTACATGTTGAGGAATTGGACTAAGATGAATTCAGTGATCTAAAGATACATTTTCCGTCTTCACTTTTTGTTAGATCTTTCACCTCAAAAATGCGCACCAAAGGCGACACCAAATTTACCAGAAAGGCACTTTAGAGAAATTGGGAGTCCCGCTGTGCAAGGTATCCACGTGGCACTGTTAGAGGTTCTTCTCACGCCAACGCCCCCAGAGACAGTTTGCAAATACATACTAGATCTCGCGTTGTTTAGAGGTGACAGACATATTGGTGTGCAGGCATTGACGATTCATGCGATTGGATTGCTCATTTCTGCGTTACCGATTGAGGAGTACCTGCAACCTATATGGGATGAACTCATGAGTCTGATAACGGGCGATCAGTACTTGACCGAAATCTCAGAACCCTGCCGACTGGTGAGTATACAGGGTCATAGTGTGAATAGGTTGATTATTTATATGGTGCTGACATTCCTCTCCACATGCAAGATTCGATGTGGTATCCCTCAAAATCTCGATAGCGAGACTGTACAGCCGCAACCACTAAGCGACGTTACAAACACAGCTATATTGAAAAACTCTATCAGTGTTCGACTCTCTAAAGCCATGGTGTTTCCCTACATATTCAACGACTACACCTTCAATGTTCACAACTATAGTACCAATGCGGCCAATAGTTTCCTAACATTATTCCATAGTGTTCTGCACTACTCAAGTCTGGATATTTTTGATCATCTGCTAGAGTTCTTAAGGCGCTTACGAAAAGAACACTCATTGAAGACGGATGTGCAGCTTTTGTATATTTGTGCTATGCTTGGTCCAATCCTTCATCGAACCGAAAAACTGAATAATACCGATGCTGTTCACACAGATGCTGATGTAAGTGAAAATAGTGATGATTTATAATTGGATAGAAACATCTTTTAGTTATAACCACATTGTAGATACTTATTGAGCTAATGCATATGGTCAAACAAGTTTCAATTCGGATGGATATGAAGGACGGTTGGACAACGCAAGCGCAGGAACAAGTCTTTGATTTCTTGTAAGTGCATGCGCGACTGGACATCGTGATTTTATTTTTCTTGCTTTTTTTCAAACACATATTCATCTTTTTTTCTTCAATATGCAGACATCATATACGAGCGCAATTTGTAAAGTCGCCAGAACTTGCTGCTCAGATTTCGGATATCATAAAGTCAATGAACGCTCCTATCGCACAGAGGCTATCGCGCCTCGTGATGTGATTCTCAACATGCCTCACGTCTTAAATTGGTGATCCGAGTGATATCATTATGATTCCTATAAACCCAAGGTAGCCATAATCAGCAATAAAACAAAAAATAATCATCATAATTCCCGCCCGTAACAACTTCTTTCACATAAGTTTTTGCTTTGAATAACCTCTCAATAACCTAAATACTTTATGCTGCAAGAGCATGATAACCAGTTTGAAGACATAGATTTTGATACTCCGCGACGGCGCTCTTTGCAACTTAACGATAATGAATATGGTAGATTAGTTGATAACCAAACTGACGATGAAGACTACGATGAACAGGCATTATCAACTCTTAAAGCAATTGCCAGAGCAAGAAGGTCTCATGCGAATGAATTGGAGCAAAGAAATGAGATGCTCCAATATATCGCTAGTAAAGAGAGACTTGTCGAAGACCTTCGTGAGCAACTGAGGGCGCATGAAATGGAGCTTTGGCTTTTAAAAGAGAATTGGACACATATAGTGACACAATCATCAAGTTCATCAAGTCCCAGTCCATATTTACATAAGAACAACGAGGAATCTGACAAGATCCGCCATTTTAGCCAGGAAATTGCCAACCACGAGAAGAATGTCGCACCAGAGAACATACCCCGCACAGCCTACGATGGTCTGATATCGGTTTACCAGAATCTTAGAGATACCCTTGAAAATGTGGCTCCAACAGAAAGGTAAGCCGTGCAACGTTGCAGGAGCCTTTGAAAGTCCTCCTAGCAACTCAGCAGTAACGCATATAAATTTTTTTTTTGTGATGCTGATAAGGTGTTGATCTTCTTAGTCTTCAATCGCAAACCAAGCAAACTTTGACCAACTTGAGATCAGCCATAAAAAACACCTATGAAGTGTTATCTGCTCCTATTATAGAAGAAGAAGAGGTGGATTATTTCTCAGCAATGCCCAATGATTCTGTTTTCGGACGGTCACCACTCTTTGTGACCAGCCCATGGTCACAAGGAAACACCATATCTGTCGTACATCCCAGACTGAAAAAGCCTGAACCAATTCGGTCCATGACCAGATAGTGAACCGATGTTAGTTGGAACTCCGTTGGAAGCGCTTTGTAATAAGAATAATAAAACGTCTTATAAAAAGCAATGTATGGGAAAGGGACAAAGTGAAAGAGCGAGCAATCAAGGTTGATGTAGAGCACGGCCATTGCTTTTTGGCGTTTTTCAGCCATGCAACGTGGAAACTGACCACGTTATCTTCATAGTATCACACGTGCCGAAATGCAAATCAAACCTTTTCTCTCAGTCCCACGCGACGAAGCTGCTTTGTTGTACAGCAACATGGCTCCCCACATTTCGGACATTTCTAGTTTCTTATTTTGGCCCGACGCTCCCCATCCTATACATCAAGATCCCCACGCGGCAGCCTTAAAGTAAAACAAATACGCTCTTCTCGGGTTACGTCCTCTTTTCCCCCTTTTCTTACCTTTTAAAACCTGAATGGTCTCTATCTCACATACTATGGAACAAGAACAGCGATTCAAACCTATTCATTTACGCCATCCTACATCATACCATACTGAACATCCAGATGTCTCAAGAGGCCAGCAGCTTCAATATGATAGTCCCGCAGAATCGAGCTTATTGGATATTCAATATCAACGACAACTGCAAGATCTTAATGCTGCTCAACTCTCTGATGCTATTCGTCATCGAAATCGTCTTCATACCCCGGAATATACTGCAACTCCTTCTTCTCCTTCCACAAGCTCCGGTGATCTTTATCTAGATCGTCCTGCTACATTTGCCTCACACATAGAACACCTTCCTAGTGACTTTCAGCCTGTATCTCCTCTGGATGATGACTCTTGGCCATCTGAGCATCATCTCACTCACTTGTTGGGAGGAAGGGATCCGTCTCACCAAGAATTATCCGGCCAAAATATCGATCCGCGGAACCGAGTTTCAAGGTCCCAGCCACCACTGTCTCAGAGTGCTCCCACAACTGATGCTTTCTTTGACTATTCCTTCCCTGCCACTCCCACAAACTCTGTTACCTTACATCCTTCTTCTTATACCGGTTCACCGACTCGCTCTACAGCAATAAGCAATGACCTGGATAACATCAATCTTGGAGAGATGCCAGATGTTTACGGAACAAGCATGGAATCGGCTGCTTCTTCATCATATTCTTTTGGTATACAGACACCTCCTGTAGCTGCTAATGTTCCCAATAATGCCAACGCCGCGGCATCGACAACAACTACTTCTAATTCTACCTATCAGCTCAGCCCCGCTTTCAAGAATGCACAGCCCGCTACACAGACTCAAGCGGAGCTTGCAGAGGTAACTGACCTTCCTACCGAGCCGACTGTACAAAAAACGTAAGTTTTCTTCACGACTGTACTTGATACACAGTGTCATCTCTGATAATCCTATTACTTCATGTTAAACAGAGTCCAAAAGAAATATGAAAGAAGGCGTCGTAGACGCGAATCCCATAATGCTGTAGAGCGTCGTCGAAGAGAACATATCAATGATCGCATACAAGAGCTAGGAGCGTTATTACCTCATTACATGCTTCTTGATTCACCAAGTAGTCCTTTACAATCTGGAGGAGCACCATCCGGTCTTAATCAAGATTTCAGTTTTGTCAATGGCAAACCAAGCAAAGCTACTATTCTGAGCAAAAGCGTGGATCATATCAAAGAACTCAAGTCAGACGCTGAAAGATATCAGCAACGTATTCGAGAATTGGAAGAAGCTCTCCGAGCCTCAAATCAAAGGGAATCTCAATGGAATACCCGGATGATTCGACCATCATCTCGTAGCCCCAATACCCATCTGACACCTTTGCAATACAATCATCAGACAGCAAGTTATACCAGGCATCGTACTCAACGATATCGCCCAAGGTCTCACACTGACCCTCAACCAGCTGGTCAGGCTGCCGTTGCTACCCCCCACCCTCTACCTCAGGATCCGCATAGACACATAGATTTCCATCATGCTCAGAGACATTACTGAGTTCCACGCTAGAATTATCATCTACCTTGTACATTATCTGTAATTTTTTTCCCAATGATTTCCTTTTCCTGCTATCCAAATAAGAGCGCGCTGCCAACACTCTCAAACTATTTTTTTGGAATCTTCACCGCCGTGTGACCTCGTTTGAATGCTGTCTACCATCATGCCTTCACCTAGAGATTCAGATACTTATTCCGATTCAGAATACACGGTAAAGACTATTGCCACATGCTTTGTAAAAAATATCAACTAATGCTAAGGCTGTGTATGGCATTTCAAACAGCACACATCAGAGCACTATGAAGCTCTACTCAAAGGATTTACAAGCATTATGAATTTATATGATAGTCAGGATTCCATACGACTTCAGGATTGGTTTGATTTAATTGAAAATCAAGAACAAGAAAATGGTATTTCACTGCTTTCAGAAAAGCAGAAGCAGGAACTGGCCCCATTCTGTACTGCTAACGCCGACCTGGAACTTGCACCAGAGGACGTGGTGTCTCTCCTGAAAATTGCTGCTCAACAAAGACCTATGGAAGAAAGTCAGGGTATTTTCGCTCACAGAAGAAGAACATCGAAGCTACTGGGTACGCTAGAGCCAAGACAGCGTCGCCGAAAGGAATCGGAACAGGTACCTTAAAGTGTTGCTGGACACGGACAAATCGCACCTTTGTTTGGCTAAACCATATTTTACAGCTCGGTACATTGACTTCGGAAAGCGACCTAGAATCAGACGCACTTGTACCTTCTCAAGAGGAAATAACTTCATACCATAAGCCAGAGACGCGGAAATCAAGCGATAGTGTATCTCAACAGGATACAATGGGCCTTGAAGCATACGACCGGCAAAATGAAGCTCTCACACGGCGCCTTCTGGAAAGAGAAAAGGAGTTAAAAAAATTAGAAGAAGAACAAGAGGATAGAATAGCATATATCTCGCAGCAAGCACAACAACTTGAAAAAGAGATTGCCAGTCGTAAAAAGGAAATCCAGGACTATAAATCTCGTGAACAACAAGCATCTCTACAGATTCAAGAAGTAGGTCAAACTGTTACTTACCAATTACTACACCAAGGGACTGACTTTTGCATGTGTTTATAGCTAGAGACGCAGGTGTCACAACTTGAGCATGAACAAACAATTCAAAAGCGTGATCAAGCCATCACCAAAGCACAACTGGATGAAAAAGCTGGTAGGTGTAAGCAAGCAGAGACGCTTTGACCGGATCTCAACAATAACCTTGATATCGATTAGATGAGCTTCTCAAGCTGAAGGATGTCGTCCAATTGAGGGAATCAGAGCTTGCGAATGATCATGTTGAGCGGGAGACAACTCAAAAAGCATTGCAGACGTTAGTGCAGGAAAAGGAAAGCTTGCTTCAAGAACAGCAGCAATTGGAACAAAAATTGGAAGAGAGTAAAGAGGCATTTGAGCAAGTTTATCAAATTCAGAACGAGAACGAATCACTAAAGCAAACGATTGAGCAAATGAAGCTGGAACTAGATCAGCTGGAAACTGCAAATCAACTACAAGTCGACCTACCCAAAGTCAGTATGGAGCAAATGACCTAAAAAATATTACACTGCCGATTATCTAACAGTTGTTTATCGTTTTTTATAGCAACAAGATAGCTTGCTTGCAGAACTCAAGACTCATGCGTTGGATGATTCAGAGGTTAGTATGTCAATGTCCTTGATCTACAGCCTCTATGCCATTACTAATCCTTTTTCATGATAGTCTTTGGGTGTTGCATCATTTGGGTTAAAAAATGGTACGTGTTTTGTGGTTGCTGTTTTTCCATTTAGCTTGATTGTTCGCGGCAAAGACTAACGCGCTCTTACCTTATTATCATATAGATCAAGATAAGCAGCAGTTCATATCACTGCGAAAGCAAATGATTCTGCAAACAGCACTATTGGAACAATTCAAGTCCAAGCTACTTGTACTTAAGGCCAAGGTTAGTAAAAGGATTTGTCGTCGCGTCATGGCGTTTCATGATGATATTGATAATGTATATTCGCATAACAGGCCGATCAAAAAAGCAACAAACCAAAAAGGTTGTTGACAATACAACATTATCTTGTTGGAATTTTCGCCTACATGCTGTTAGTTTACCTTGTGGCGAAGTGGCTGTCAATTGACATAGATTCAAGTAACGTTTATAACGATTCTGTATATACCCGATCATGGCTTCCTGAACCACTACGGTTCAGTATTGAACAATATTTGTATGGCAATCTGCCTAATCCCGTATAATGTATTACGCTATTTTTTACACTCACATCTTTATCTTTATTAACTATAATTCTGCCCATACCTCCATTACATTATCGTACATTACTGTAAATCTCGACATCACCAATAAACTGAATATGTCCAATTTTATATTTCTGGCATGAATGACTGCTTGAAATTTGGCTGTCGCTATTTGAAAAGAGCATGATATCCACTCTCTCCGACAGACCACGTTAACCCAATGGATCAAATCGTGTATAGACCTTGGGACAACAATGAACCTGATTGGCCAACATTGCCAGATCCATCTCCGGGATCTCCTCAAGATAGAGCCAAGAATCCAACTGGGTTAACAGCTCAGCTTGTTCTCTGCGCTACTATTGGCACATTGTGCTTTCTGCTCTTTTGCTTATTACGAGTCAGGTAAGCTTTCGCTGGCATGCTTAACTTGCCGCGTTTGGTCTGCCCTAAGACACTTCCACTCACGTTTCTCCAATGCATTAATTTTCCCTCAGATGGAACTCCATGTACGCTCCTCGACTTCGAATGAAAAAGTAAGACAAACAACTATTTTGCAATCCAGCTCGACGCAGGTGTTAATTACGAATCTCTTTCAGACATGCACCACAGCGACTACCGGATACCATGTTTGGATGGATTCTTCCTCTTATTCGGATCCCTCATACTGAAGTGTTAGAAAAAGTTGGTTTGGATGCCGTAGTGGTGGGTATTACATCAAGTCACCATTGTGCGCCTATTTCATCATTCATACCTTTCTTTACAGATGCTTCAATTCTTATTGACTGGAGCAAAATTATTCGCTCTCTGTGGTTTCTTTGGTACTGCTGTTCTCATTCCGCTTAACGGCATGAACGGAATCGCAAACACTACGGATCCCATTCATAACGAAACAATGTTGTTTGATCCGTCCGAACCGGCTCCTCCACACAATAGCAACTCCGTTCTTTGGGCATATTTATTCTTTACTTACTTTTTCTGCTTTGCGGCATTTTATTTTACCTTTCGAAACTACCGGGACTACATTCGTATGCGTAGAAAATATGGACTTCAAACAGCTACTACCTTGCCAGCCCGCACAGTTATGGTCACAGGAATCCCTCCCGAGTTGCGATCCGATCGCAAGTTGGCAGAATATTTCGAAAGTCTCGGCCTTGGAGTTGTGGAATCTGTACACGTAGTCAAGCATGTTAGTCAGCTCTCAGAGCTGATCAGAGAAAGGGCAAGATGTTTGCGCAGATTGGAGCTATCTTACGCTAGATATTGGGGAAATCCTTGCAACGATCCTGACTATGACCCAGATGAACTCCTGATGCAAGCGGAACAAAGCGACCATATCAACACCATTGATTTCGCTCCACATCAACCTGAACGTGATCGTCTTCCACTTTTCAAACCTCGGCGTTCTAGACCTACTGTACGAGATGGCATGCTTGGTATTACTGGCAAGAAGGTGGATGCTATTGAATACTACTCTGACCAATTTAATTACTTGGACGACATTGTCATTAAAGCCCGGCGACTAGGAAGATACCCACCATCAACTGTTGGATTTGTTACTTTCGAAAGTGTTATTAGCGCGGTATGTAAATATCGTAAAGGGTCGGTTGGGCAGTTGTAGGTTTACAGATATATGAGACCATTGCAAATGTTCCACTGTATCATGTTGTTTCTCTTTTAACGTTGTGCTTTTAGACAATTGCAGTGCAGACACTTTTACATCCTGGTCCTTTTCTAGTACGTACTCAAGCCGCCCCTGAGCCTCGTGATATTTTATGGAATAATGTCGCCATCCGGGGCCGTGAGCGTCTTATTCGCAAGTCCTTTGTTTATGTCATTTTGCTCTTAATCATCTTCCTTTGGGGTGTCCCGATCGGCTTCTTATCAACTTTCACCAATGTCGAGTCATTGGAGAGATACTTACCATGGTTAGTGGACTTGGCTAATAAGAACAAAATCTTGCAACAAATTGTGTATGGATTCGTACCCACCTTATCCGTAGTCATCTTCATGGCAATTTTACCGGTAGTGTTCAATTGTACGTACACTGTTGACTAACTTATTCGATGTTAATCACATATGCTAATCCATTCGTCACACTATCAGTCCTCAGTGTGATAGAAGGCATTCAATCTCGTAGTGAAGCTGAAGAAGCAACCTTTAGCAAGTGAGTATAATGTATGGTCAAGTCTGAACAATAGCAAGAAACTGATCAAAAATTTCTAGGTACTTCTTCTTTCAACTGTGGAACGTTTTCTTTGTATTCACGGTTGCAAGTACTGTTTTTACCTTGCGAGAGATTATCGAAGACCCAAAGCAAATTCCAAATGTTTTAGCCACGAAACTTCCCCAAGTTGCCCCTTTCTTCGTCAACTATACCATTATACAGGGAATGATGCTGTATGTATCTTTTGTTCTTCAACCATTATTATTTCTACTTCTAACATGTAAACCAACATCTTGAAGGCTGCCCATCCAACTTCTTCAAATTGGCCCTGTTATTGTCCAGCTCTTCCGTCGATGGTTCTTATGCAAGACCCCCCGTGACTATGCTGAAATACTCGCACCAACAATGTATAACTATGGATGGGGCTATCCAATGCCAGTCTTTATATTTATCATAGTTTTAATCTACTCTACTATGTCTCCTCTCATCTTGGTATTTGGGACTATCTACTTTGGTTTGGCTTATCTGGTTCTCAAGTATCAACTTTTATATGGTTCGTGTTACCAACTTTCTATTTCTTGATCTAATAGGCCATATGGTCTGTAGAGCCCTAAGCGCATTCTTAATAACTGAAGGGATGTATAGTTTACTTCCACCCATATGAGGTCGCTGGTCGTGCCTGGCCCATGGTATTCTCAAGAATCATCGTCGGCCTCCTCATTTTTGAGGTGACCTCAGCCGGCATTTTTGCTTTGAAAAGGGCATTTGAACTTTCAGCTCTTTGTGCACCACTCATAATAGTCACCATACTTTTCAAACTTGTTATGGACTCTGCTTATAACCGCAGCTCTCAAGTCATCCCACTTCAAATGTTAACACAAAAGTTTGGTTCGGATCAACTACAATATCCAGCTGCATTGGCAGCTCAGCAACAAAATGGTGAACTCAGTCCATCAGCGGTAGAAGACCCACCAGAGCGAGCTCCAGCGAGAAGGAGGACAGTGCTAGACGATGATGACTACGAAGCAGAACCTGTTGAACAAACAGATTTCAAAGAGCCACCCATGACCTTGTTTGACGGTATACTCAATACTGGTATGAAGCGGTTTGGGCATCCTGTCATTGTCGGTGTCTTGCCTCAATTATGGCTTCCAGTGAAAGGGGGACACCAAATGCAGCGCCGAAGATCACGATACATTCGGCCGTCGGTATCAACAGCTTCACTTCGTATCAAAAGATCATCTTCACGAGCCGTGGCTCAAAATGGAAATGCGGACCAGGTCGGTCAAGGTCTTGCTCAACCGGAATACCAAGAAGAACCTCAGGACATGGAAGCGGATGAAAGGTCAGGTCTGTTATCTAATGGCGAAACTGCCGTACAAGTTGAAGATGAAGCAAACACTTCTGAAAACACCCGTGAAGATTCTGACTATGATACAGAAGAAGACGGCATCAATGCAACGTATTACCATCATCCAGAACGAAGACGTTCTAGAACAGACGTTTTGGCTACTACTGATAATATATCCACAACTCCAACGTAATAATATACCTTAACATTTATTACGTACGTAGTTCCCCCCCCCCCCCGAAATAAATAGCGGGTCAAAGTTTGAGTAAAGTATATCGTAGCTCCTATCTGCTACTTTACGCATGGTGTTATACTTTGGTGTTTGCCATCTTAATGAGTAACAGGTCCGGTGGGGATACATTTGGAAGAGTCATGACCATGCTTGCCATGCTTCGATTTGCCATGCTTTGCTGCCTTTTCTGAAATTTGGTTGAGTACCGGCAAAAGCTCTCCGTTATCCAAGGAAAGTTCCCAAGTCATGACACCTAGCAAGTCCATGCAAACCACATAGTCTACCTTTTCAGCTAATGAAATAGGGTCATCGTATCTGACGGAAAGAGTGAGCAATCATCATGTCAACTGTACACTACATTTTCAATTGTACTTACGAGATAAATTCATTAGTCTCACTATTGGTCAACCACGGTGTTCGTGTGATAGTATCAAATTTGCGAACCCAAGGAGGAATGGCAGTAGTTCGGTTTTTGTATAAGTAAGGAATGATGTCTTGCCAGCCAGTTTCGGTGCTGAAGCCACCTCCATTACAGTTGTGCCCAGTGTTTCCGCCTTGGACCGGATCGTATTCGTGTGTGCCAGCATTTTTCGCCATGGATTTGATGGAAGTCATGTTGTGTCCGTAAAAAGGGGTTCCAACGACGATTTGGTCGATAGGCATACCAGCCTTGTGCCAATCTGTAACACCTTGAACAACACTGGCCTTAACACCGCCAAGGCCCTTAATCATAGGGGCATTTGGACCGGTTGTAAGACCCCTTGAATTTGAAACGTTAGTATTCTTTGGAGAAAAGATGTTTGCTTCAACTGATGAACTTTAGCTGATAAATGATACAGCCGCTACTTACCAAATACCATTGAGATCATAAGACCTGCAAAAAATAAAGCGAACAAAAAAAAATTGTGTTGGTTAGAAAATTGAGAAATTTATCAATATCTATTCCATACTCACATCAGATTAATCCAATCAAACACTTTGGCGAATGCAGAAATGTCCTTGGAAGGCTTTCCGCTCTCATCAAAAAATGGATGCGTTGCTGTAGCTGCGGTAATCAGCTTTTCTTCACCAATGGCAGCTCGCAATTGTTTAAGCACAGTCAAAAAGTTCTTGGTGTCGGAGAGTGCATAGGGTTGACCACAAGCACCGGGCTCTCCTGGGTATTCCTGTCATAGTTATGTCAATATCAGGTTCGTTCACGTTTACAATTACGTGACGCATATTTTACTAACCCAATCAATGTCAACACCATCAATTCCGGTGTCGTCAATAAGCTTTTTGGTAGCCGCTACAAATTTTGCACGACCAGCGCTATTGTTGAAACTGGGAGTGAATCCATTGCCACCTCCCCAGCCGCCGATTGATAGTAACACCTTGGTATCCGCAGCATGTGCAGCAGGTACTAGCTTCTTCAGCGTAGCAGGCGATGATGGGACGCCGTTTTGGATGGTCGAGAAGGCTACAATATGTCAGCAATATTCAAAACCATTCTGATTCATCGTTTTCCTATTTACCATAATTGATGTGTGTGACCTTGCTAAAATCGAGTGTGCTCATATCATCACTCATCCAGTAGCCTACCACAAGCTTTCCATCACTGCCGACAGCGCGAGCAGCAGCCTGAGAAATCAAGACACCGGCGAGAGCAGAGAGAGTCAGCAATTTCATACTTGAGAAGGAAAAGGTGCGAGAAGGAATTAAGAATGTCCCCAACATGGTTTATATGTTTATCGGTACTAATACCTTAATCTATTTGCTCTGCATGCTTGTGGACACAGGACCCGCCGGTCATGCAATTGGGACCCTGAAGTTCGGCACCCCCCCCAAGAATGATTTCCCCGTACTGGTTATCCTGCAAACAATGCCAATAGAAAATGATCTCTACTCTTCGACCCTTCTTACCACTTAACGTTTAGAGCCGAGCGTTTTTTCTTTTCTTTACTGAGAGGCGAAGAAGATATGTTTGCTACCGCTGCCGGCTATCAGCATGGGAAACGATATTATATCCGATGTAGCACAGCAGTTATGACCAACTTTAGAAGACCCTGGATCGACGGTAATGGTTTTGCAATCGGTGACCGTCATCGTGAGTTATTTGGAGTGCTATAGTATGAGAATCAACATTGTTTTCACCGGCTATTTATCAGTATATTACTTCTCGACAAAATGTTGGATGCCCCTTACGATTTGAGGGGATACTTGCTTCCCATCCGAAGATTTTCAGACGTTGGAAGCGTACTTACGTATTGTGACTCGATCCTCCGCAATAAGTAGGTTCAAGAAGCGCCATATCTAACCCTGTTTGCAGTCATGCACCCGGGAAAACTAGGTTCCAAGTATATTGTGTCGCTGTACAACGATATTCGTTACCGTCATCTAATTAGCATCACAACTAGACACTTGATCGCTTCAGTCCTCTGCCACCTTCGTATTAGTAATTTTAGGCTCGATAGAAATGGTTATTTACATCATTTTTGGTGTTCAGGTATTTGAAGTAAATATTTCAATCAATATTTATTCACAACGTTATTCATTGACACTTTTCATGTGCAACATGGCAAGGCTAAAATGTCGCCATTTAAAATGTGACAGCAGCCATCACAACGGCTGCAGATAACAATGCCAGTTTTGCCGTACCCAGTATTGTGGAAGCTCCTGAAACGCTGCCGTAGATGCCACCCCCTGAGTTGGAAGATGGACTTGTAGTCGGTGAGCTACTAGCAGCTGTAGACCCACTTTGCGCCACGCCTTGACCAACCAGAATAACACCTTTCATACCAGCTTGACAATGTCCTGGGAGCATGCAGTAAAAGTTGAAGGTCCCTGCTGTATTAAAGGTCTGATTGAAAACTGCTCCAGGGCTACCATTGAAGTTGAAATCCGATGGTGATGCAGGAGAGCAAGGATCGGTAAGTGAAGCGTGTGAAGCAGTATGGACAGCATTAAACATGAATGAAACAGAATCGCCTGGGGAGATACTGATGTTGCTTGGGTCAAACGAGAGGGCATTTCCGCTGGTAAGGCCACCTACATTTACAGTATGAGTGGCTGCTTGAATGCTACTCACAACGCTCAGTATGGCTAAAGCTTGGACTGCTAGAGTAGTTGAAAGAAACATGCTTGACAAGCTTCCTGATCGCTTCTTCAAACACTTCTGACAACAAACACCGCCTATTTATGCCCTTGGCTGCAACCATGTAAACAGCATTAATGTTGGCTTGAATGAGGCTGGTGACGGAACACCTTTTATCCAGATGACGAATGTACACAAAGCTTTCTACAAAAATGAATCCAAACATACTTATGATTCCTTGGCGCAAATTGCTGTCCTCGTCAAAAAATGGTTCTAAAACGACATGTACAAATATATTTATAACATACATCTTCATCCATCCATTGATCTAGCATCACGGCATACCGTAAGGATCCTCTTTATGCGCTATGGGGTACGGATTACGTGGCATTGCGCAAAATTTCCTCTTCTGTTGGGACTGCGCATGCAGGTCCATGAAACAAGGCGAATCTCTAAGCTGACCTTGGCATAATATGGCCCAGCTATAATAAAAGGAATAAAGCTCAAAATTGTGCAATGGTTATTGACTTGTATTATTTAACTAAGGTGGTGTCAAACTTATTGCAATGCTCTTTTTGATTGGTTACCCGATCACATGAATATGGGAATGTTACTCGAAATTTCGGCTGCCAGCAAATGGTTCTTGAAAAGAATATAGAGTATACGCCATCCGTAGTAAAGTATGATTGGGACATTATCAATTTTTAACTGTCGTTTAACCGACAAAGTCATGTTCACGAACCAGACATCTGTTAATGCTATATTGGTTGAAACCTTGCAATTGACCTTGTTAAACTTCGCACATCTCTAACTTTAGTCGATAATACAAAAGTTCTATTCTTCGGCTCCTCCACCGCCTATATCACAAATGACAAATAGAGTATAGTGACGCTTATGAAACTTGTGGAACTTGAAAGGATACGAAAGTTCACATACGCTGATAAGTTCCATGGCTCTGAGATGTTAGCATAGATTGCATGGTCTACAACGCGCTACGACAAAAAGTTCTGTAGTGTTTGCTTTTCGGTTGATCTGCAACCACTGGAGTGGAATGAAGTTGACCTTTGATATACAAATTCACTTTACAGACACGATTACGGAAAGATTTTCGTAACATGATACTTCTCACAAATTAGAGTACAAAGAACTTTATACCCTATCTACACTAAGCGCTATCTCGAATGGTTGCCAGTGTGATCACAAATATAATATCGTTGATAAGATCGGCTTTTCGCTTTACCCGGGGTGGGTTAACAAAACATTTGACGTGATTTAGTTATATAAGGTGTTTTGTGAAGTTGATTCAGTACATAAATTCAGTCGAACGGCGCTCCTTATGAAAGAGAATACAGAGCGACAAGTAGGATGACTGTAAACTGATTTTGTCGACTGCATTTTTTTCCCAGCACAACACCATTATAGCTCGATGCGGTCTTCCAAACAATCTTAAAGTTCCACCGTGGATAATCTATCGGAGCGGCCGCCATTCAATAAGGTTGTTGAATTACTTCATGAATGTCAAACTTTTTCTAATCAGATAACACAATTTGAACCTCATTCTATGCTGTAACTTACATCATTGCACCATCAACGGAAGCGAAAATAGAAATAACCGAATATTTTTACAAAATGATGGAAAGAAAGGGCTAACAACAACGTTATCCTGTACCCGCGGACATATCAAGTCACCGTAACCTTAGATACGCGTTATTCATTTGGTTATGGGGCTTTATCATTAATCCAGGTATATAAAGACGCTCTCGTCGTCCATCCACCATAGAATTCATCAAAATGACCGTCGATTTTCCTGTATGGCAACAAAGAGCTAGCGCTGCCCAAGAGCGCCGTGAGAAGCAGCTACCAGATGAATACCGCATCCCCAAGGACAAGATGCCAGACGCCTCTGTCAAAGATGTTATGAACTTTCCCCGAGAATCAGGCTTATTCTCGAACGAAGAACTAGAGATCACCGAACTATCTGTTCCTGCCCTCTTGAAAGCCATAGAAGACAAGAAGTGGACCGCCGTTCAAGTCACGAAGGCTTACTGCAAACGAGCCGCATATGCTCAACAGCTACTGAACTGTCTATCGGAAATGGTGTTTGATCGAGCTATTGCTGAAGCTCAGGAACTCGACGACTTTTATGAAGCCACTGGAAAACTGAAAGGTCCTTTGCATGGTCTACCTGTTTCCATTAAGGATAATCATCTTCTCAAGGGAACCACTTCTGGTGTAGGATTTACCAGCTGGTCAACAACCATTCATAACGAAGACTCTGTGATTGCTCAACTATTGACTCGTATGGGTGCCATCATGTACTGCAAGACTACTGTCCCTATGGCTATGTTGTCTGTTGAAACTGAATCCAGAGTCCTTGGTTTGACAGTGAACCCTAGGAACAGAACTCATACTGTTGGTGGTAGCTCTGGAGGTGAAGGAGCTCTATCTGCATTCGGAGGATCTCCTGTCGGTCTTGGATCCGATATTGGTGGAAGTATTCGTATTCCCGCCTGCTACAATGGTATTTATGGTATCAGGGGAACCATTGGCCGAATCCCAACCGCTGGAACTCTTACTGGTTTACCTGGGCAGTTTCATGTCAAATCTGTAGCAGGACCTATGGCAAGAACTTTGGAATCGGTTGAGCTTATAGCAAAGCTGCTTTACAATAGCCACCCCGAACGTTTGGATGAAAACTGTGTACCTATTCCTTGGAGAGAACCCACTCTTCCTAAGAAGCTTGTCTTTGGTGTTATTCGATCTGATAAAATTTGTCGACCTACCCCAGCCGTCACTCGAGCCATCGAAAATGCAGTAGAAGCAGTCAAGGCCCAAGGACATGAAGTCATAGAATGGGAACCAGTTGACGTAGCTGGTGCTGGCGATATAATAATGGCTTTCTTTACTTCTGATGGCGGTGCTTTACTTAAGGAATCTATGGAAGACGAACCACCACTCGAGCATCAAGCATTTAACAGTTCGCTTTTTAAACCAATACCGGCCAGCAAAGTCTGGGCTGCTCAAAGAGAAAGATCTAAGATTGAAAAGGCAGTTCTAGCACAATGGAATGAGAGCTGCAAATTATCTGAATCAGGTCAGGTTATGGATGGTATCATATCCCCAGTCAGTGCCGCACCAGCATACCCTCACCATAAGCCCTTTTATGGATCATACACTAGTTATTGGAATCTTGTGGATTACCCTTCAGTATCTTTCCCAGTCCTTGAGGCGGATGCCTCAATTGACGGTAAGCCTGATATTGAATATATCTCAGATGCGGAAAAGAATCTTTGGGAAAGCTTTGATCCTATTGCCTGTGATGGAGGATGTGTGGGTCTTCAAATCATCACAAGAAGGTTTGAGGACGAGAAGGCATTGAAGCTAGCAGGAGTTATTTCAGATGCTTTAAAAAAACTGTAAATGCACATGCACTAGCTTGAATAAAGTAAAATGTCAATGTTCAATGTTCTATACAATTAGCGCTGTATGATTTCTGGACGAAATGAAGTTGCCTCACATTTAAAAATATATGCTAACTTGAGAGTGGCAGCATGTACATACTCAACTTCTGAAGGAACAGGAATGACATTAGTTAATTTTGGAATGCTTAGTCCATTGTTCGGGATACTAAGTGTAGTTGACCTGAAGAGCTAAGCATTTGTGGTTCGTCAGATAAGAAAAAACTATTTCAAATATATGAAGGAAATATATTTTGGAAAAGACGGTTATACGGTCTATAAACTCCTTCGCAAGCGATCGTGACTTTAGTTGCTGTCAATGGAAGATGGCCTATGGTCTGAAGGACAGATGACTGTCTTCCACATTGTGGTCAAAACATTGTATTTCTCCTACATAACATCCTTTCTCTCTTCTCCTCCAGATATCCTTCTACAGCTTTCATAGATTATGAAGGCGGTATTTTATCATGCAGATGACTTGTCGAGTCCTATTACTACGCTGCTCCCGGCAGCATAACTGTGCAGATATTGCAGATCGCAACAATAAGTTGCCGTCCTCCAACCGGACCACATTTTCAATCAAACCCTTCAAACGAACATCAATAAAAAAGCATCACTCAGTATGCAACGTCACTTTATACCTTTTTTTCAAGAGAACCACCCGATTTATAAATGAAATTAAAGAACGAGGATACTGGTCACAGGTACCTCCTTGCAACATACTTAGCAAGACTTGATGCTAAATTATGTAACGCCTGCATAATGCGGCAATTTGGTGCAATGAGGCTCCAATCTCAATTACAGCTCTAGGATCTATACCGCTCTTGCTACTCTTTCAAGTCAACAAGCTCCAAATGTACTTGAAAAATACTGTTTTGCTATTTTTGTTGGCTGTCTTTTCCAATACAAAAATTTCAGTTGGCGCAACTGCTGATACGAAGTGGTCCTTTCTGAATTGGAACAAGGACTCAGCAATTTCTTGGGAAGAAAAATGGAAAATTGATCATTGGGCTTACCCTAGGGATCATCAACAAGATATCACCATTGTAAACGATCCCCAATACGAGACGATAAAAGTATTGCGTGTGACATACCCTAAAGACTCTTATAATCCGTCTTCCTTTCCTGTTGGCGGCGTTGGATTCTACGCAAAGCCGATTCCTATTCCCGAAAAAGCTCGAATCATTAAACTGACATACCAAGTCTACTTCCCATATACATTTGAATGGAAACTCGGTATGCTTTGAAAACCCTACCTGTCTTTTATCACACAATTAAGAACTTTGCATAACGTAGGTGGCAAGTTGCCAGGAATATATGGAGGACATTCGGGTTGTAGTGGAGGAAATAATGCTAGTAACTGTTTTTCCACTAGGCAGGTAAAATTTTCAAAGCATAAAACCTACAAATATTGTCTAATGCATATTTAAATCAGATTGATGTGGAGACAAAATGGCCAAGGGGAGCTTTATGCTTATATACCAAAAGATAGGCAATCTGAATCTCTCTGTCAACAAATGAATGTCATTTGTAACGCTGAGTACGGCTATAGTTTTGGACGTGGCTCATTTTCATGGAAGACAAAAGCTTGGAATACCATCACACAGACTATTCGTTTGAACACCGTTGGCAAGCGGGATGGAATGGTGGCACTCGAGCTTGATGGGAGGACAGTATATGAAATGAATTCACTCTTATACCGAGACTTCAACTTTACCGCTGCTGGCATAGGTGAGCCTTCGTTTCTCCGAGTTCTCCGCTTGGGTTTATTTTAACCGTAATTGCAGATTTTGAAACCTTTTTTGGAGGAAGCAGCTCATCATGGGCGACTCCAACAACACAATTTACATATTTTAAAGGATTCCAACTTTCCTACTATTAAAAGAAGCAAAGGGTATATCTAAGATATAGCTAGTCTCAACAATTGTATGAACAAAAAAAAAAAAAAAAGTTTGAACTCAGTGATACTTCCATGCTTTTCAATATCCCTCAGATTCATAAAAGAATGACAACGTGATGCAGATACTGAACGCTGGCCAGCAACAACATTTGCAAGACTACTTCGAAAAAAATATGGGACAAGTGCTCTTGGAAGAAAATGTGTTTGAGCGAACATTGGACGTATACCAAGTCGTACTTGCCCAAATTGAAAAAGATCCACTTCGACTGGCACGCAAGCGACGGGATCTCTCTCAGGCAATTCTAGATCAACAAGCATTCATTGTACAAGTTCAAAACTGCTTGTCTTGTGCTGAATACAACTCCATTCTCACTAATGGTAAGTGCTTATTGCGACCTCCTCTATTCTGCTACAAACTGACCATTTCTCTGACTGCAGCTGACAAAATAATGGCCATGCATAAAGTCACTTCAGAGGAGTTGCAATTTCAATCTATACTTGACGCTGTCTTCTCACCTCACAGTTCGCATGCTGCTCGTGACCCAGACGCTAACCAGTTCTCTACCGCACTGGAAAGACAAAACACACATTCAACCGGTGTTTCTATGGAGGAATTGCTTTTCCTCAATGATTCGATCAAAGGTATCGCATGCGATCTACCTATCACTCCGTCTTCATCACCAGCCTCTGCGAAAGTACCATATTCAACCGATGAGGAACGATGGCAAGCCGTGTTAAACCATGAACGAGCAGCCGACGGTCACTTCGTATATTGTGTGAGGTCAACGGGTATATTTTGCCGCCCAACCTGTCCTTCCCGCCGACCTCTTTTATCCAATGTTTTATTCTACTCGAACAATCCAGAGGCTGAAAATGCTGGATTTCGACCTTGCAAGAGATGTAAACCGCAAGATCTAATCTTACCAAGCGATCTACGGCAACTGACAGCTGTTGAGTTGGTCAAGAAGGAAATTGAGGAGGCAGCAACGCAAGGTATGAAGCAACCTTCTCTACGGTACCTAGCCAATAAAGCTGGTATGAGTAGTTTCCACTTCCACAGAGTGTTCAAAGCCCGAACCGGTTTAACTTTGGATGAGTATCGGAAACTGATGTTCGGACAGAAGGAGTCTGCAGCGTAAATACTTATAAACAACAACATGCTGTAGATATGAAGTAGGCTACCATTATATTTCGGATTGTGGATCCCTGTCTTGTTACCATATTTCTGTGTTGATAACAACCAGTATACTTGGGATCAGCACTTAGACGAAATACAACTGGCTTATAATACTTCCGTACACTCTTCTACTTTGTTCTCTCCGTTCTCTTTAGTATATGGACGAGAAGCTCGTACTCTGGCTCATGTTGATACCACAATTTCAAGGTCAAGTTCTGAAACTGTATTGCGACAACATGACCACCATCGCATACATCAACAAATTTGGGGAGACGAACTCACCTATGTTGTTGGAATTGGCTCAACGAATATGGAACTTCTGCCTCCTGACGGAGACGAGACTTGTACTGGCATACGTTCCGACCCATTTCAACCCGGCAGACAGCGTCTTACGGCCAACGAATCCGTCGGGGTCACCATCCGCCCACAGTGATTCCAAGATCTGTCCGGTAGCAGCATTTCGAGCTTACATAGCCCAACATGCCAGCTAATCTTGCCACGGAAACCATCAAGGCTTACCACATGTCCGCATAAATTACTTGATACGCCATATCCGTGATAACAACAAACCAATCTACGCCCAAAGGATTAGCAAACATATCAAGGCGGTAATGTCTCACATCCCCAATACTTCCAGTCTCAATGGTAAGACATTGGGTTCTACTCGTGCTCTTGCTGCTGGCGCTTCAGTCGACGAAGTGGTTCGCCCATGGTAACTTGGCTTCTCGAGATACGTTCGAAACGTTTTATCGGTTGTCCACCGAACATCACAAAAATTTCACAGCGTTGACGCTGTCTGAATCTCTGGAGTCACAAGACAGGGATCCACAATCCGACATATATATCTCTAAGGCTTCTCCTATGAAGCTGTCGTCACCAAAAATAAAAAATGTCAGATCAACCGAACGCCGATTCAATACCGGCGAAGTCAAATTGAATATCCTCTTTAAATTAAAATTTCTTTTGCATTTTTACATTATAAGTCACGAAACAATAAGTTTCAATAGAGCAGTTGATTAATAGAATAAAAAGCAGTTTTTAACCTCACGAGAAGTTCACACGCCTGCAGGATAATACAATAAGTCGTACAGTAATCTAAACAGACAAAGCAATCAGCGCTTTTTAATCTTGGGTGAATAACCAAAAAGATATAGGTCTCACCGAGAATCGAACTCGGGCTGCCAGATTCAGAGTCTGGAGTCATAACCATTAGACCATGAAACCCTTATTTGCGAGGTGCGTAGTTATAGTATTTATATACCATATAATAACTTATTCAAACGCTATCAAATGTAATTTCTAGAGGGCTCAGCCGTCATTCCTGCTTATGATCTTCATAATTGCAAAATAAATCTTATTTTTTATTTAATACTGCTATAAATTAGACTCCATTATTATGGGATTCCAATGCATTCAATTTTTTGCTCTCTTCTTTGCTCCATCTCTCAAACTATTACTAGGACTTTTCATGTCTTATGCGCACTGCGGGAAACCGTTCGTTCTTTCGAGTAGTAAACAACATAAATCTCAATTGCAATTCTATCTAATAAATGAGGCTTTGTTTTTTGCATATCTCTAGTGTTAACAGAATCATTCTGGCCGTTCTGAATGGACTGGGGACATCGCTAATACTAGTTCATGCTTATCAGGACATCGAGAAACATCGCTGAAAACTCAAAATGATAATATAACTTTGTCAGCATCATAACTCTATAGTAAAAATTTAAGGAGCTATAACGCTTTGAACTATATCGCAGTGTTCGTGATGGCGCGGCGTAAACTTGATCATCGACCATTTTGTCAATTACAGGAAGTACGGATCACGGCTTCATATACTTGGCTATAATGCCTCTAAATTAGTATGTGTAAAATTTTGAACGTCGATCCTCGCTTTTTGCAGTTTTAGCTTGTCTTTATTGACACAATTAGCAATCTTCTAGGCATCTTGCTCAATGGTAGCCACAAAATCATCAACACATATAAAAGTAAGAGATCCGAATTCAATGTTGACGAAATTATCAAATCAAAAAAATTTATGGCCTAGTCTAGCCCACTTCTGCATAAAATCTTAACCGTGATGCAACTTCATTAACCTGCTCCGTTCAGTCTGCTTCCACAACCGAAGTACAGTGGTGAACGGCGGATCTGACTGTACATTTGTCTGGTGAAAGGATCTGGCAGCAATCACGTATACACTGCCCGAGTGGAATATGGCGTCTGTTTAATCTTCTTATGTGGCATGAATGCATACCATGTGATGACCCGATGGATAAGAGGACCATCTACATAGCTCAAAAAAGTTCGGAAGCAATAAAACCGGCCGTTTTGATTAAGGTGTATGTACCTCATGTTTTGATTTGGCCAATGATTTATAGTCTGCTAATATCTTATAACATGGCTCAGCTACATGATTGATATGGAAAGGTAAAACGGTGCATCCGACGGCCATTTATAGTCTGGACACCATTTAGACTACTATAAATCTGCAATCTGAGGTACCTTTTCATGATTGAGAAACAGGCAAGCTCAGGCGACATGAGCATAAGAGAGAGCACGGCAAGCGAAAGAATTCAGTGACCAATACTTCAAAGGCTGTAGCAAACAAGTTGTGCATTCATCACCTTTATTGTATGGTTCAGGAGATAATTCGGTATCCATGGAATCACTAGCGGCCGACGATACCTGAAACGAAACCTCCTGCTAACACTAAATCTGACCTCAGCCTTTTTGCAAGCAATCGAAAATGATGGAAATGTTTATTTGAAGGTGACGGCACGAACTTTCTGCGAAATTCAAGGGTTAATATGCGGCATCAGCATCGACCTGAAATTCCATCGCTGCAAGGGACGACGATACGATACTGACGGAAGGTGTAATAACAGTCAGCAAATGATCTATGGTGTTAGCTGTGTCTAAACTGGCTCACAAAAGTACTAACGACTGGTGACTCAGCGCAGAAGTATGTATCAAGAGTTAAAAAATGACAGGAACGTATGACCATGGCGGTACTGAGCTCTTCGTTACAGCTGCAGGAAAACACAGTTGAAATCTTGATCGGCTACCACTGTCATCGTGCATTAACACTGCAAGCAAATGTGTTGAGTTCGCATAATGAGTCATTAAAGCAAGCAGGTGGAAACTTGAGTCGCCACCATCCACACCTATATTCCAGTGGTCATGACGAGTTATTATGGATAACTTTCTTTTTTAAGCTAGACGGCATACACCAGGATTTCACTCGTGTGTTTTGCTTTGCAAATCCAAATTATGTTGTTCAAAGTGACTGACTTACCTATTAGTGCTTTGCTTACACAAGTTTCAATTATGAAAAAAGCTTTTTGTAATACCATTCTTAAGTATGTACTAAGATACATTTTTTGCTCTTCAAGATCTAGATGGTCGAAATGGGTTCTTCACATAAAGCTACCTTCTGAAATGCAGCATAATAGGACTGTTCACACTTTTATCTTTAGGAGTGATTTCATGCACATGACAGCATACAAAAGATATTACATGTATTGACATTTTCAATAAACTTCATGTGCTACGGTCTATTTCCTAAAAGTACTAGAATCAAACTAAAGATGCTTAATATCAAAGAGTACTGAAAGTAAACAGACTTACATAAATTCGAACTTTAGGGTAATTATCATAGTATAACTAACCCATATTTACTCTAAGCAATAGCCAAATTCGAAATGCTACACTCTTTAATTCCTAGGTTTCATCAGATTTATTTGAAATATGAATTTGGTATTGATATCTATGGAATCTAGGTATGGTTAGAGAAGTTGTGGTGCGGTTTGAGATCACTGAAAAAGCTAGAAAATTGTGTAATATAGCGAAAGTTTCTTTACTGTGGAGGATAGAAATTTTGAAAGAGCAGGAGACGCCAAGGGTTATTGAATAGAGTTGAGAGGACGAAAAGGCTGTTAGAAACTACGATAGGGATTTCTCACCTCCAGTGTTGAGATTCACTACTCTGAGTGGATGGCCAAAGCGCAAGTTTCCTGTCGATCACCACAGAGGATTATTTACTCGCGGATTGAGAATTCCGGCGTAATATCTCGTGACTCAATATCCTAATGGGAAGCCTTCGAGATGGATTCAGTCATCACGAACTTTGAAATTCAGATCTTCTGCCTTTCAATATAACCAAGACAACTAACGGATACCCAACTCTTACCAGTCATAACGTTCGGTTGCGATTCTTTAGTTAGATCGTTTGAAACGCCTAATACCGTATCCCCACTGGCAAAAATTTTATATAGAACGACGGACAAGCTCGTTGAACACACATAAGACGGGTGGAAGTGGGAGGTGGAAGCCATATATACTACATTAATGGAAATAAGATATAATCAAGAGAAGATGAAGGAGGCAGTGAAGCAAGAAATTAATGAACTCCCCAGAGAATTACACGTAGCGAACCCGGCTTCATTCAGGAGATCACTTGAGCAGGCAGAGATTGACGACAGGACCATCTGCTACGGATATTCTCAGAATGAATTCAAGGCAAGGTTCTCACAGACTCTTGCTCGTGAACAACTCCAACAAATCAAGCAAACCGGATCCATCACAGAATACATCGCGGCGTTCCGCTTGATCATGAAAGAGCTACCGAGCATGTGTTTTAAAGATGCCATATTTTACTTCGTTCAGGGCCTTCGTACGACACTAGGCTTCGTGTGATGTATGAGGATCCAAATACCTTGGAGGAAGCGTATCGCTATGCCGAATTTGTCGACATGGTACATATGATTGCTAGAGGACCAGACCTTCCGGTAGCCCCCCATGGAAACGGAGAGGACTTCCAAGCCAACGGAAACTTCCTAACTGAACAAGTTACTCCCATGGACATGAATTTAAAAGAAAAAATACGCAAAGACGAGGTCAACAACTTCATGCAGTGGAGCAGCTTCTTGCCGCGAAGGAACAGGAAGACCGAATTGAAGCAGATTGTGTGTCAATACTGCCACAAACCTGGTCACATTAAAGGGAAGTGTCGCGTTAGAAAAGCCGACATTGCAAAGCTCGATCAAGCACAGCAACAGAAGTAAACAGGGGATCTTTCAATGTACACTTGTTAAAGACGAAGGTCACCTGTGCAATCCGTAAATGAATTTTTGTTTATCCCAGCAAGACTGGAAGTTTCGATAAAGATGTGCTTACAAAGACAGATAGTTGGGAAAAGGTAGAGCTTTATATAGTCTGTGCTAAAAGTGAGCTTGTAAGCTTTTGATGAAGCTCTGATCTGTTTTAAAAAAATTTCTGCTCCCTTTCTCTCTGATATTTTTACCCTTCCTATTCTTTTCTTTACTTTTACTTACCTACCACAATTCACATTCAACCTCAAGCCAGTCATCCATGCACGCCAATACAAATCTCTCTGCATGGTTTATCGCAATGTATGTAAACATTAGGTTCTCAACACTGTCCTGCACCGACCACTGAACAGCGCCTGTTTCTCACCTATTCTTATAACTATACTCAATCTTTTATGCTTCCATTATATCTACAAGCCTTAGCAAGACCTGACACAGTGCGTAGATGGAGGGATTTCAAGAAAAAAATGGAGTGTTTTTTGGGTGCGTTATATGCTATGTAAAGAGTTTTTATGACAAAAATAAGCTATTTTATGACTTGGTGACAAATAAATCAATACTATTCCACTGGCCTACTACCGATTTCTATGCACAAATTCAACCAAGATAGCTCATCCATTTGGTGGATGTTCTTCAATATGTACTAACAAAAATGACTTTGTCAACTCTGATTTCTCATGCTTAAACATCGCTTCTTCATTCATATTGTGGCAGTTGAGGTGAGTATAGTGGGTGTTACGATATGACCGTTCTTCCTTTATTTGAGATCACAAAAAATATAGAGGGAGGTCTAACGATAAGGCTAACAAACAAAACGCGGGAGGCAAGAGCCTTGAAATTTTAACTATATCCAATGCCTGATCATACGCATAAAGTTAGCATGTATCTATCTCAGTTGCTGGCAGCTACCACACCTTCGAAGTTACCTCTATGCGAAACAATGATGGAAGAGGTGGCCCTTTCTGTTATGGTTGACAGTGGCGCTAGTAATAACTACGTTGTTTCTCGAGTAGTGAGGCTCATCTTGCAACAAAAGACAGTTTAAGGCAGATAAAAGCGACAGCGGATGGAGAAGGAATAGCTACTGAGAGAGAAGTAGAGTGGCCTCTACTTTTCCTTGGCTTTAGAAAACGATTCGAGCCCGAGTGTTAGACTTGCAGTCTTACATGATATTAGGTCGGACATGGTTACGGCAATAATCATCAGTTGCAGTTGGCGTGAAGATAGTTGGGCATTGTGAGAGTGACGGAGAGAAACCTTAGTTATGACCAATGTCTCACGAAGCGGTCGCAGAAGAATTGAACTACCCTTATCACACCAACAAAACGAAGCACCTCCTCAAACGGGATGAAGTGAGTGTTGTCTGCCATTGTGCTGAGAGAATATATCAATCTTGTACCTAATGACATCCTAATATTCAATCGGAGCGAGGAGGAACACACTGCACACTTACGACTTGTCCTAGCGAGATTATAGGAAGCGAAGCTCATTGTGAATCGCGAGTTGAGTGCGGTCGATTATGTTTACAACATTGTATGCCGCACGCGCAGTGCCGGTGGCATTATCAGAAGACGTATTAAAGCCTTTAACAGTAGGTCGTGATGCGTTCTGGTTGCTCTGAAAATCCTAACTGAACTACAGTCCTTTTAGAAATAATTTGAGCTGACATCATGTAAGTTTAGCTTCGTATCAAAATGTAGAACTCTGCCAAAAGATTAAACGGATATCTTCCCAATATACAATTGTTTTCTTCAAACATGCACCTCTGCCTACCACAATATGAGCTGACTGCTTATTTGCCAATAGCAATTTCATAAAATCATGAGATAGTCTAGGTTGGAGAAGTCAGTCCCGCTGATCTTGAACATATATCACTCTTCCCTCGTGTTCACCAATGTTGACATCTACATCTATTAATCAACTTTTACATCTCGCATCTTCAGCAGTCCATCATTTTTTCTTACATTCCATCATGTCAATTACAACAATAAGTAACAATGGCTTAGCTTACGGGAGTATACTTTATTGGACAGTGGGATCTTGAGGATCATACGGTCTTTGGGATAATTAGTTATGCTAAATTTCAACTTAATCTTATGCGTAGTATCAGGAACCTTTTAGCATTCATACGTCGATAACCTCCTTTTTCCTGTCGATGAATCCCATGAGTTCATTCCTTAATCAATCTTTGATACATCAGAAAATTGATATGATTGCCGTGACTGATATCAATCAGTGATTGATCAACGGACATGAAAAAATGTGTTTAAAAGGCGGCGCAAGCAAGAGTGGTATCTTTCATGGTTTCCGGAATGACTAAAAGTAAGTGATTTTACGTTTGAACTTCAAAAATGATTGCAATGCTAAAGAATAGCTGCTGTAGACTATAAACGCGTACGTCTCAAAACAATCCGGCGTTAATTGCACAATCCGTATCCTTGCTCATATTTTTTTTGGAGGACTGGCACTCTGATGGTGAGTGCCGCATACATATATGTTTTAATTCAACGTATCTAATCATACGCAATCCTAATTAACTTGACGCTCATTATCATAGCTGCAGTTCTCCCGTAATCTGTTAAAAAAAGATGGGTTGGCCATCTTTTTTTTGTTATAAACCACCGCGTTTTTTTTTCAATTTTTTTTTTTTTACCGTAATACCACCACGTAAGTTTTAACTTCCTATCAGAATGTCAGATATTTCACAGCACTAATCCTGTTTTCTCTGAAAAGGACATCTCCGCCCCGCCCGTCTGAACAGGACGCGGCGCCGGGCACCCTGGTTAGGCCAGGAATACCGATGATCCTTCGGGGGAGGGTAAGTATAGTCTTGTACGTTTGCATTTCATTCATTTTTTGACGATTGCCTTTCAAAAACACCTATATCTCCACTATCTTATCTATGAGTATACATGTTTGAATATATTTCTCCTGCCATGCTTTAAGTGTCTAATGATTTCGAGAATAAATTTTCAGGCTCTCTGCTCTGATATCGTGATCTTAGTTTATTTTTGTATTGGCGCAAAATAAATTGTTAATAAACAGTATGTGGAAACTTCAATAGTAAGAGAGTGAAGCATTATATTCAAACATAAGAAATGCATCATAAGCAAACCTCGACATCCCACGCTAAGATGAACGGGAAGTGTGAACTTTTCAACAGGATACTGGAGGCGGCTTTGCGAAAGCAGGCGAACGGTGTGTGCATCGTTGAGACGACTTCTGAACGGTCAGCTCTCTTTTCGTATCGCGTTTGTAAGCACAGGTTTCCCACCTTACCACTTGACGCATGGCCAGAAGCCGACAAACCTGGAGACATGCTGCAGCTGTACAATGACCGGTTCGCCATGGTGCATCAGTAATTATGAGAGATGATAGATGTCGAGAGATTTTCAAAGATTGGGAGGAAAGCTAGCCTTCGTGAAATTTGCATACACGCCACGATGGCACGTGATAGGCCAATGGGACAACAATAAAAAAAACAGTGTTTAAACAGGGCAATAAGGTCTTGCTGGCCCATGAGGGCGGTATGGTCTCGAGCCTAGTTTCAAACGGCCGTGAATCGCGACTGATTCAAGTCCTAAATCAGAGACGCATCTTTTACAGATTCTGGCACGCGAACTTTTCAGGTGGAATATTGAGAAGTTGCGTATATGTCAACTGTTGCTTTGTACATAGAAATGGATAATATGAGAGATTCTTGGCTTAACTCCACAAACCACGTAGAGCGGGACAAGAGGCTACCATATTTATGTGAGTACAAAGAAATCTAACAGTGAATATAGAATCAGTGAATACAGTTGCTTCATGACCCACCGTACCTCTGATGCTCCGCAACTTTGACCAAGGACGTTCAAGAATTCAACAGGAGACATTGTCCAGGACAGCAATGTAGAAGAGTAGTGGAGGTTCAGAGGTTATCAAAGAAAATTGAGAGGACAACGTGATTGATATAAATTATGATAGAGATTTCTCACCTCCGGTGCTGAGATCCGTTATGCTGGGTGGAAGACCAAAGGGCAAATTCTTGCCTATCACCTCAAGGACCAGTACAAGAAAGAGATCGGGCACTTAGGAAGCCTCCCTATATTTATTAACACAGCTATTGAATATAATGTTCCAAAGACGGAATAAAAACCTATAAAATAGTTTTAATAAATGATTAGAAAACGATCATCAACTACTAAAAGTGCAGCAAAATGTTTAATTATAAAATTCATCACGATTGCGACTTCACAACAAATGGTTCTATGGTCTAATGGTTATGACTCCAGACTTTGAATCTGGCAGCCCGAGTTCGATTCTCGGTAGGACCTACATTTTTGTTTTTTGACTGTCCGCATTTTTGCTAATGCAAATGTTACAATTAAAAAGATTTCGTCCTAGGTAGCGAGGGAATTCATACCATTTTCTTTTAGATCAGTCAAAAAGTCATTTTATAAAGTTGTTTAGGATAAGGATATCAGGCACAGCACCCTTAGCAAATGCCGTAAAAACCATCGTGTCATAATAGAAAATTGCTGGACGGGCAATGAACATGAAATATTAAAAGTACGAAATCAAGCAGAAAAAAAGTACATTTTCATTCACTCCTACGGTTACGGATTGTTAACGACAGTCATCTGCATAGTACTTACTAGGTGCATAATGGTCATTCCAAGAAAGGCTTAGACTTTAATCAGGCTGCCACACACTCGGCTAGAATATGAATTGACATTCAACAAGGGGTTCCAAAGCAGCAGCGCATCCGGAAAGCAAGTCGTTCTCCAGAAATGCTGCCTCAGCAATAGAGTGTTGAAGACTACGTTAGCACTTCAAAGACCCAACAATGGAAATTACTGAATTGTCGCCATCCGGAGAGCTGGATCGGTTGAATTCTCCAACCAGTTGTGATCCGATATGTCCATCGCATTAAGCTTTTCCTGAAGAAATATAAGACTTTTATGTACTAAGCTCCAGCAGTAACGTTTCAGCCATTTGAATGAGGCATTGGTAAATGCTACTGTGCTCACGTTGCTTATACCTGAGTACTGTTTAATACCTGAGTACTGTTTAATTCTTTACTCCGACACTTTAGATCAAGGAATCGACGACGTAATGACACAGAAAGGGGGATATTGTGGAAGAGAGGCCGATGCAGTTCTTGTTCAGAGGAGATGCACTACATCATTGAGCGCTCCGCCCTACACCTCGACCTATTGGAAAGGGTCACCAAGACCAATCAAACAAAAGCACTACCGCGCTAGAAGTCGATGACGCCATACCAGACTGTTACCTCAGAAACACCCTTCTTGCATTCGTTCATTTTCGAGAAGTCGTTTAATCCTTCCAAAGGGACTTGTTCCGCTCGCAAATGCCGGCAGACTATTAAAACGATTGTGTCGGAATGTCCATGTAACCTTGAATGCACACTGATCGATACCGAGGCGGTTCCGGACCGTGTTGATCTCCAGCAGTTTTGGTCTAATATCGAGACTCGAACCAATTTTACGGCCTTGACGCTCAATACGTCCGGACCCTCTGGTGCTCTGGAGTCACATTCTATGGATCCACTTTACAATGTATCATAGGATATCTCACGTTAGTGTTTTAAAACGTCTGTCGTCTTGAAAATAATATAATGTCAGCTCAATCGAACGCTGGTTCAATGTGACTTCGATGTTGAACAAATCCCATTGAACTACCTCTTTGATTTAGGTATCTTTTTACATTATTATAGAATAAGTCACAAAACAAGAAGTATAAATAAAGCAGTTGAATATACGTTACATTTAAACCTCACATGGAGTTCGCTCGTCTGCAGGATAATGCTCAAAGTAGCACAGTGTTTAAAACGATGCGACTTCATTTACTTCCAATTACCAAAAAAAAATTCGAAGGAGGGACAAAATTGCGAAGTCCGGGAATCGAACCCGGGCCGTCTGCTTGGAAGGCAGAAATTCTACCATTGAACTAACTTCGCTTTTTCTGAAATGTGGACTTTTTACTAAAATATCTTTATACAAACCGTAACAGTCTGGTCTAGATAGTGTGCTTATCAAGGAAGATTTTACAATATATGGGTTATAGCTACTATCTGTTCCTGAATTATTCTAAGAAAAATTTGGTAATTTTTTGGACTTGCTTATGTAGCTGTTAAATTACGTCCTACTGTCCAACAGCTATTGCTCTGAGCCTACCAGAACTAAACACCTTATGTAGTTGGTGCGACTCTGCACTGTTATTATCTCATCATTTATGGATGTCATTACAATGATAATTCTTCAAACTTAAGTCTGCGACAGATTGTTTATTTTAGTTACATGATATTTATAGCGACTCGATAACACAAGTCACCAAAATGCAAGCTACACAACGATTCTTCCCGTCTGGTACGAAAATAAAGAAAAGAAAAACACAGTGCAACAATAATACTTCCAAGAGTCGTGTTATGTTAAGCCAATACTACGACTATTACGCCCGAGCTGCTAAGCCTTCCGAGCCACCGCGGTTATGACTCTGAGCCAAAGTGTATGCTACGAACACTAAGATAGTTGTAGAAATGAAATCGACATAGCAAAAACATCAAACAGGATGAACCAAACAAGAAGATTCAGTAGTTCGACGTATTTTATTGCCCCTAGGAGTATCCTAGATACTGTCGTCACCGTATTCTTGTTCCACTCCTTTTTCTCTTTGACTCTCGGCATGCGACATATTGATCGCCACGCCATAGCTTTTTGTCAGGATAGCCGCAATATCTCTACACAAGTTATTGTCGCTGTCTATTAAAAAAAGTCTCCGTTTCTCAAAGACGATTTCATGGTAAACGTGTTCAAATGCTGTATGTAAAATCAGCTTCATGATAATTTATACCATTACTCCTCGAAATCGTCGGAGACGGTGTTTCACCCTCTCACTCATTTTTAGGATTTTGCAATGCTGAAATTTTATGCGGCATCCGGTAAGGGCTGGCTCCAAGTATCTAGATCCTTTAGCAACTGGAAATCAGAGACTCATGTTCCCTTGTCATGGAGCAACCTTTCTCTCCATAGGACTACATCTTTTCAGCAAATGACTACGACGGCTACGGTAGGTAATCGACGTTTACAACTCGCTAATATACCACGCTACAGGACTGCCCAGTGATCAAAGCTATGTCAAAATCAGTGGAAAAAGCAGTGGCTGAATTCCTGTTTCACGACCATGTTGTAACTAAGGGTACCTAAGAAGATTATTACGGATCGTTGGCTCAACCTTTATGGCGAATCTGTTGAATTTACCTGCACATCTTGAAAGACCAAGCATCTGATGGCCTTGGCTTACCACCCGAGTACTAAAGGCAAAGACTGAACATCATAATGGTATGCTACAACACCAAGCTTAGTCGCGTAGAATCTGACGATGAGGTAGAGAACGATTTGTGACAATCGACAAAAAGAAATATAAATACAGGAAGACCAATAGTGTAGCGTGGCGACAAGTGGTTGAAGCCACTACTCAAGTGGACTATTTTATTACAAGATTTCACGGTTTAGGTGGGTCGATGAACTCAACTCGGTATCAGCAACTATAAGATAGTGAAGTGCTTTCAATAAAGGCTAGTTATCTCAGGTCATCCTTTCCTAGAAACAAATAGTTGAACTCCTCACGACATAAACTGACATTTGCTGCGATTAACTAACGATATATAAGCGAACTAATACGCATGTATGTGCAAAATATTTCACTTTCTCTACTGTGGACGAACTGCCAGCTCAGTAGGGGCTTTGGAAGTAGCCGTGTGCTCAAGAAAAAACGATGACGTTCCACTAAGACTGCACAGTCGGTTGGATGAGCTGCAACATTATGACTTCAAGCTCAAATACAAAGTTGGCAAGGTGAAATTGATGGCAGATTGCTTTGTCACGATGAGGAGACCTGAATGCGGCGGAATTATATGACTTCATCACGCTGGACACATCCAGTTGGCCCCACTCACGTTGCTACATCCTTGCAACACGGACAACTGAATGGTTCCCAAAAACCGTACCAAAACAGCTCATAGTACGTAAGGAATCAGTCGGTTTCGCTGTAATGACACGCGATGAAATCGTAAAGTTATGACTAAAAAGCGACATTGCAAACAAAGACCGACATAAGCAAACGTCATGAAGCCCACAACAAGCCGGTCAGTCGGTCTACAATAATAGGTTGATGATAAGTTCGCGCTGACAATAGACTTGGTGAAAAGGGCGAAGTCAAACAAGGATAGCATTGACGAAACTAAACGTATTGGCTACGTTGCTTTCCAAATAGTAGGTGAGTGTGTCATCTTTTGAAAGTTCAAGTTTTGGAATTGGCTATTTGTTAGTACGCTCATGCGCATTTTCGGGATATCGCATAACGGTACATAACGAAATCGCTAGCGGATGGTCAGTATCTAACTACAGAAAATACAACGCTCCAGGTGCCAAAGGCATTCGAAGAAGCTTTTACCATTTTTACGACTTTTGATAGCCTGGCATAGATGCTGACTATGACCACTGCTTTTTGGCGTTAGTTTCATGTTTCACGCGATGCCAAGTTTATTGCCAACAACCGAAAACCCACCTTAAACACACTTGTATTCAAAACACCTGTAATCATAGCCGACCTTAATCAAAATTAGCCCTTACGGAATAATAGCTCACACATGGACGTTCGTATATCCTTTCTTTTCTAGCATATATTATGACAGTAAATTACTTTTACCCGGAGCAAAAAGTTCTTAATGAGCTCAGAGGCTATACAACGTGTGACGGGACCCTATGTCCGATGTCAAAAAATATGACACCATAGTTCGACATCAAGCTTCACACCCTCCTATGTGATGATGAAGTGAAAGATATTTCAGGCTTCAACCGACTTCCCTCGACGACCTTGAAGCACTAACTGGCGAACCATTAGGCTCTTAGGGCATAGTGATGCATGTCGTTAGTAGGTGACATCTGACGGTGGAGGAATGGGACTTAGTATTACTTTACTTGATTTTAGCATTACCTTTGCCTTTAGCTCTTGTTGGACCGATAGCCAAGGGGTGCAATCTAGCCAAGCATTGTGAATGCTATCTCGAAATGCACCTGCGATTATCGTACTGCTGATCAGTATTTAAACCCCCTCCCACAGCGAAAATAAATCTCACACTCACATTCGCATTCGCACTTTTTTTTTTAAAAAAAAAAAAAGGAGAGAGAGAGAGAATTTTACAGTCACTATGCTTTGAAAGTGAGCGCATCAGCCGTTGAGATCGCTTGGAACCAAGATGTCGATTGCAGATGCGGTGATTAAGAAAGGGTGGTACTGATCAGACTAGCAGTAAATTGAGCTGAAAATAATATAGTTACACGATACATCTCGAAAGTAGTGCTATGAACAAGGAAGGAATGAAAAAATATTATCTCAAACGAATTGGTCATTGCACTTGTCAGAGCTATTTTGTTAGCGATAGTGAAAGTGACATATCTTATCAAGTACTTTGGACTAGGTGGTTGTCCTATGATAATATAAAGTAATATCTCACATTTATGATTATAGCGGCATTTTCTATAGGCAAGCGATAAGAATTGATGATTCAGTGAAAACTAATTAATTGTTATATAGAAATAGTGACCATAAGATTTTATTAAAATCGAATAATGACATTTAACAAAAGTGGTGACTGAATAAATGCTTACAAATGGCAGGATATTACATTATTCAATGGCATCTACTTACAAAAGTCTTCTCTTTAACCATAAAATACCATATTTATGCTTTTCTTGTATATAAGTGTTGGATAGCACATATGTACATAAAAATTGATTAGCTATGCGTAGACATAAAGGTTTTTCAAATATTTATGACAAAATGAAATATAAATAACAGTCCTTTTCATGTTTCAGAAAAAGCGAAGTTAGTTCAATGGTAGAATTTCTGCCTTCCAAGCAGACGGCCCGGGTTCGATTCCCGGACTTCGCAATTTTGCATTTTATGCGAATATCTTTTTGGTTGCCTTAATACGTCTGAGCGATAATGTTTTACAAGGTGGGTGAGTTTTGAACGAATGCCTCGACCCATTACACGGAGAGTGCATCAACATATTGTTGTCACTAAAACTAAGATGTCGGTTCAACCAAACGCCGATTCAACATGACTTCGTCGGTAAAGAAGTCCGGATTTCTTTTGTAATAAGTCACAAAACGATAAGTAAAAATAGAGCAGAATCTTTGAATGAACGTTCGTTTTTAACCTCACGAGAAGTTCACTCGTCAGCAAGATAATGCAATAAGTCGTACAGTGATCAAAACGACAATCTTGTGACAAAACCTTTCTTTATTTATGCGCTGAGGATCTATCGCTGCGGTTTGAGGATAGAAGGGGTCTCGCCCAAACGCAGAAAATGAGGTGTCTCATTAGTTGATTGTGGACTGCACTGCTGCACGCCCAACGAAGGTGCGGCAGCCACTTGTCCCACGCTTCATCTTCTTTACAATAGCTGGCTCTCATCGTTCTAAATTTTCTCATCATACGTTCTACCTGTTAATTGGATGAGGGATTGTATCCTAGTGAGAACAATGTTGTGTACCTAGCTTTGACCAAAGTGTCTGTAGCCAGGAACTGGAGAATGGAGGAACATCATATGACATAATCGTTAAGGAAACAAGAGATGCCTTATTCATACAAAAAGGGAAGAGCGGCATTAATAGTCAAATAGACCATGAGTGATCGGCCTCTTGGTCAACAGAAAGTCCGCATTGGGAGGGGGGAAGTGAAGACAGTCACTGACATATTCATTTCACGCGTCTCACTGTTGATCGCCTGAAGGAAGGTCTGCAAGGAGGTCGACGAGGCGACTGCCTGCCGATCCTCAAAGAGGTCCAAAAGAGTCGACCGATATGCCTGCAACGTCGATGTCGCGAGACCGCGAGTCATCCTGGCTACTTCCAGAAAGTTCACTGAAGAAGTTGGGGCCTGATGATCGCAAGAATGGGTGAGACACCAACGGATGTAACGGTTCTGCAGATTACTCTTTCGGGCTTGTATCTACCCTTGGGCACTGGCGATAATGGTGAGTGCCTGTTCATCAACTTCTTCCGCCGTTAGTCGGTGAACCTTAAGTCCCAAGCCGCTAACTGCCAATGAGGATTCTTCTGGAGCAGATGGCGATCGTAGCCTGGTGGAGGAAGTACGCAATGGCGAGGGTCGTTTGGCGGAGTCGATCCAAAAGCGTAGGCTTTGAATATGCTGTTGTGGAATCAAAGAAGACTTGCTATCGTTGCTGGTGTCCCTCGGTGAGCGATCAGCAACTGTGTGCTTGGGCGTGGATTGAGCCTTTCCACGCTTTGGACGGCGATATTGGATCAGGACTTTTGAAGATCAACAGGGTCTGAAGTTACAGGATCCGAATTTCCATGGTACCGACCAGTGTGCGTTCAAGGTTACGGGGACATTCCGCATAAAACTTTTCACTGTCTGCTTCGGCATTCGCGAACGGAAGAACTTCATTTGAAAAGAAGGAAAAGCTTTCCGGAAACGAGCGTACGGAAGAAACTCTATGTCTGGGGTGCGTTTTTGAATGTCGTCATCGGCGTCCTGTAAGGTACGTCCATTGATAATTGGTCTTCATTACCGGTTCCAGAAGGTCGAGACGTGCAGCCAAGCGTTCAATGCTGTAACGCATCTTCTCGGCAAAGGGTATTGCAGAAGGCATGCCTAAAGACACGTTAAGAGAGGCGATTTTATGTTCACTATACATCGTTAACAGAGGGTTTGTACTGTACAAGTTGAAGAAGAAAGATGATGAAGTATATCATTCGACCAATAGAGATAGTTCCATAGTCTTCTTAAAAATAATAAAAAATGGTAACACAATCTATGGATCCACCCTCCAAAGTCTAACGACCATTATTCAGTAAATGCTTGAAGCATCGATCACAGTGTTGGCAAGTTTGGTTATACTTTTATGGGTAACAATGTCTGTTTGTGGAATTTGTGTACGGCGAAGCAGTGGCATCATGTCGAAATTCGAGTGGCGAGAATTTAAAGAATTTATGTAATGACATCAGTCTATCGCCAAAGTTTGAAATGACTTGACTTTCACGACTCCCAGTCTTGTCAACTTTATATGTTAAACATTGGCAATCATTTAAGTAATGAGTCGGGAAGTCGGTCCCGTGTCAATTGTGTGGGGAAACATGAAGACCAAACTTTACTGTTGCAGCTCATTCTGTAAATGCCAGCAAAGAGGTTGGGCTAGAAATTTTTTTTTGGGCCATGCTAATGGAGGCATAGTAGTTTTTGCGGTGGGTATCATTTCGACTCGTAGTGTATGTCGCCATCAGCGGAGAGCTTATAGTAACGATATCATATCACTTCGACTCTTACGTGACAATCTGCATCACTTGGCAGGTAATAATTTGATCTAAGGTTTCGGCAATGGACGGACTCCGGCCAATATTAATGCACCATTTTAAGCTGTGCATATGATGACAAATTTCGAACATTAGTTTTCCTATATATTGGCGCAAGGTAAGCTCGCATCATCCTCATCAATTAACTACCAAATCTAAATCTTTTAACTCAAACATGCTAGTCCTCACAGGAACGTCAGGAAACCTTGGAGGCGGGGTTCTCAAAAACATTGTCGAGAAGGAACTCATTCCTACCTCTGAAGTCATGATCTCTGCGTACAACACTGATGCTGTCCCAGCTATTGCTAAAAAAGCGGGCATTGAAGTTCGTCATGGCAATTATGAGAAGCCAGAAACTCTTGTGTCGTCCTTTACAGGCGCAGATACTTTATTCCTTGTGTCATATCCTTCAGTTAGCGAGGAAAGGTTCGTATACCACAAGGCCGCCATTGATGCTGCAAAGCAAGCAGGAGTATCCCACGTAATCTACACTTCTCTGACCTACGGTGGGCCTACCGGAGAGGATACCATCGCCGGCGTCATGAAGGCACATGTCAACACTGTCAAGTATTTGAAGGCTTCGGGACTCACCTATACTATAGTCAGAGAGGCTTCTTATGCTGAGATATGGAGTATTTCAGCTGGCTTTTTGCAACTTGATGACAGCAATAAGGAATTTGATATTGTCGTTCCTGGTAATGGCGGAAATACCTGGGCCAGCCGAGATGAATTGGCGGAGGCCACTGCGATAATAGTTGCAAACAAGGTTGGTTGCAGTGTTACTTGCTGCTAAAGCAATGTGATCAAATTATTAATTAAATCACGAAAATGCATAGGATGAGTACAAAAACCAGTCTATATCACTGACAGGTCCACGCTCTACAACTATTACTGAAATTGGCTCCTTACTACAAGAATACACTGGCCGCAAAGTCAATGTCAAGATTGTTTCCCCTGAAGAAGCCATAGCATATCACAAGGCACAGCATAGTCTTCCACCTGAACAAGAGTTTGTATTGGAAAGTTGGGTATCTTGGTTTAAAGCAAACGAAAGAGGAGAAGGAATAACTGTTGACCCAGCTATGGAAAAGTTGTTGGGGCGGAAACCAAAGGGACTGAAGGAGATGGCGTCTCAGATTTTCCAGGTCAATCACAAAATGGAAACCACTGATTTTGAAAATTATACAAAATGATTAGCTTTCGATAGAGCAACGATATATCAATCAACATACAACTGAGCTAGTATTTTCTTTTGATAGCGATCATTGAATTTATTAAAATCATCACACCGTGATGCATACTTTTCCAATATGTTTTTGGCTGCTTAGATACTCATAAGCATTGAGAACTCCTTCATCTGTAAATTCAAATTCCTTGTCCACGCCAACATGAATATCGTTTGTGACAAAAAATCGAACTAACTCCTCCTCCATTTGCCTCGAGCCCACTAAAATACCTCTTAATACAGCAGATTTTTTGTTTGCCAACATGACAACATTGGGATACTGGTCTGGAGGAAGGGTAGCCAAGAATCCAATCAATGAAACTATACCGCCATACGCCAGGCTATCAACAGACTTTTGAATGGTTCCAATTCCACCATTTTCAATAACGTAGTCTACACCAAGTCCATCCGTGTATTCCATTACTTTTTGTTCCCAGTCTGGAAATGTTTGATAATTGATGGTGTAGTCAGCGCCGTAATTACTCTTGACAAAATCCAGCTTTTCGTCAGAAGATGAAGTCACGATGGTAATTGCTCCAGCCGCCTTTGCGATTTGCAACGCAATAATGCTAACTCCGCCAGTTCCTTCAGCAAGCACAGTTTGACCTGGCTTCAATGGCCTCAGACCATATAAGGCGTTCCAAGCAGTTGTACCAGCGCATACTAGACTAGCCGCTTCAGAATCGGTCATTGTGCTCTTCTGTGGAATCTTGACCACGTTATTTTCAGCAAAAATAAGATATTCTTGTAAAACGCCATCCACAGCACCGCCTAGAGATGAATCACTTTCCTTGATGTCTCCGTAGAGAAGATCTTGCATAAACAAGCTGATAACCCGGTCACCGACTTGCAAGTCTTTCACTTGTGATCCAACTTGCACTACTTCACCGCAGGCGTCCGAACAAGGCACAAGAGAGGTTTTGAATCCCAACGGATAGCTTCCATTGCAAATCGCTATGTCCCGATAGTTTAAAGCAACAGCTTTGATTCTGACTAATACTTCATGCTTGTCTATTTCTTCAAGAGGCTCCAGCTTTACTGCAAGCTGCTTGTACGATGATATGTTTCCTTCAGGCAGCCTGAAGACTCGATGTTGATTTGGGATGGCCATGTTTTCATGTTAATTAAAAAAATAAAATAAATGTCATGGATGAGAGGAGGTTTTTTATAAACATTTTGGGCGTACATTTGCTCACGAATGGGCAAAGTCTCGGTAAAAGATTTTTTCCCGAACCGTTCGCTTGGAGATATTGTCATGATATGACATTGTCTTAAACTGATATAATGGCTTTATATTATTCTGGTTAGGAGGTATTCCTGTATTTATAATCATTTATCTGGTCCACAGTCTTGGCGCATCAAGGGCCATGCTCGATTCAAGGAGTGTTAAAGGACAGGGATTTTACCAACTCAATACATTTGCTTATCAACGAGCAAATACAATAAATTCTCTCTTCTATCAAAGTAGGCACTAGCGGTAGACTTCACAATATTCCTTTAGCAAATCTCTATTATATAATGCATCAAAATTAGTTGTGGGAATAGAACTACGGAGTCACCATTAATGCTGGTATCTGCTCATCAATCTGTCGTTTTTAAGAGTAGTATGGAGAACGTTGTTGTTATTCTTGAGGATGTTGACAGTATCCTAGAGATCGTAACCCAAAGTTAAAGAAATAAGCATTAATGAACCACTCAGACGATCTATCCAGATTCGAGATACATTATCAAAAAGAAAGCTTCTTGGAATTACCTGGAGAAAGCGAACAGTTTGTAGCAATATCTCATTTTGCGTCGGCGCCTTAGCCTCGCCTATGAAGATGATTCCAGTCAAAATCGTGACGAATGCTGTCGCTTTATACCGGTTTGTAAACTCCAGCAGTGTATCATTTCCTTCGAGATTCAGGAATTGTAGGTTGGTCAAGCAGAACAGCTGTATAACCCCTACAGCGACAAGAGCAATCACACCCCACTTCTTCCAAATTTCACGATTCGGCATGGTATATCCAATTGAGATCAGAACGCCCATTGTTGCGTATGACTTTGAAAGAGCAGATATCATTGGGATCCTGAGCTGAGATAGTGACTCTGCGTAAGGGTGAGTGAACACTAAGCTTCCTAGCGCAGCATAACTGAGTTGCATGCCATCCTTGCCCATTATGCGTTCAAATGTCTGCTCGGCTGACAGGCCGACTGTCTTCAGTAGCTGGTCCTCAAATTTGTAAAGCTTAGTTCGAAGTAAAAGGGGATGTATCCTGAATGGCTCTCCAATGATCTTGTAAATGTTGCTTGGATCGGGATTGAAAATCTCTCTAGCGAAATAGCCACAACCGAGTACCAGAAGCGTCGAAATAACTGTTGAAGAGGTGGAACTGTTCGGCCATTCAAACTTGACGTGTAATTGATTGTTTCTCCAAGCGGTAAATAGCAGAAGAATGCCAAGGAACGCGATTCCGAGGCCCTCTGTGAAGTCGGAAGTCGACATGGCAAAAGGGATGGCAGCTGATCGTAAAGTTTGTCACTTTCTCCGCTATATCAAATTTTTATAACTGTGTACTTGGCGGAAGAATGGTATGAACAGTCTGCCTTCATTACATTAAAAGACCTGGCTTCGGCACTGCAAGAAAAGTAAAAAAAAAAAAGTTCTAGGATGACAACTCTGTTGACTAACGCAATATTTGTATTTATTTTCTTCAAGGATAATATATATCATGAGTTTAGATGAATGGAAACATTGGACATATTCTAGCTACATCTCCGATAATATGTGCCTAGAACCGAACAACGTAAGGTGCATGACCACTGCGTATAGTATGAGTACCTAGAGGGACACCGTGTTGTTCTGCTTCAACCATCTTGCCATTTCCAGCATAGATAGCAACGTGTTCGTTGCATTTTTGAGAGTCGCTTCCATAGAATATGAGATCACCAGGTTGTGCACTAGAAAATGCAATTTTCTTTCCTCGGCTATCATTATACTGAGAGCAAGTGTAGTGAGCGAGAGAAATCTTCTTGACTTGGTAGATAGCATATTTAGTGAGACCACTGCAGTCGAATCCTTTGACATGTCTATCATCATATCCGCTCGGAGAGCAGCAAATACCATTTGTGGGTCCATTATTATCACCTCCTCCCCAAGAGTACTAGATGAGATATAAATATATCAGACGCACTTGAAGGTAGGGATTTTGAATATGTACACTTACGGGAAGACCAGTTTGAGTCTGAGCTTTCTTCACGATGGCTGCTCCAGTTCCGCTACCGCTGCTACCACCACCAGTGCTACCGCATCGCTACAGTCATTTACGTTAATCATACGATCACAGTTGTTTAATTATGCATGAACCACTCACAGGAATTTTGGGATCAAATCCAGAGTAGCCAGTCTTTACATAAGCATCGGGAAGGTAATATTTGCCATCTTGAAATATGCATTACAAGTTATTATAACTTTTCCATTTAATGCTCAGAAGAAAAATGATTAAGCTGTTAACATACCATAATCCCAAATGTTGCTGCCATACAAGGTTGATCCAGTAGTTTGACACTTAACTATTATTTTGAAATAACATTAGTTTACTCTCATACTTCATTTGAAGCTTGATACTTATGTTTGATATACCGACCGTTGATACATGCTCCACTTTTGTATACATTGGAGGTTCTAGCTGCCGAAGTGCTAGGTGACTTGCGTCCATCCAGGTCGGCCTTAGCAGTAATACAAGCTTGAACATTAGCAATGTAGCTGCTGCCGATGGCGGCTGCAATTAGAAGGGTATTGAAGAACTTCATCTTGATACTTTTTTTTTGGTATTCTTGTTGATGAGATATTTTCCATCAAACGTTCCATAGTATTTATACGTTTTCAGACACCTGACAAGAAATCAGCAAATTTCCCTTCAATTACAGCGGCAATTCAAACGGTCGAGCTTGCATATCCTGCGAGATGTATCCTTATGCACTTGATGTATATGCAAGCGGCTTGTGAGTACCCCAACCACAAGCCACTTTGTGGCCAGCTTGTGAACACTTTGTGCGTAGTAAAAATTTAGTCACGCAAAAATCGCTCTAATGTCAATGTCCATGGTCAGCCTTAATATCGTGATGAATATAATCTCCTTGATGATCAATGTCTTTTCTTCAATACACTAACCTCACCAACAAATGATCTCCAGCAACCATTTTACCACAAAGGATGTCTGTGATACCCTGGTAAACGCTTTAGTACTGAATTAGGAACATCTATATAATTTTAGGCTTCATAACTGCTGCGCAAGTTATTTCCTGGTAAATCCCATCCTACTGCGCAGTAAGAATGTATGAATGAATTACTTTTTCTTCCGATATCACTTTAATTAGTGAATTCACATCGTGGAACCCACTCTCTTTGGTCTACTCTGGCTTCCTCCAATGTGATCTACGTTGTACCAAATATTGAAATTACAGATGCATTTTATTTAGCTAACTGCGCAATATATGCTGAGATCAATGATATGTCCTCCCACCTCAATTCTCACGAATACCAGTAGAATGAACTGACTGATCACTCACTATAATTACATTTATGGTACGAATTGTCTCCTCCAACTAGTCATTTGTGCTCCTCAATTCATCGGAGTCGTCATGGCACATTTCTCATGGTCTGCGCTAAGCATGCTCGCTCTATCCCAGCAACTATTGTTTCACGGAGGGCGTGTAATATTTCCTAAAAGTGAAATAGGCGAGTTAACTTAATGGAGATGTTTAAAATGAAAAGATGAGGTTTCAAGAAATATCATAATCTCAACGGAATTCATGATGACAATATTTTTCATACCATAGTATGTAAGCTGTTTGATGATTGCTTTGAGGAACCACTCTAACATGGACAAAGCATTTAAGGCTGCTATAAAGGTTTGCAATAAGATAGATTGGTAAATGGCCGGATCTGGAACCCACATTTCCGAGCAACTACTGACCATAACAGAGTTTCTGGTTACTCCATGCAAGACATCCCGTCCTGTACGCAAGGCAAGCACGGACAAAAAATAAGGCTTTTTGATTTTTTCTAACCTATAGATATATTAAAACTTTTTTGTTATACATTCAGTTGATATACTAGTCGAAGGCAGCTGTCTATATACATAACTGATATGTTGGTAGCTACGGACACTTGAAATGGCACAAAGCGCAAACACAGGTGGAAGGTTATTTTGTTGGTTGTTTGGTACATCAAAAGATCATGGAATTCTTCAGTATTCCACATATCTATCAAGCAAGATATATCTTTTCCTTAGTACACATTTAGTTTTCATTAGTGCTCGGTAATAAGCAAAGGCATTCATATATTTGAATGAAAAAGTTTTATCTGCGTTCATCGAACAAGTAACTATCAATGTCGCTTATTCAAAGTTACACCTGAGCCAAAGCTCAAAATAGAAACGTGCGGTTATGGGCGGTTTTGGGCGATCAACGAGACTCTAAAGCGTCATAAATAAACGTTATGCGAGTAAAATATCAAAATAGTAATTTGAAAAGAAGAAAATGGCAGTATTTGAAGAGAAAAAAGAAGCCTTATAAGAAACCAAATCAGGACTGCTTTTATCTCTGCTACCCTGAAAGAACCTTTACTGACCTGCTTTAAGTGTTCCGCAAGAGTTATATATGTTAGAAAACGAGTATTTATAGCCATCTGATCATTGAAATTTTTTTTTGAATGAAAGTCCCTTTGCAAGGAATAATTAATTTTTATTTTCTGGAAAAATGGTTTAACAGAGAACGTTTGTCGAGTCCAGAGGTGATAGCGCTGATAACCTCGAAAGTTATAATGCTCTATTCTATTGTCAATATATTAAATGTGCTGAGGGTGGTATAGTAAACTTACATTTAAATCTTTTGTTTCCACACATCTATTAAAATTTTTGGTATGTGTGAGCTCAGAAACTTACATAAGGGCCCCATCTAGTCTAATATCGAAGAAATTTATTGGTAGTTGTTGCATATGCGTTAAAAAAATAAGATTACAGTAGTGGTCCAACCTCCAAATTAAGGTTTCATGGTCTAATGGTTATGACTCCAGACTCTGAATCTGGCAGCCCGAGTTCGATTCTCGGTGAGACCTATTTTTGATAATATACTGTATAGTCAATTTTGTAGGCAACTTACAACTGTACTTGAAGAGTAAATGATGGGAAGCGATTCTTTTCTTTTTAAAAGCTACGTGATAGTAAAGATTTTGAATTTCAAACGATCTTTTTTGTCTATTCATGTCCATATACATTTTCTTTTTGTTAACTGAGAGTGAAAAATTACGTTACCAAAATTCGCAGGGAAGCTGCAAACTGGAAGACATCAAAGAATAGAATGAAAGGGAGTAGGCCAAAATTTAAGTTAGAGGAGATGAAAAAATTATCATAAGCTACATTGAGTAGTATCAAAATGTGGTGTCGTAAGACCTTTTTGTGCCAATGTCAATTTGCGAAATTCCTCCAAAGTCACTCCTGTTCGAGCTTTGAATACTCGGTGGAAATGGAAGCTACTCATACCAACTTTGCTAGCTAGATAACGCAAAGAAGGCATTTTTTTACCTTGCTTTGCTGCCACCCTAATCTCTTCTTTGCCCGATTCCACAGCGATCATTTGTCTAAAGTCACTTGGTAAAACTAGATCTTGAGGGTTGCATCGCTTACAAGGTCGGAAACCGGCGCTCTTTGCTTCTTCATTAGTCAGGAAAAACAAAACATTGCACAGAAGAGGTCGCCGGGAAGGGCAGGTTGGGCGACAGAATATGCCAGTCGTCCTAACACAATACACAAAGTGACCACAAGCTTCGCTATCACGTTTCAACACTGCTTGCCATCGCTCCTCATCAGTTACATACAGAAACGGCCAAAAGTGAGATGACGAGATTGAGATGTCTGGAAGGCTAATAGTAGTGTCGTTCGAGTTGCATGAGTGAAATGATTGATCCAAAGCAAGGTCAGGTAATTTCTGCAAGGGATTTTCGGGCACAGTAAAAGCTTGCTTATTATCACCTGCAGGACAGTGAGGCAAAAGAAAAGTATCCAGCCAAGATAGAACATGTAATTCCTCTGAAGTGAATATAGGTTGCATTGCATCTATTGACGTATCTGCTATAAGTCATGCGAACGCAGGAGAATGGTACCACAGTAGCTGCGAAAATAATAATACCTAAGCTAGTACTGAAATCGATACCATGAAGACAGTAATTCTCAACAACAGCAGTATAGGAACGCTCGCAATCTTCAGCGGCCTGAACAAGTTTTCTTCGCTTGCACACTGGTTGGTTTCGATCTCGTACATTCTCGGAAAGCGAAGCATTAGAAGTTTCCGAAGTCCGTTCGATAGTATTGCGTGTCAAAAGTACGTGTCCCATATTCAAGGCAAAGTCGTCTTGTAGGTGAGATTGCTGGTTAACACCTAAGGACTCATTTCATGAAGACATCTTTTTATGAATTCTAAGTTGCTGTCAAAGAGGTGCAATTCCACTGGGTTTAAATATTGAGAGCAATGACAATGGGAGAAGATTTCCCACAGTAATTGGCAATCATCAGTGTACCAAAGTTGTCTGAAGAACACTTATAACGTTCTACTCAATATTTCAGTAGCCTTGTAGTCTTATATAATATGTACATTCAGAGTGCGATGTATTGCTTACAACATGCTATACGCGGTATGCCCTCTATAAAAACTGAAAAAAATAGGTCATAAGAGCTGGCTAAATTTAAGGGAAGATTTGAAGGTCTGGATACGTCTACGTTATAGTCCAAATGTCCTCCTTCTAGGAGTTTTTGGTTCCCGTAATCCAGGTGTAGCAATTCGAGATGACTGTATAGTGTTGAGACGCTGTCTCTGCTTTTGTTCATCTTCTGCCTCCTCACGCTCCCGTGCTATAGATCACAGATATAAGGTTAGGCTCTGGTTCAATAGACATGATTATATGGAGGTCCCGCTCTTACCAAGTTTCATTTCCATTTCCATATTCAATCTGGATTCCGCAGCCTTATTCGCCATGCGTTTTTCCTAAAAATAAAATGCATAAGCCGAATGCTAGTATTGACATAAATCCTAAGATTAAACTCACCCTATGGCCAAAGTTCTTTTCTCGGTCACGAACTGAAAAGAACATGGGTCCAAGTTCCGCTAACCAGAATGGATCCACCGAAGTGACGCATTGCATATATTCCTTGGAGGTCATGATAAGCTCATGGTAGACGACGTAGTCAGGAGTAAAGCCTGCCCCAAATAAGGCACTGGTAGGATGCAAGTTACACTTCATACCAGTACGGCAATTAACGTACTCTCCGATACCCTTAACACGAGCAGCTTGGTGGAAATAAGCAGAGCAAATACATTTTCTATAGGTAAAAGGTTAAAAATGTATGTCCAGTGAAAGTCAAACATAGTAGCGCCTACCCTACCTGATGATATCCCAGTCTGTACCGCATGAAATATATGGCAGCTTGGTTGTCTTCATGATTTCCATTAGCTGCGATCGCACCTCTCTAGCTTTTCTCATTGCTTTCGGATGGACAAAGTGGCGATTACACCAGTCATCCCTATATCTGTGAGAAGCATATTGTATTGTGAGTTAGCAACATAGAATCCCAGCAAATAAAAAGTTTGAAAAGCCGCATACCCGTTAGCTTTCCATTGAGTGTATACATGTAGTAAAGTGAGATGGTCACTCTCCGGAACAAAGAACTTTTCGCGTGCGGCGTCACTTTCCTCCATACGCTCCTTTGGACGATAGAAAACTGATGGCACAGAGAGCATAGAAACGATCGTCTAATGAAAATGATAAGGAGGTTTGATATAGTTAAAAGGAGTTAGGAACAGATGCTCAAATACACATCAGTACACGACTTCGGTCAACATACCAAAACTTCTGCAGTACAACCTTGCTCCTCTGCAGTGATTAGCATTTTTGCCAAAGAAGGATCTAGGGGGAAGTCGTTCATCTTGCGACCAGCAGGAGTCAGTTCGCCAGTATTATCAAAAGCACCTATAACCCACAGCTGGTACATCGAGTTCAATATGTTGTCTTGTGGTGGTGGGTCCATGAAATTGAAATCAAGCAAGTTTTTGACTCCAAGCGATTTCAGCAAGAGTACAACACTGGCGAGATTTGTTCTCTGAATTTCGGGAATATTGTTCGCAAACATTTCATTCTTATAAGCCATTTCAGTATAAAGTCGGTAGGCCATTCTACACAATAGAATGTTGATCAGTATACACGAATAGTACAGTTATTGCAGCTAAACTATGCTTACCCTGCACCAGTTCTGCCCGCTCGTCCACTTCGCTGATTGGCATTTGCCTGACTTATTGGAGTGACTTGCAGAGCATCCATACCAATTCGAGGATTATACACCTTGAGTTTACAATAGCCAGTGTCCACAACATACATAATGCCGTCGACTACAAATAAAGCATATAATTAGTTTGCATCGCGGAAATTGCATGTTAGCCCACCAATTGCTTTACCTGTTAGAGAAGTTTCCGCAATATTAGTAGCAACAATCACTTTTCGAATGTTATTTTCGGACCGTTGGAAGATTTTTGCTTGAAGATCAGCAGGAAGCTGTGAGTAAATAGGAAGGATAGCCAGAGGTGGAGGATTGTCTAGTTGGTCAAGGCGTTCTTTCAGAACCTGGCATGTCACTTCAATATCTTCTTGACCGGTCATAAAAACAAGAATATCTCCAGCTGGTTGAGACAAATGAATTGCGAGCGTCTGCTTGACAGCGCTATCAACATAATCTTCACAAGGTGTTTTGCTAAAAAGAACGTCTACAGGGAAAGTACGACCTGGAATGAAAAAGGTAGGCGCGTTTCCATAGAATTGAGAGAACTGGAAGGGCAGACAGGTCAGAGCAATAGTCAGCATGAAAAGTGGATGTTAAAATATCACCTACTCGTTCCGCATTCATTGTGGCAGAAGTGACGATCAATTTGAGATCTCGCCTGCGAGCCAATACTGTGATCGAAATTTCCATTAGTAAAAGAAATTTCGATTGACTTCTACTGGACATTGACGCAGACGAATGTACCTACCTTTTTTCAACAAGCCCATAAGAACGTCTGTATTGAGAGCACGTTCGTGAGCTTCATCCATAATGATGGCACTATATTGATCCAAATCCGGTTGTCCCATAGACTCTCGAAGTAGAATACCATCCGTCATGTACTTTATCAGGGTATTTTCAGACGTCTGGTCTTCAAAGCGGATTGCATAGCCAACAGTGTCGCCGAGTTTGGTATTCATCTCTTCAGCGACACGCTTAGCGACAGACATAGCAGCAACTCTTCTAGGCTGAGTACATCCGATCATGCCGAAATTGGTATATCCATCTTCATGCAAATACTGAGTGAGTTGCGTGGTTTTTCCTGAACCAGTTTCACCAACAATAATGACGACTTGATTGTCTCGCACAATACGTAGTAAGCTCTCGCGAACGGCAAAAGCAGGCAAAAACTCTCGTTGTTCTTGGATAGTCTTGGTTCGAGCAAACTGGCTGACAGCTTCACCTGACTTGAGATGTGATGCAAATTGGGATTCACTTGTTGGATCTTCTTCGGTTGAGTGAACTCCAGCTGATTCTTCTTGTTCCTTTTCCTTAACGCCCATAACATTGCCAAGAGTTGTACCGGCAAGGTCAAACTTGTTGGCCGCCTTTGCTCTCTCCGCTTGTTCTCGCTTTTCCTTAACCAGTTGACTACCCTTCCTCGAAAAAATTGCCATATCAGATGTCGGATCGCGAATGTGCTGAACCGCCTCCACTTGCTTCGTGAATACCATACGGCCATCCAAGAACGGTGGTTTAATGTCGTGAACTAGAAGGTGTACTCGATTCTATAAGAAGGTAGGTGTTAACGACTATCTTAGAGTGAACTTGATTAATGTTTCAAGTTAGCTCACCTCGTTTTCTTCGTCAAAATCGGTATCAACTTCACGTCGCTGTGCTATACCACTGCTCAACATTCGACTGGCTTCCCACATTTCTGTGTCCTTGTTATATTGTGCTTGCCTTGCCGACAATTTTTTCTACATATCACAATCGTAGCAAAATGGAATGGCTGTGAGGACATGAAAGCGAAAACGAAACTTCAAAGCACTAAAACTTACGATCTGCTTCTTTGCCAACTCCTCTTCTTTCTCATGGTCGTGGACTTCATATTCGGCAAATGGATTATGCGTTTCATCCATAACACCATTTTCCTCCATTTGATACCAATCACGATCGAGCTGAGCTTGCTCTTCTTCCCAATGCATTCTGTCAGAGCCATCCAAGGTCTCTTCAGGGTATTCTAAGGCAATTTCTTCGTAGCCAGATGGTTTGACTTGTGGGGTTGCGTAGTCCCAGTCAGATGATTTCACGCTTGAGCGGGCACCAGTTTCATGGCGAGGCGTTGCACTGCCAGGTGTACTCCTTGGTGTGAAGGAGCCATCCGAACGACTTGGTGTTGGTGTCATGCTTGCCCACTCACTGCGTTTATAGAGACCTCCTTTTCTAGGCGTTGACGGTGTTGGATCACTGGATGCTGTGCGTGATGTATCAGGGCGGTTGCTTCTCTCCTCTCTTCGATCCCGAGGTTTATTATGGCGATCGTCTGAATAACGTTCATGTCGAGTTTCTCTGTCCCTGTCCCTGTCCCTATCTCTATCTCTGTCTCTGTCTCTATCTGACCTGCGGTCTCTGCTATATCGATCGTCACGAGAGTGACGACTGTCTCGTCTATCCTTGTTATCGCGAGAATCATCTTCTCTAGAGCTGCGATATAATCCTCCTAGCGGAAAGAAGACAACAATATTAGTATGTAATTTTTTTATCCCTTTGTTTACAAATTGTTATATTGCCACATTTGCATTACCTTTATTCCGATCGCGTCGCTTGAGATCTTCTAGTCGGCGAATGGCTTCATCCGTCATACCATTAGCATGGGACGGAGTATGCATACGCTGGTGTGAGCGATACTGTGGTTCGTGTTTTCGTATAGCTAAACTAGTTATAAGTAAATTGGTATGTAGTTCATAACAAGATGTTGACCTGCTTACATGTAGGTTCGTCCACCATTTCTTCGTCCTGGTCTTCGTCGGCAGCGTAGTCCATTTTTATCTTCTTCTGACTTTCGGATGCCTTCGCAGCCTCTGCTTCACGTTTCTGCTGAGCCAATTTATCAAGACCAAGTAATGATGCTCGGGCGGTAGGAGCTTTAAAGATTGGTCGACTCTGTTGATGCATGCATAAATAAAAGCAAATCAAAGGATCGTACACCAATACAGTGCAAACTTACCTCATCGTTGTTTGAGGACTTATTAGGACGCAATAACCCTCCAGGAAGATTATTAGACATGACGACGGTTTCGTCACTAGTTGTATTAGCTGACAATGGCGCAGAGGTGTCCGGTCCACCAGAGATCATTCTGCCAGATTCTCGAAGATGCTGGTCAATTGTGCCATACAAATCTAAGAGAAACTCTGTTTTGAAGCGACCAAAGCTTGCACAAGCTGTAAAGTTTACGAGTAAGTATGATTTTCGGCTGACGGAGGGCATTTGCCGATCAAATCCCTACCTTTGGTGAAAGCTTGCGGGTTTCTATCGTTTCTTGCAATTTGAATGACTCTTTTGGCCAACAGATCGTTAGGATTAGTCAGATTTAGCGTTCTTGATAGCTGGATAGCTATCTCGTGAGTGAAAGAATCGATTTGGTCCGCCATTATTGGTCAATGGCAAAGCAAAGGGGTGCAATCCAAGCACTGTGCAAAAAGAAGTGGTTAGAAAGCAGTCCTGTCACGGGAGTTTCTGCATGCTACGGGTTGATGGACAAAGATATCTATCATTTTAGAAGCACGAAGCAAACTTGCGACAGCACTTTTGACGCTATGGCATCTCTTGAAAATCATTTATTTTTTTATTACATTGCATTGCATGACATGTTTTCATTGCTCAAGTTTAATCGTCAAAGGTGTATTCAAATGGTTCAAAGGGCGGTGCTTCATCTTGTGCTCCATTGGCTGCTGAGGATTCAGCAGTAGGTGCACTAGGATCAATAAACTCTTCAGGTTGATCGGGGTGTTTATCAACCATAAGAAGAATGCCGCCAACTGTACCCTTCTTGATAGGGACATATCGTGAGTCAGGTTTAAATGCAACGTGCTTGAGTTGAGATGGAACAACACGAGCCATATTTTCAAGTACTTCAAAGTTTTCCTCCTTCTTCTTCTTGGTCTTCTTCTCTTCCGCTTCCTTCTTTTCATCAGACTTGGCAGCCTCTGCTGATGTAGATGCTTGAACTTCCTTATCCTGTAACAAAAAGATTAATCTTTTGTCCTAAATTGCTATTATCAGGCCACAACAACTTACCACATCCATCAAATCACCCTTTTCATTCTTCTTCGCACGTGCCTTAGTTTTGGCTGTAGTGGATAGAACAGCTGTGGCAACTTTTTCGACGACGGTTGTCGTTGGTGGCTTGATTGCCGGTGGGTAGGCAAAGAGAGAAGGCTTGGCATTGGATAAGAACTCGAACTGAGGAATCTGTAAATATACAAAAGTTAAAACAGCTGTCAACTCAGCCTTATATTGCCGCTGACAACTTACTTTGATATCCTTATTCAAACCAATAATGGCGGTCGGAGTAAAAGCCAAACTCAAGAAGTGAGTTAGTGGATACCAGTACCAAAATTGAGTAAAGACAGCCATGCCGACAATGGCAGGCATATTGGTGTGTCCTGTGCGTGAGAGAAGGGATATAGTGACATTGCGACCACCAGCATCGATGATACCTTGCGAGAGGACAGCACCGAATTTGGCCATGGAATCTTCATGTTTATCACTGATGATCTTTTCGTAGAGTTTGCGGACTGTGCTGACCTTGCTGTTGGTCGCATCGTTTTGCTGGATCAAAATCATTGCTAGAGAGATTAAAGCACCTTGTCTGACAAAATCAACGGGGTCGCGGGTCATGGGTTCCAACAACTCGATCGCATCCATGGATCCAGTACCAGCACAAGAGATACCAAGGGCAAGTGTTGCACCATACCGGACATGAGGATTATAACTTTCTGACAAAAGTTGAACAATGCGAGGAACTTGGTCTGGATTCCTAAGCAGGATGAATCCTAGAGCAGTAACTGCAGCACGACGAACGTCATCGTTGACATCACTGACAGCAACATGAAGCAGTCTTCGAATAGCCTTGTTATTTCCGGTGGCGCAATAAGCCATAGCAACGGTATAGATACCACCATATCGTAGAACGGGATCCTGGTGAGACGAGAGGCGTAAGGAAAAATTAGATGGTTAGATTTGAAGTCATTGCCGAGAACTGATATATAGTGAATGCGGCTTACCTTATCATTGACAAGCTCCTGGATCAAGGTGTCCGCCTGCTCTTCCTTGCCATACATGATCATTGACATACCAATCGCCAAACCTCGAATGATCTTTTCATGCTGAGTCTCATGAGCGTATCGGAACATCTCGTCAATGGCAGAAGCGTTCGCCGTACCCAACATGACAAGACCCATAGCCAAACCAGCAGCTTCGCCAGCCACAGCATTATCGCTGAAAAGTACGTTCTTAAGATCTTCGAAAACCTCTTCATTATCAGTTGCCATGCCGGCAACACCGAGACCAAGACAAGCACCATGCTGCAAGACTTCTGACTGTGTATCCCGAAGAGCTTTGCGTAAATAGTCTAAAACATCACCGCCATGGTTGGCATTGATCAAACCAAGTGCAAAGAGAGAGCCACCTTCCGAATAAGAGCTATGGCCACTAACGCCTTCTTGAGGAAGATATGGAGCAAGAAGTCCCATGGACTGCGAAAGTTGACCCTTGTGGATGACACCAAGAGCTGCAGTTGCGCTGAACTTGGACCAGTTTGTCGCTCTTTGCAACCAATCCAAATTTTGACGTAAAAATTCATCACTGGTTGTTCCAGCGTGCATAAATGCGTTGGCAAAGGTGACCGCAGAATGATAAACGGAGTTTCGAGACTCGAGGGCGTTCTGTTACAAGAAGTAGAGTTAAGTATGAATGTTTGATGCAATATACATACTCCTTAACACTTTTACCTTAGTGTTCTTGAGAATCAAAAGATCAGTATGGTTTTTGCGGTACAAAAACTCAAGATAAAGCTTGATGGTTTCTTCGCCAGATAAAATGGTCTTGATTTTTGAAAAGCTGTCATTGTTAGGATCAGTAGGTGCATCATCTGTGTCCATTTCATTTGCTTCGGTCTTTTTCGTGGCAGGAAGGTCTTGTATAACCTTTAGCAAGAAGTCTTGTGTGGCACTGTCTTCCAAGTCGAATGCAATTTGGAATGCCATCAACAAAGATTCCTATAAGCATCGAATTAGGTCACGCCTCTCACAGTAATATCCGCATATATACTCTACTTACATCTGTGTTTTTGGCCACAAGAGTTTCCAACATATTTGAGCAGGCAGCAGGATCATTCAAGTGAACAAGGCATTGGCTGACGGATACGTAATCTGGTTCATCCAAATTTTGGTAAAGTTTGACAAGTAATCGCAATACCTATAGTAGCCTTATTTAGTTCATGCTAACAATCCATACCAAAAGGCAGTACTACCTACCTCATTACGGAATTGCAGATTTTGAACCAAGGTCATGCTGACTTCGATAACAAAGGACAGTAATTCGTGCGGATTTCCTTTTGAAATGACGTCTTCCACTACATCCAGTCGTTTTGACTCTAGCGCAATACCAATTGCTTGTTTGTATTCTCCATCGTCTATACATCGTTGGAACATGCGTTCAACAATGCTTTGAAGTCTAGGGTCGACATCTTCGCTCTGGTCATCTTGTGCTCGACTTCTGAGGGCGATATACTTATCAATACATTGCGCTACGGACAAATGATAGTTAGACCAAAAATGTGCATGTGCGATAGAGTTGATGGAGAGTCACCTACAGATTATCGTTTCAATGTATTCTGATTTCTGGGAGACATCAACGAGATTTCCAGCACCCAAGGCAAAGGTCAGTGCGTCGTCAAGTTCTCCAAGATGATAGTATACCTACAGATAGAATAGAGAAATTAATAAAGTGTCGCTATATCTTGAAACCTAGTCAACAGACTTACCTTGGATGCCACCAAAGCAGCCAGCTCTCGCTCGGAAAACTCGGAATCTTCGTACAAGATCTCACTACGATGAAAGAAGCGATTAGAAAGCTCGTTCGAGGTGCATATGAGAAAGGGAGTGATGGTCTGTCACCGAGCTGTATTGCTTACATCTTTCCTACAGAGTCTGATATTTCCGCCCAAAAGTCATTGACAAGAGTGTTGAGTTTTTGAAGAGCATAGGTTTTAAGTTCGACTTGGTCTTCGTCCAATAGCGCGATGACACCACCTATTGTACAAAGGAGAAAAGTATTAGACAGTGCGTTATAAATACAGTGGACAATGTCTGATAGACTAGTACTTACTTGCAGAAGTCAATGCGACCATTGTTTAATAAGAATTGGTATAATCGAATGTGGTAAGTACGCGCGCGAATTCAGGCAACTTGTAGGCGGGTTACGTTGACTTAGGGACTTGCGTCACCACAAAGGCACCGTTTCAAATACACGTGACTCTGCCACCGTAAGTCACGTGCATTAAATTTTTGGGCCTTGCTGTCCTCAGCGAGAGACAAGAGCGGGGCAACAGAACCAGTTTTGATTCAGTATCTTCTGTAATGGCAACAACCAACGGCCACGTACCTCGATCGCGCACAATCGAGGTACCTCTGCAACATGAGCAGGTCTTGGAAGTTGTATGCGAAGATCTGCCCGCTAATCCTATCGAACTTACCGACATCTTTAGCCAAGAAGGTGTTGGTTTACTTTACTACCGCCTACTCGCAGTAAGTACCAATTGATAGCTACACTCTGGGAATCAACTAGTTGCTGAATACACCTTATTTCAAAAGTTTGAATACTATCGACAGTCCAAGTTCGATGAGGCCATCAAGGTGTTACGAGCTGGATTGAACGCAGGTTTGTACTGATCACGTCGTTAACGCCGCGTCGTGAACAGTTACTAATGTACATTGTGATGATCGCAGCCAATGATTCACCACAAACACAAGCACGACATAAGCTTCCTCTCCTTATTCTTATGGCAACCTTAAATATTCAGCTTGCAAAAATGGCGAGCGACACGAACGTGAAGCAAACGTTCATGACCGAAGCAGTTCAACTAATCAATGACGCCGATCGTATCAACAACCAGTACGAACCAACGTTCATTATTAAAGGAATTTTGTACTTACAACGAGGAGATTTAAATGAGGCGTTTAGAAGTTTCACCATGACCTTGGAAAAGATCCCATCTTGTATTCCTGCCTTGATTGGCAAAGGTCGCATACAGTTCACTCGAAAGCAATATCGTCAGGCTCTCAAGACCTATCAAACCGCTTTATCTTATACTACCGGGAATGAGTATAATGTTGAAATTCGACTGGGAATTGGACTTTGCTATCATCAACTTGGCATGAGCTCTGAAGCGAAGACTGCCTTCAAGCGTTGTCTACAAATGGTAAGATTATCGTTCACCAACCAGATCAGTCGACAAAAAAGAAAACGTGAATTAATTGTGATTCTTCAGAACCCATCAAAGTCCAACCCAGTATCACTTATTCTCCTTGCCATCATGGAATTGAACGAGTCTAAGGATCGGGAGCTAGGCATTGTGCATCAAGAAGCATCTCTCAAGCAAGGCTTACAGCACATGCAGATGGCTCATACTGCCAACAAGAAAGATCCTGTTGTCCTTAATATGCTCGCTAATCATTTTTTCCTCACGAAAGAGTTTGCAAAGGTGCGCATTGTGTACTGTACCGAGTTTATAATGCGTATTCATCATTAATGCAATGTTTATATAGAGTATTAAATGTGCCACCAGGGCATATAATATATCCCGGCAGAACCTCGTGAAAGCGGAAGCTGCATACCAAGTTGCTCGCGCACAACACCAAATGGTAAGTTTTGAAGAAGATGTGTGTGATATTGTATGGTTATTGACAATCTCGGTCTTTTTTCAGCAACAATATGACGATGCTTTCAAGTACTACAGCGAAGCGTTGCAACTGAATCCTGATCACATCCTGTCACAGTTCGGTGTTGGTCAACTTTATCTTAAACGAGGTTTGTAAGACTGAATTTTTGCAACATATCAAAATCGATTACTAAACCTGCGAAATATAGGCGAGATCGACAAGGCCATTCAGTATTTTGACAAAGTTTACTCTACTGAATCACGATGCATAGAGGCACTGAAGGTAAAGAGTTTAGGTCAGCTGCAGCCCAAAATGACTTGTGTTGACAATTGTACATACTCTTGGCGAATACTAGGTGCTTGGCTCATTGTACGCACTGGCGGGCAAAAAGGAAAAGGCAATGGAGTGTCTTGTAAAGGTTCTGACTGAGATCAAGGATGACCCAATGTTATTGATTGAGGTTGCTCAGCTTTCGGAAGAAAATGATGATAAGCGAGCACTCAGAGGTGATTATAGTACATGTTGGCCAAGCCAGCGTAGTGTTGTCTTTATTTACCTATTTGTGTTCAACAGCTTACGAACAAGCTACCGAGCTATATAAGCGCCAATCACCCGCTGATGGTGAAGAAGACCAAGTGTTACCCGAGGTTTTGAACAATATGGCTGCCATGTATCACATGCAAGGTATAAACCACTACATAGCACTGTGCCAGGTTATCTATATTCTGACACTATTCTCCTTCCATAAGGTGACTTGCAGAATGCCGAATTGCACTATGGATTAGCTGTCCAGGAGTGTGAGCGCCAACTTCAACTCACCGAGACCAACGATGACATGAAGCAGAAAATTGCCGGCTTCGAATTGACCATATCGTATAACCTTGGTAGACTGTGTGAAGACAAGGGCGACACGGAAAAGGCTACTGAGATTTACAAGAAGATAGTGGATGGCAATCCTGGATACGCAGATGCGCATTTACGACTGGGAGCTATCGAGCAAGCAAATGGGCGAGTCTCAGATGCTATTGAGCACTACAAAGAGGTCTTTGACACAAATGCTCTTAATGCCGACGCTTGGACGATGATTGGCCAAGCGCAGATGTCAATGAATGAAAAGATCTGCAAGCGGTCATTCGAAAAGGTCCTCAAAGATTGTGACAAGAATGATCTGTATACGCATGTAGCCCTCGGTAACTATCATAGCAATACAGCTAGAGAAATGAAGGGCGATGACAAGCGGGCTGCTCGATCTGAAGCCTACAAGCTGGCTACAGGGTTCTTTTCTCAAACTCTCAAACGTGATCCCTACAACGTTTATGCTGCCAATGGTATTGCTATCACATTAGCTGAACGTGGTCACGTCAACGAGGCGAAAGATATTTTCAACCAAGTACGCGAGTCAGCTGTCAACAATCCTTCCATCTGGGTCAATTTGGCCCATGTTCATGTAGAACTAGGTCAATTCAAGCAAGCTGCAGTGATGGTACGTAATGCTCATATGTGGAGACACAATGTTAGGTACTAATTCTCTTATAACCTGATTTCAGTACGAAAATGCTTCCAAAAAGTACTATGATGATAAGGATGCAAATGTCTTGCTGTGTATCGCTAAGATGCATTTTATGATCGGCAAGGCTGACAAGAGCCCCGAAGAGATGCTGCTAGCGCTGACTTATTCAGAAAAGGCTTACAGCGTTGACCCTAACGACAAGACCATCTTATACGATGTTGCGTTGGTTCATCAAACATATGCACAGTTGATTTCTGATCTTCCCAAGGATCAGCGTACAACCGACCAAATGAGACAAGCCATTACTGGGTTGGAGTCTAGTAAGGCTCACTTCCAAACTCTGCTTGACATCAGCCCTGATGTCCATGTGCACTACGACCGCAAGATTGTGGAGCAGCGTCAGCGTCACGGCGAGTCTCTTCGCACTCAAATCGAACGTAAGCTTACTGATCAGATGGAATTTGAGGGAGAGAAGAAACAGCGCATGGAGGAAGCACGAAAGAAGCGCGACGAAGAGTATCAGCGTAAGAAGGTGGAAGAGGATGAGCGACGCGAACAAGAAGTTAGAGAACGAGAAGAAATGGAGTCCGAGCGACGACGTATCATGGAGAAAGTGCGGGAGGAGAATGCTCTATTGGCCAGCCAGGATGTTGGACTTAGTGATGAAGAGCAGCAGCAAAAGCAAAAGAAGAAGAGAAGAAAGGATCTTGATGACGGTATCGTGGATGATGAAGAAATGGAGGAAAACGAAGCTCCCCGACGACGCAAGCGAAAGGAAAAGGATCCTTCAGAGAAGAAGGAACCAAAGGTAAGATATTGACAACGGTTTATCATTTGATGAGTAATGGAAAAAAGTCAACTAGATAACTCAACCGCATTGTTCTATAGCGTCCTAAACGTAGAAAGTCGGAAGATCTTGACGAAATTGATAAGCCCAAGAGGCGAGTTAGGTAAGCAGCCTTTTGTTTGCAAATTGGTGTCGGATTCCCGCACGAAGTACTCACGGTTGATCATATTAGAACGAAACAAATCATCGAATCCGAGGACGAGGAGGATGGCTCAATGTCACCTCAGGCATCACGACCAACCATCGCAGACGATGAAGAGGATTCTCAGCCTGACGAGGAGGAAGAATAGTAAATAGATACCTGTACTTCGCCTCTCATTATCGATTTCGCAGCCGTACTGCGACCAGCAATCCACCCCACACCTTCCAATTTGGTTCATCTCTGGTTTTATTTTGTCACTAATGTTAAAAAGCAAAATTAAAGCATTAAAATAAAGCATGTATATTCGTACAATTTACAAGTTTGCATTGGGAGAGCAATAGGAAGAAAACAGGATAGTAGTTTGGACTACAATCTTGTGAGATCAAAATGGATGGTGGAGCTGCTGGGTTTGGCAAGCTGTCAACTAGGAATAAAGTGTGTTTTCCAGATGTTGTTGCAGAAAGACCACCTTGCTCATAATGTATGTACAATGTTGTCGTCACATACCAGTCTTTGAAACACAGTTACAAACCTTTCTTGTCAGTCTAATTAAGAGACAGAACTTTGACATGAAGGGAACAAATAATGGCCCACATTGCTAACCGCAATTTAACTCTCTACCCCTTTTGTCTTACGATATGCCACTACGTCTAGTTTATGCTATGATTTCTTAGGGTGGGGTTGAGCGAGCCTGCAAATTCAAAATACACCGATCAAAAGTTGGTGGTTCCATTTGCCTAAGCACTTAAAATCCTCTTTTGTACGTATCAGTGAGCGGAGAAATCTTGATCCAGCGTGCCGCAAGTTCCCAGAGTAATGCTCCCTTTAGGGGTTAACAAATTTGGTTGTAGAATGCGGAGCTAAAACCAATGGAAGTTGGTAGCGTCAGTATCAGCCATGAGTATTGAAACATTGCTCAAGTCTCGCTGACAAAAGCTAATCAATCATTGCGAATTATATGGAGAGTCTTCCAATTTTTTTTTTGAAATGATAGCGGAAGCATGAGGAATATTATTCGGATACAAATGACTTTTTGCGAGACCCAGGTAAAAAGCGCTGTTTCAGTGCGAGCCTTGTTCCTCCAGTGGGAGGTCGGGATAGCACGTGACCTGGTTAAACTTTGCTGGTTCCATTAGGTCTTCTCAAAGGGAAGCCGACTATGAGACCAGTCAATTTTGATGTACACGACTTTCGACGTAAACATCAACAAGTCTAAAGATCAAATATGAAGTGATGCAGTGCGGATAAGAGGAGGTACGCAGGAGCAGCAGTTAGTATTTTACTGCTGCTTTACCCCGTACATTATGACATCTCACTGTATGAGCCCCGCGAAACGCAACTTCAACCAGGGTCCTTGCCTGTAAAAGGACCACACAAGTTCTCCCTCTCGATTGCTTGAGCACAAAATGATATGCCTTTCCGGTGTATGTTTATTAACGACGCGGGTGTACATCTTCAACAAATCCATAGGACTAATTTGCACGCTTATTTACAAGGCGTGTTCTAGAAAAAAATATTCTACATGTATTGACCACGCTCATGCTGTCTCAGCCACTGCACCTTGACACCAAGCTGATCGGCGGCATTGTAGACAAGGTTCGGGTCACGCAGAAACTCGCGAGCCATGAACACCAAATCAGCTTTGTTAGATCGGATGATACTCTCCATTTGATAGGGATGAGTGATGAAGCCTACTGCGCCCGTCAAAATTCCTACCTTCTCCTTGACGGCTGCAGCAAAAGGTAGTTGAAACATTACCATGGGGTTCTTTATCTTCTCTGCATCTTGCTTGGCTGCTTGAAGACTACCAAAGGTATGATGGTTGATGGTGGTGCCTTCCGAACCTTCTGGAGCAGGAGCATCAACAAGCTTGATATCTTCGGGGTTCGCAGGTTTGAATGTTTGGGTAGGAGTGTTACCTCCAGAAGAGCAGTCAATCAAATCTACCCCCTTGTCCTTCAAAATGGCTGCTAATTTAATGCTTTGATCCAAGTCCCATGACTCTTCGTCGGGATTGTTGTGCCACTCAGAGGCAGAGATACGAACAAACAAGGGCTTGTCCTTTGGCCAATTCTGTTGAACGGATTCCAAAATTTCCAACAAGAAGCGAATGCGGTTTTCAAACGAGCCTCCATATTTGTCGGTACGGTGATTGCTGAGTGGAGATAAGAACGAGTTGATCAGGTAACCGTGGGCGCCGTGAAGTTCAATCACATCAAAGCCAACTTCATCAGCCCACTTTGCAGATTGGCCAAAAGCAGCCACAGCCTTTGCAATTTCCTCTTCACTCATTTCATGAGGGACACGGAAGTGTTCATTCCAAGGAATGCTGGAGGGACCATTTGGTGTCCAGCCACCGTGTTCATCGTCCACACCTTGCTTTGCAGCCGAAGTGCCTTGTCTAAACATGGAATACGTTGACGCCTTACGACCGGCGTGGGCGAGTTGGATACCGATCTTTACTCCAGTCTTGTGGCAAAGCTCAATGATAGGAATGAAGGCATCACGGTGGGCGGGAGACCAGATGCCCATGTCTTCTGGTGAAATTCTGCCTTCTGGCAAGACACCACTTGCTTCAATGAACATCAAACCTGGGCCACGAATAGCGAACGATCCATAGTGAGCCATATGAAACTGAGAGTCAAACATACCATCCTTGGATGAGTACATGCACATGGGCGATACCACGATACGGTTGTGGAAAGTGGTATTTTTGATTGTAAGTGGACTAAAGAGCTTGCTGTTGGTGGCTTCTTGCGGAGCACCAATTGGCACCTTAGTCTCCATAATGGGAGTCCATTCATTCTGCTGAGAGTGGGACATGGTGTTAGGTGATGGGTTGTGGCAAATGGCGAGTTGAGAGTTTCTGAAGAGGTGGTTCAGATCGAGCGGTGAGTTTTTATATTGGCCACCTCCAAATAAAAATTGAGTCCTCCAACCGCACGCTTAGTAAACTTTAGGCAGTCCGGAAATTTCGATCTGCCGGCTTCAACATAGCCTTTCGGTCTTGCCAATGTTTGATTGACTAGGAATAAGAAAGTGTTTTGACTTTTGACATAAACGTTCTGTTCAGCGGTTTCACCTTTTCTTTCTTCCTAAACTTTACTCTACACGTCCTTCGGAAAGGATGCCTTACGGATGACAAATCGGTGCTGCAGGTTCGACTGTCACAATATGGCGCAATTGTGACATGCAAAAATATTGGTTATGCCGAATGGTTTCAATAGCGCGTTATCCAATAGAGTTAAGCATGAAATGTATAGCTAAAAAGTAAAAGAAACCAAAGAAGTGTGATTTGAATGTTAAGCTTAGCATATGGATTATTGTGGCACCTACGAAAAACGCCCCGGCCGTTCGCCGCGCCTTCATGTGGTTGTCTTGTTAATCAGGGTAGCGACCGTCTCAACCAAGCCAAGCAAAGCGACAATAGTCTAACTTCTTGATAAAGGTGTACCGATACAACAACGGAAAGTGTAAGATGTATCTTCGTTATTTTGGTGCCTTAAAATTTAGCCGGTTCAACTTCAATCCATATTGTAGGGCCATCCACTATCGTGGTACCAATTTTTCCCAGTTTTGTCTAAAGAAGTCATTATCAAAGCTTGTGGAAGGGACGAAAACCGGTCTTGGCAGTGGATTCCTATATATTGTTCCACATTGTGCTCTACAAGCGGCTGAAGGTTTACTCTCATCGTGAATCCACATTTGGAATCTCTCAGATAAACATATCTTGTGGTAAATTTTCACTTGGTAAACAAGCAGTAAAGAGATATTTTTGGAGATTCTCAAGTTCCCTCTCTTTCTTCCATGGCTTCATTTGTTAAAGTGCTGGAGGAGCGGGCTTCGGAGTTGCTGATAGCTCTGAGTTTTGTAAAAATGCATGGCCGATATCTGAATTTGGCAAACACGCATAAAGTGCTGTGTGACTAAAGGCCTCGCTGCCTCACCCTTTCGCTTTGGAAGAAGGGAAATCAGGGTTTTGAATGTTTATATATGAGAAATGTGGCCCTAGAGTTATTTACATTTACGCACATGAAAATGAAAAAGGGGGAAGAACCTAACATTTATTTCTGGAGGAGGAGACGAACCTCATAGGGCTCATGCCACGAACCCACATCCTCATCATAATAAAAAAATAATAAATAGAAAAATTTAGATTTCACTCTCGATACCATTTACCGTTTTGAGCAAGTGACCATCGTTGGTGGGATTGGGTCAAAGAGAATGGCTGGATTCGACGAAGTACTGTCATCAATGTCTTCTTACCTTTCTATTTGCATGGCCATGCTATGAACACTAAATTAGGTCTACTTGGCCGCTATATGATAATAAAAGGCAAAAACAAAAAAAGCCAGCGCTAGATCGGAGACTGGCCGTTCTAGAGCGACGTGAACAGGAAAAACAATAATGTCAAGCACGCCCAGTCAAAAAATTTTTGAGCAATGTAGCACAAATCTTTTTTTGTTGTTGTGAGTCCCATGAAGGCAGGATGTTAAATTTGGACTGGGAAGAAGCAAGGATATTTGGATCATGGTATCAATGTCATTGCTTAACAAGTGATTTTCGAGCGAAAGGAAAAAGTAAGATAGTGAGTGGTATGTTGAAAGCTAAGAATAAATATCCCCCAATTATATACTACAAGACTATTAACTTAGTTACACGCCTGTAATTAGAGATTTTTTTAGGTACGCGCAACAAAAACTCATTCAACTCAACTCGTCCATTAGCTCTAGACGATTTTCATCTTTCTCTTTTTCTCGCCCCTTCCCCTCTCTTTATTATTTTTCTCCCCTTTTCTACGCACCCGCCCACTCCTTAACAACATCTTTTTCTTCTTCTTTTCTTTTCTCACTTTTCGTAGCATCCGTCATATAAACCCAGCCAACTACCCTTCTTCCAATCATTTCGTCGATGCGATCATTCTCGCTCCAACTGCTACTCGCCTTGGTGGTAGCATGCCTATCACCGGCAGCTCATGCCTATTTTGACACCGGCGCCAACACTGACGCAATGCCATTCATGGATGGAATGGTGTCCGTCAATCGCAATGACACCATCATCTACTATGGCGGAGAAAACGCTACCACTCCTTACACAAATCAAATGTACGCCCTCAGTAACATCCTTTCTGGTTCACCTACCTTCAGCAAAGTTCCACAAACCAATGCTGGCCCTAATATTCTTTATGGCCAAGCAGTGATTTCATCTACTGGCCAAACTATGACGGTTGTTGGTGGAGCTAATCCTGCCTTTGCTTCCAACGCTACGTTGCCAATTTTCCAATTTAATTTCGCCACAAATTCATGGTCCGTTGGAACCACAGCTGGAGCCGCTGCTGGAGGCCCTATGCCACAAACCCGTATGATGTTCTCTGCATCTCTTGTGAAAACAAAACTTTATATCTATGGTGGTGTCACAACTGATAACCTTGGTTACTTCAATGATTTCTGGTCTCTCGATCTTTCTACTACACCATACACCTGGACCAACTTGACCACTACTGGTTTGCCCGTTCGTTATGGTCATGCTGCCACAGTTCTCACGTAAGAAAAAGAAAAATGTCAAATATTGGATGCTTCCTTTTTTCATGTTGCCAACCTAACCCACGTGTTTGATTTCCAGCAACGGCCAAATTGTCTTCACTGGCGGTGTCACTATTACCCAGTCAGGCGGAGCTTTGATGGATATGTCAAGCGTTTATGTGTTTGATACCGTCAAAAACGCTTGGCAAGTCAACCCTGCTAAATCTACCGGCAAAGTTCCGTCCAGCCGAGCTGATCACTCTGCTATTTTGACTGCCGATGGAAAGGTTGCCGTGTTTGGTGGTGATAACAACCAGCCTATCTGGGGTCGTCAATACACTGCTGAGGTCGCTGTTCTCGATCCTTCCACATGGACATGGACCACTGTCACCAGTTATAACGGTGTTGAGCCAAGTCTTCGCTCATTCGCTTCTGCTCAACTGTACCAAAATAAGTACATGTTGGTCACCTTTGGTACGACGAATGCACCATCCTGTCGCTTTTTTTTGAGTTCTTTCATAACTAACCTACCATTCTCCTGCAGGTTCTGCTGGAAACATCAAATACAACGATATCAACCTCTTCAACCTCGATTTGTCGAACCCTCAATGGATTGACTCGGCTTCCGATACTGATGATAATTCATCTTCTGGAGTCAGCACTGGTGTTATTGTCGGTGTTGCCGTCGCTGGTGGCGTCGTTGTCTTGATCATCCTCTTCCTTCTCTGGAAGTTCCAGCGATATATTCGATTCATGGTTACCCGAATTCACTCTGATATTTGGAAGCCTCGTGTTGGTGAACCCATCTGGGCTGAAACCACCCGTCTTACTTCCCAAGTCATTTTGTTGTTCGTCCTCATCTTGTTGTTTGTTTTCATCATCCGTCAAGTCATCGACAGCCCCAATGTTACCCAGACCATTAACTATCCCGCTGCTTCGGTTGATGTCCCAGGTACAAATTTTCGTCTAAATATCTATGATAGCTGCATTACTTTGATTTTAATCCGCTGCTCGCTTTTAGATATCCGCTTCTGCTTCGATGGTTATTCCACTTACCCCAGCGCTATGGACCCCCGCAATCCCCGTGTATCTTGCACTACTGATGTGGGTGTTGGTTGCAACCAATATGTCCAGCAACTCAACATGAGCGTCCACACTCCTGTTTTCTCCGATCAACTCGGCGAAGTTACTTGCTACTTGTTCCGTGGCGATAACTCATTCGAAATGACTGGCTCTTCTGGCAACAACAACGGTTCTCACATGATCTTTACTGTTTATGGTGATAAGACTGTTCAATACGGACGTGTTCACGTATCCCTTTGGCCCAAGCAAATGGATCCCAACGTTCCCATTTATAACCTTCCTGGAAGCAATTTGCTTAGCACTCAAGATATATCTAACTGGCTCAACGACGAACGTAACGACATTCAAGTAGAGAACGTTTACGACTTTGCCCCTAACACCTACAACACTCTTCAATATCAAATGATCAACCATCAGTACCTTCAATCCGCTGGATGGAACTATGTTGGCTTCTTGTCCATTACCAACTCCACTCCCGAAATTGATACTCAATTCCGTCAAGAAAGTGCCAACCCCATGTACAACTTGACCCATCTTGATCTTGGTACTTTTGTCGTTGCCCCTGCTGCTTATCAAACCCAAGTTTTGAAAGAATACAAGATCTACAGTCTTGTCAATGCTCTTGGTTTTGCTGGAGGTGTTGTTGGTCTCGTTTTTGGTCTCCAAGCCTGGCTCTTCGGTTACCGTCCCAGATCTCCCTGGGGTGTCGTTCATCGCTGGTCTGTTGGCGACATGAAGAAATCTTTGTTGCGTGGACTTCAAAGCAACTTCAAGACAGAAGCTGGTATTCCCCTTGTTCACCCTGTCCACAAGCGATTCTCTCAACAAGGTTATACACCTTATGCACCTTACGAAGCCGATCCTGATCGTATTAGCAAGGTTGAAGAAAGAATGCAGGTTTTGGAATTGCTTTTCAAGGCATACTATGTCGATGACGAAGTGTTCAGATCGCTCGACAATGCCAACAGACAAAGCGGCCAACTTGGTCAAGCTCCACAATATCCTATGAATGAGAAACTCACTGGCCTTGCCTCTGCTCAAGAGCACGACAGCAAGCGAGACAATAGCTTTAAACATATGTTTAGACAATCTTCTGGTAGTCTTAACAGCGATACCAACTCTCAGCGTGGCTTAAACCATGTTGCTCTTCATGACATGCCTTCGCACCACTGAAGTTTAGCTTTGTGAAATTTCTACTAGTTTATTTTTCTTTCTCTTTCTTGATCCTTTGAATCCCCCAACTTCCTCAAACATCTAAACCTCTCCTTTTCATATCATCAGTTCCTCTTTTTCATTAGTTTTTTTTTTTCTCGGTATAGAAGCCCAATCTTTTTTTCTTTTGGTTCGTTCAATGTATTCCCACCTCCCCCCTCTAACGAGCTTTCGAATGGAAGGGTATGCAAAATGTGTTTCTACAAAACGAAAAAAATGTTGAAGATGAAAAAGACGAGAAATATAGGAATGGTGAATTTAGTGTCGTCTCGCAAGAGATGTGATTTATAGAAAATATTTGAACTTGGCATTTTTATTTTGAAATAATTCACAGTGTCCATCTCGGAAAGCATGAAAGAGAATTACGGTGATTTTGGGATTGCTCACATTTATCTTGATGTAATGATCGTCAATAAAGTGCTGTTATCTACTTTGTCCCGTTATCTTTTGCAATGACTCGATGAATTTTATCCATTTTTGTGTGCAAATACTTATAATTGGCAACCAATTTGTGGTGGCTCTCTTTTCCTCTACTTTTCATATTTATTTGTAATAGGAGAACAAAAGTTGCTGTAAGAACTTCAAAGTGGGTCTTCTAATATCTTCGCCATGGGCTATGTGACCTCCTTTATCGTGTTACTGCTCTTATCAACCTGGTGTGCGGAGGCTAGTCTCGGAGAAGACTCTACATCTGATGCACCATCTGTGTGGCAATACGTTGTAATTGCGCTTTCCCTGGCATTTGCATTCATGACAGGTAAAGTTGACCTTACTGACAATGCTAACAGTTTTCTGAATTAACCAACTTCTACTCCAGTCATGGTGTGCTTGCAAGTCGCAAGGTTAAGGCGGAGAAGCGAATTAGTGGAGCAAGGCATGCGCCCCGTAATTCATGTTACGAGGTCCGGTGCAAGGGTCTATGCCCCTCTCCCTATACTCAGCGATGATGAACTCGAGCAGATAGCAATTGTAGATTATAGTGAAGAAAACTTGGAAGAACAAAGTTGCTCCATTTGTCTCGATCTTTTCCGACCAAAAACCAAGGTTCGCTTGTTACCATGTCGACATGCTTTTCACCCGATTTGCATAGGTATGTGGGGAATTTTTTGTTAGGTGGGAAATTGAGTAACTTGCAACTTATGAATGATTTGGATGTTGTAGATCCTTGGCTTACAAAACATTCGGCAGAGTGTCCAATGTGCAAACAGTCTTGTGTCGATCATCTTCGTCAAAAAGGTCTCGCCGACCATTTACAAACTATACGTAACACTCTTGAGCCACTTGCAAGCGACTCTAGGACAGACGCTACCACTAATGCTACCACCGAACCGCCCTAATCATTAACTACTATTCATGTTACTCTCCTCCAAAATGCTATATTGTATTCTATATTTTTAATCAAAGTTTTTTTTAAAAAAATAAAATTGTAAAGATTATAAGTTTATGCTTTACCGCACATAATTTTGTGCCTCTCCACTGGAACTCCACTCCATCCTGACACAAATTTTTTTTGGGCAGTCAGCCAGCCAGTTAGGCTCATCAGAAGTCAGACGGCCAGTCAGACTACCAACCGCGAACGTCCAAATCTAAACACTACACAATAGATCATGCCATTACCTGCACTAACAAGCAAAAGGTAGGATGTCATCTCCCTCCACCGATAGCCTCACTCCTAATATTCCATCTAACTGTAAATTACACACGTTACATCTCCTTCAGAACAGAGAATTCCGAACTGTCGCATAGACAAGCGACGGAATCAACAGTAAGTGTTACTTTTACAATTCAATCTGTTGTGTGTGGTCATGTCAAAGTGCAGTGTCTCATATTTCTAACGTCAGCACAAGCCATTATCAAAGTTGTCCTTCAAAGCATCACCATGGCAACCAGGCAATACCGCTGCACAAACCGCACCTTCTCCAGTAACGCAGAACAAGCCATCACCTGTGTTTGATCCTTTTAAGTTTGATTTTCAATATATAGCACCGGAAGGCGTTGTGCAAACGGATGAGGCACTGACGGAAAATGAACAGCTGGCGTCGATTGTTGAGTCCCTGCATGACACAAAGCTTAGCAATACCTGGGCACCTCCATCAAGTCAAATGCTAACACCGTCTCTAACCGCATGGGAACCTCGATCTTCACCATCGCATGAGTTTGAGGATGCAAGCGAGTTTGACCCAACTCTACAATACCATAACGGGCAATTATTGGACGTAGCCACCATTGAAGATATTTCTCGAATTTCTTCACTAGAACCGTCGATGGAAGAACAGACACGTGAAGGCGTGGATACCGATATGGGCCCTGAACAATTATTACGAGCTATCTTTACCGATCTGCAAGAGTCTGAGGTTCAACAAGCTTTTGAAGCAAATCATTATGACATTGATGCGACAATGGAGTGGCTGCTCCAACGACACCAACATGGTAAAAATACTCCACCTCCAGTACTAAGTCCGTCACCGCCAAAACCAATACTACCTACTGTGTTCCCATATCAACCACATCACAAAAGACAAGTCTGTCGACACTTTTTGGCTGGGGAGTGCTATCGAAAGGATTGTTGGTACTCGCATGAACTGGAAGCTAAAGTGTGTAAATTCTGGTATGTCATTCATTCCTTCTTGTGTGAGATCCGATCGAGATAAGGGCCATTTAAAACCAAAAAAGCTGACGACGATCCATGACAGGTTGCAAGGTTCATGTCTCAAAGGGGAAGATTGTGAATTTAATCATCATATTGATGTTGAAACAGCGACTGCCAAATTTGCTCAGGATACCCGAAAAAAGCAACAAGACATGGTTGTCATCAATGACGAAGAGTATCCAGATTTGAATTCAGCACAGAGTCGTAAAAGAAACAACAATCAACACCCCCCAACTTCAACCACCATAACAATCAGTGACGACCATGACTCATTTCCATCATTGGGAAGTCAGACAAAGCGATCGACCAAACCCATCATTAACTTTGCTACTGTGGCCAAGAAGAAAGCCTCACAACCTGTTAAACCCAAGCCTTATTCCAATTCAACAGCGGCGGCTGGTATACTAAAGACACAAAAGGTCACTGGTGGTCCATTAACAAAACCAGTGGATTTACCATGGCTACAAACGGGAAGTCAAGTTCATCATCTTTACATGGAGAAGCGTCAAGAGGCTATTCAATGTGGTTTGCTGCGAAATCGGTTGTTTGCCAGAGCATCTTCTTACTATCTCAAGGGTGATGGCGCCAAGGCTCGAGCTTATAGTAATGAAGCCAGACGACTCAACAATGACATGCGTGAACTCCATCGCATTGCATCACAACAAATCTTTGAGCAGAGGAATCAGAACGAAGCTTATCTTGACCTTCACGGTTTACACGTGGAAGAAGCGCTATCATTACTAGAACAACGGCTTGATACCCTCCACCATGGCGTCCTCTATGTGGTTACTGGCACAGGGCATCATAGCACTGGAAGAACGGGTCAACTCCAACCAGCCGTTCGCCAATGGCTCGATCAACACCAACCTTACCCATGGGCAGAAACGCATATACGAGGTGATTCACGAGGCGGTGTGTTTGCCATTGGAATTGATCTGCAATCTCTCTAGTCCGAGTATAGTAGGTCTCGAGTTAAATCAATGCCGCACTGGTCCCCCCATGACGCACATAAGCTGGGCTTGAAACCCTGTCCTTTTTTATTTGATTCGGCGCTCTAATCTTGAATTTTGGGGGGGAGAGGAGAGGGCATTGGAGGGAAAGGGGAGTGTGAGCAGGAGAAGAGGAAAGCGAAAATAGAGGAGACACACCCGCTTGGGACTCGCTTTTTTTTCTTATATAATTTTGTTCTATTCTGCTCTCTCTTTTTCTCTCTTACTTGTACATCATCTTTTTTCCCCTTTCAAATCTTTCATATCAACTGTTATAACCAACTTCGATCCCAATACAAACCAACATATTCATGGCTTCCACATTCACACCTCACTCTGACGATGCAATAGTCATGAACACAAGTCGAAAAAACGCAACATCCAATGAATCCAACTATCTACAGTCTTTAGATGCAGCGGTAACTTCTTTACCTCCATTATCGCATCTACTCACTTCAGAGCAACATGAGTTGGCTGCCGCTGCAGCTGCCGCTGCTGCGGCTGCTGTGGTTACTCCTGAACAACAGCACACATCTGTACATTCTCCATTATCCACATCTTCCTCTGTAAATAATCTTCCTCGGTCGTTGGCTTATGTCCCTCAACAAACCAATGCTGCCATGTATTATACACAATCACCATTAGTTCCCCCTACTATCCCTTCAGCGAACATGATGATGTCCTCACAAACATCACATCCCAACGATGTGTTCCATTTGGATCCGCAGTTCCTGCCCTTGGATGCCACTACCACATCCATGGCCACCATCAACCCTTACCCTTCCATTGCCCCAAGACGTGAACGGAACTCCAGTGTATCCAGTACTGCTTCCTCTGATACCAACAAAGTATATTCATTTGTGGCCATCCCTGGAACCAACCAAAAGAAGCGCCCAAGACGACGATACGACGAAATTGAACGATTATACCACTGCAACTGGCAAGGATGCTCCAAAGCATATGGTACTTTAAATCATTTGAACGCGCATGTATCTATGCAGAAACATGTAAGTTGAAATAATCGGACGTATATTACTGTCACTTGTTAAAAGCATCCAAGATTGACCTTTTTTTCTCCTCACTCTAGGGTCCAAAACGATCACCAGCAGAGTTCAAGGAAATGCGCAAGGAATGGAGACGTCAAAAGAAAGAAAGAGAGGCGGCAAAGAAGGCTGCAGATGAACATATGAAGAAGGAAATTATCCATCATCATCAACAACAGCAACAGCAACAACAGTTTGCTGTTGCTGCCGCTGCTGCTGCCGCTGCTATGCCATTACATCCATTGCCACAGCAACTTGGCTCATATGGCATGACGCATCATCAAATCCCTTCACACGCTTCTCACTACCAACCCATCAGCATCTCGCCGAACTATGGCATGTCTCCAGGATTACCTGGTTTTTACTAAGAACCACAGGGCTTAAAAAAAATTGATTTGTAAAATTCAACTCTCAAACCACCAAAACCTTTTGCAAATACCTTGCAGAATATACATATTTTTTTTTCTTTCTCTTTTTGCAAAGAGCCCTCTCTCCCTGAACGATCCTGGTGTAATAGATCATAGACGGATGCTGGTCATCAACTCCTCCTCTCCTCCTCCCCCAACCCCCCAAATATCTGCTGTATAAAAAAAAAATTACCCATCACCATCAAATATAACTTTTGCGGTCACTAAATGCCGTACGTAACGCAACTCACAAAACTCTATTTAAGATTTCTGGTATTCCTTTTCGCACCTGCTTATTACTAAATTATAAAACACTGAATAAAGTGAATGATTGAATACATCTTATTATGAGACGCCTCTCAATGCCTTGAACGCCTCTTCAAAAAAGCTTATTTACATAAGGGGGGATCGACTAATTGCCTGAAAAAGAGATCCCTGACTATGACGTACAGACGTGACTGTGTTATGTTTCAACCCAGTCAAATGACAGCCCCCCCTCTGTGTTACCGCAATATGCGTTGAGCCAACCACAAGCAAAACAAGCTGTACAAAAAAAATCAAAGATAAAAATAAAAACACTCGCTCATCATGTATGGCAACCCGGTCATATGAAAGTTATGTCGGTGCAGTGCGGCGGTGTTGTGCCAGGCGATGCCAAGGTCAGACCGTCATCATTAAAAAAAAAAAATTTTTTAATTGTCAGCTGTAACTCGGTATTCTCGGTATGGTCTCCGAAGGACGAGGGTACCCTTGTATTGGTGATAAGGAGATAGAGAAAATTTGAGGCGACAACGTCAAAGCGTAGAAGATATTGATCAATGTTCTAGCGTATTCCTGGATTTGGTTTGGTGGTGTATGAAAAAAAAAAAAGTGGCGCTTTAGAACCATGATCGTCCCGCAAGCCCACTCCTTTGCGTTTTTTGGTTCAGTCCCCTTGCGCCGCTTGCTTATATCAATATGAAACTTATCTCTATCTGACAATGAATTTAATGGATAGGGTCCGTGTGCCCTCATTGCACCTTAACTCCTACACAGGAGCCCGTCCTCTCAGCTTACTCATACAACCTTCATGATGAAACACGAAAGGCTTGTTCAAACACAAACATGTGTCCAAGGTAATGACAGTCCATTTGGGCTTGTGCGAACGCCACCACCATTCATTCGCAACCTTTACCAATTTACTGGAAAATGTGTGTGAATTGAAAGAAGAGTTATTTTATCGACAAAATTATAGAATCTCATCATTATCCGTGAGTTGTTTGTGCCTGACTAGCCATATCAGTAGTTGCCAAGAACTTTCTCTCTGCAAGCAATAGAAGTTCATTTATGCAATTACTACTAGTATTCGATTTTGGAAATTGCATAATTTACAATAACATTATGCCGCTGGTGGTAACCGAATTAAAACTAGGATCTTTCGCGACGAAAGATTAGAAAAAAAAAATTCAGAACGCGTCATACAAACTATCACGTCCGCTTCTTCCAGCGACATGGGCTTCTCTACCGCTGACTTCTCAAAACAGTATTCACACAGATAATTTTGGCTGGCAATCTCTGATCCAAAATCGCTCCTGACGCACCATTCATGATGAACAGTTAGTGTAAAATTGACACCATCTTGAAATGAAATCGCGGGTTAACCTCGCATAGGAAAGCAGCTTGAGTGAGTAATCATGTCAACGCTGTCTGCGTAACCACTGATCCATCGATAAATGTGTTGGTAGTAGCATCACTTGAAATGGAAACATAAACTACTTACAAATTCCAACATTCATGCCAGCGGTGATCTGCACCAGCACAAAAGGGTCAAAGTTGGGCTTTTTATTTACTTTGCGTTTTATTTCAGCAGCAATTCTGTAAACAGATGCAGAAGAGAGAATCAAGACATGTTTCCCTATGCACATTACATAGCAAGGCATCACCATGACTAAACATTACACAGCCGACAGAACCTTTGAATAGGTGATGATGTCTTGCTCGCATTTCATTCCTACATCTATACAACTTCTGAGAATTTATCTTCTTGTAACCCACCTCCTAGTAATTCACCTCCTGGTAATCTATCTCCTGACAATCCCTTTCAACCATAATCTCTAGATATACGCATAATAGGCCTGCTAGCATTCAGGCTGCTATCACTACTAAGAAAGAATTCAAAGATGTCAGCATAAGTCAAACTTTAAAAGCTCGCAACCCACTGCTTTGACCAGATCGGAAAGTTGGAAGAACATGCTTGGGACTTCGTACAGTTTACCGATCTGAGACGACCTATATTTTCTTCCCATATGGAGCAAGTAGATGGTCCTACTACGTCAAAACACTGCGAGACATTAAACAAAAGCAACGAGCTTGAGGTCGGGTAGAAGTAGAAGTAAGGGGTTTAAGGTTTGAGTCCGTTCCTAGTGATACCAAACGAAGTATCGCCTTTAGTAAAAGATTGGCAAACCGGAACATCCTCCAATGGAGGACCCAGGTTGCACCACCAGTTTGAACAAACTTGGATCAAGCCACTCTTTACTGATGAAGGCCGATAGTTTAAGATATGTCTGAAAAGAGACATATGCCTAAGAATTTTGTTGTGGAAAGTAGAGTTATAAGGAGAAATGTGTTGTAAGTGAAGGTAGTAATTGAATAACGACTGCTTAAGATGGCTGTGAGGTAGCCTCAAAAGTAGCTTTGGAGATTTTACTTGACATTTCATTAGTCGATGTATTGCATCTACAGTGAGAAGTCCCTTTTTTGAAAAAAAAAAAAAAAACCTGAGTGGCAACTTAAAGAGCAGCCCGTCTCCTTTCTTGGCTATATTTTGTGCGCTTACGCTCAAATTTAACAGCATTAGTGACTCATTTTCTACCACATGGAACATGTGGTAAAAGCAATCAATGCCATCATAGCCATGATCACTAATCTGATACTCTAACTACTTTTCAATCTCTATGAATCAGAAAGCAAAACCGAATTCAGAACAACACGCCTTGCGCCGTTTCAAAGCAAACAGCAGCTTCCACACCTTTACTCGACATTGTTACTGGCTCTGGTGTATGCTTCATACTGATTCTTTCTAGGTCGAATAGATTAACGATACCATATACTAAAGGTGGGTGCTAGGGAATAGCAAACGGCCGAGAAGTAGACCACATGTGGAACTTTAGACGACACCATGCTGAAAGGAAGATAAGGATTACTGTAAACGACCGCTATCACGCAAACAAATTTCCATCCCGCGACCACAGATTGTAATATCAAAACACGCTTTCATTTTTACATTGAACAAAAGATAGGCTTACATTAAATGCCAAAGCCAATGCGACTTCTTTAGTGAATATCAAACCGCCGTTGGCGTTGAGACCATCTCCGGTGATCCCATTGACTTCCGGGCTGGCGAGAAGGCTACAACGTCTGCAATCTCTTCAGCGGTCGCAAACGTTTGACTGCGGCATTTTTCGTAACTTGTCTCAACGCCTCAACGCATTCAGAAGGCTGCTGAAGTGCCATGTCAGTAGCCACAGGACCTGGATTGACGCAGTTGCTTGTAATGTTGTTGCTGCCGCCGCCAAACTCGGTTGCCCACACGCGAGAAATCGATTCCAAGATTCCTTTCGTTCCAGCATACACTGCTACACCGTGGAACCCGTTTCGCGCGCCAACGGATGAAATGTTAATAATGCGTCCGTTTTCTTAAAGATATGGAGAGCTTTCCTCGACCAGAAGAATGGGTCCTCGCACGTTGATATTGAACATGGCTACGAAGTCTTCAACTTAAATCTCTTCCAGAACTTGGAATATGCCAATAGCAGCATTGTTGACAACAATGTCAATTTTACCGAAGGCTTCAACCGTCGCTTCAACAATCTTCTTGGCTCCATTCACATCATCAACGTCAGCCTGGACTGATAGCGCTTTACTGCAGGCGTCTTGAATTCGTTTGCCGATGGCTACTGCACGATCCTCTGATGAGGTGTAGTTGACAACGATAGAGGCACCTTGATTTGCCAATACATTGAAAATGTCGCACCAATCCCATGAGTTCCTCCTGTGACATAAGCGACTTTTCCTTCCAGTAGTCGTGCTTGCATTTTGAAGTAATACAGTCAATTCCAATGCTTCTGATTCTGACTCAACGTATTGCCTACATATATAGTATTCGGGAATATGGTGAGGCATTATTGATGCAGAAGTGGTCATAGATTATGTGGAAATTAGAGAGCAAGAGGGATACCGACATCACGGGTTAGATCTGAGAAGCTGACGACTTGCTTGAATATAATACACTGGATAAAGTGTTTGGATGGATTGCGTGGAGCCAGATTTCCAGAGGTGGATACTCCAAGCCAATAAACCCAAATTGAAAATTTTTCTGCTGCATAAATTGCTAGTGCAAAGTTATTGTTGGGCAGGAGCCGCGTTGGATATCACAGCAACTCAATCTAGTCCTGTGTACAGAGAAAATTGTGGACAATGGGGTAGCTCCATAGAATTATTTGCCAGTGTTGAATGTATATAGCTCGTTTGATAGAAAGTCTAGCATGAGCAGCCAAATGACTGTACGAAGGGCTACCGTAAGTGACTCAATATACGATTTCGCTTATTGTTCCGATCGCTCCGTCATGCCGACCAAGCCTCGTACTCTGGGCCGATACCTACGGTGTGTCACTCCGAGCTGTTTCATGTACAGGAGGCATGAGGATGCTTGATATAACCGGGAGAGATATTTCCTCGCTCTAGCTTCACTTAGCCCCATGTAGACCCCAGAATCATAGTAAAAATTAGAATACTTTGGGTTCTATCACCGTGGTCTACTAATTATCACGTTATTCACTTCTTATACCAGCCCCGCACCGTCAAGCCAGAACTCCTCGTTGACCTTTCACCTGCTTTACCTGATCTTACACCTTTGTGTGGATCGAAAACGCAGCCCTGAAGGGTACTCAGATTCTGATGAAAGCAAGTGTCTCGTTAACCTTTGGTGTTATTCATCATTGATGTATACTGTTTGTTATGAAAAGAAATAAAACCGGTATATGATGAGTATCTATACTGAGTAAGCAACCGTTCCAATTTACTCTTGTAGAGGAGTACGTATTTGCATATTGAACTCGGGAACAGTAATGTAAACCATCAAACCTTCAAATCCATTTGCTTTATATAGTTATTTATTGTAGTTTATATATCTTTCAACATAGTACAGGTAAGATATCAATTCCTGCGTACCCATTTATGTAAATATCAAACCACCATTGGCGTTCAGAACATCACCAGTGACCCACTGGCTTCCAGGACTTGCAAGGAAGGCTGCGACGTTGGCAATTTCCTCAACTGTTGCGAAGCGCTTGAGAGCAGCATTCTGTACAGTTTTGTTCAGACCATCCAACACCTCAGCAGGTTGCGCAAGCGCCATATCAGTTGCTACGGGACCTGGGTTGATACTATTGCTTGTGATATTCTTGCTACCAAATTCATGAGCCCATACGCGGGACATCGACTCCAAAGCCCCCTTGGTTCCAGCATATATGGATGACCCAGGCATTCCGAATCGTGCGGCAACAGATGAAATGTTGATAATGCGTCCATTTTCTTGCAGATGAGGTGCACTTTCCTTGACCAAAAGAAGAGGACCGCGAACATTGATATTGTACTGTCTATCGTATTCATCCAGTTCTACTTGCTCAACACCTTGGAAAGTTGCTACGGCGGCATTATTAACAAGGATATCAACCTTGCCAAATTCCTTGACGGTTGCGTCAACAATCTTCTTAGCTCCATCCACAGCACCAACATCTGCCTGAATAGAGATGGCTTTGCCTCCAGCTTCAACGAGGGTTTTGACCAAGGCTTTTGCACGATCCTCGGATGAAGTATAGTTGATGACAATAGAAGCGCCTTGCTTTGCCAGTATATTTACAATAGCTTCACCGATGCCGCGAGTGCCGCCAGTGACAATGGCAACTTTTCCTTGTAGTGGTTGAGTAGTCATGATTTCTTTGATGTGGGTAGATGTGGGTAGATTATTTTGTAGATGGATAAGGTGTAGTATAGGGTATTATATAGGTTTGAAAAAATCAATGCATCCACGCATTCATTATTAATTCAGAGCATACTGCCGACGGCCATTAATACGTGATGATTTACGTAAAATCGAAGGCTTGAAGTTTGAAAGCAATGGCGTCGTCACAAATATTATTAATGGGATAATCATCTAATTTTTGGACAAACCGGCAATAAGCAACACTTATCGCCGTTCCTGACTAAGCGCCTTAGAACGTCACCTTGTGTATTAATTATTTCTATCACTTGGACCAACATCGGCACGGAACAACATGACCCGACCAGTGCAGCAGACACTCAACAACATAAAAAAAAAAATTTGCTGAAAACCGCTCCAAAGATGAAATGCAGAAACTCGAAATTGGCCTAGGACCCACATTCTCATCTGAGAGATGAAAAAGATCCCTGTAAATGGGCCAGTGTACCAGGTCTGAAATGCATTCACAAATTGCTAACGGTAGGAACTGAGCCAAGCTAGTGTTACACATAAGATTCTAAATATGGGGGAAAATGTCGACGATACTGATCAGCTAGATCATGTAATAACAAACTCTTCATAAAAAATGGTAATGTTTCGCGCAACGACCAAAAATGTATGATTACCCAGAATCACCAGGCTGCGAAACTGTCTCACCCACTAAACTCATGCCATTCTGTAAACCCCCATTCTGTAAACCCCCATATTCCCCCATATTTTCAGGAAAAAATCGTCACAATGGTGTCGACAAAACGTCGCCAATGGCCTATGACTACCGGAAAGAGAGGACACAATGATTGTTATATTTTGCATTTTTGCAAACCTTATTGATGAGAGCTATCTTGCGTCAAGAACATAGGAATTTTGACATTTTACAAATCTCGGAAAGCAACCTTCACAAGTACTGCCTACTCTAGAAAATGTATTCAACGAAATTTCTCTTGCTTCCTTCATAGCACCAATATCTGCTTGAACTATTTGACTACCGCGTGCAACTGCGCTTTACTTCCGGAATCAGTACAAGTTATGACCATGACCATGCCCAATAAATGTTCCAAATACGCCGACAACTGTTTCACTGACGCCTGCGCTACGTTAGGGACAATCATTGCGACCCTTAAGCGATGAAAAAACCTCATCATCGCCGGTATTAATATTTTTTTATATCGATTATATCAATTTCGTTGTAGTACTTGGTGGATAACTGACAAGACACTACTGCTTACGTGATTTGAACCACCCGAAGTGTGCCGTATTCAGAATTTTGTTAAGGTGCACAGTCAGCCACCTCTATAATAAGGTCGGTCTGGAGTAAATGTGGTTGATAATGACATTGGAAAGAGAAGCGCACGTTAAACGTTCGACATATTCTCATCAGGCCATTAGAGAATGAGTCCTGCATCTGGCTGAAGATGTGCTGCTCGCCTTTTTGGTGCAAATAATCGTTTTATTCGGAGAGGCAATAAACTCAACACTTACCCAGCTCCATTCTGAAATTATCGCCACCAGAAATTTTTTGTAAGAGTAGTTTTCAGGGCCATTTCATATAGTCTCTTGACTTGTCACTAAAACCGGCTTGAGTAGACACGAAGCACAAGAAATCACTATCATCTTGTTCACCTGCTAGGGAACTTTGCTACTCTTGATGATGTAGTACCTCATTTAAGTGTCAAAGCACTTCATAGCAGAATTTCGTGTCGGTACCTGAGGCAAAACGTCACTTACCAAAGTTGAGGCATGCAAGTAACGTCAACTATCACACATATGATCAAATTCAGCTTCGCTTTAGTCGAGTTAATTCGTTCAGGCGTCTTCCGAGCAGATTGAAATCTTCTTCCAATTGACATTACAGTAGCTTGATCAGAATATACGATCGGCCATTCGAGATACATTGGGTTGTGTTGATTAGCTAATTATAAAGGCATAGTCATTACTGATTATGCTGTTCAATACAAAAGTGATATGAAGTAATAACGAAAGCAGTTTCAGCAATTATATTACACAAAACAAAGTTGTCATTGTTCCAACATCAAAGAGGTCCGACATAGCTCAGACAATTTCCTCAATTGTATTTGATACTGTCAGATGAAGGGGGAACCTTTTTTTATTATTATTTTAGCTGGAAGGTAGACACAGCAGGCCGTGGAATATCATCTGCTAGTTTCTCTTACAGGAAATCGACTTGTGAAGTATCAAACTGTATGCATCACAATAGTAAATTCTTAGACATCTCGTGCAAAGTTAACTTTTTAGCATATTGCAATTGGAATGTCCAATCATTCTATTACGTGCGTAGGTTCCATAACAAGACTAGAAGCAATGAATACTGTTTGTAGGTATCGTTGGCTTTGGTGCACAACTCCTTTACCCCATCACTGTAATGTTTAAATTATGACAAAGACGGTAACAGGCAAGCGACAGCAAATTGATTTTTTGCTAGTGATATCGTGTACGATAAACAGATAGCAAGAGGATGGGAAAATTGATATAGTATGTCAGGGTCAAGCTTGCCCTTAGTTGCCAATATTGCCTGTATATTTGTGCGCGTGATGCAGGAATACAAACACGGAAAGGTTATGTAAGTATTTTGATTGGATGAATGTATGTAATATAATGCAGCGTAGATGGATTAGGAAAACCACTTGTTATGCCACGAATGTACTATCACCGTCCATGGCCATTAATGTGGTTCCTAGCATGAATGGTTAAACATTGAAAACGGAGTATTGTACATTATCTATACAACACTGGTTGGTGGACGCACCGACGACTGGACTTTTTTTGCGCATAACGAGCATTTCATGTGGTCTTGGTGGCCATTGTGGCAATCCGCACAAGTCGTGTTGTCAGTAACAAGGAGTCTTGAAAATTGGATGTGACCATTCTTGTCCCTGCACATTTATCTTTTATTTAGTTGTTTCTTGTATGGTGCTCAATAGCACCATATGAGCTTCTTTATAACGAATTACAAATCCTACTGAAGGCACGATTGTGATCTACAGTATAGACGCCACGAAACGATCCGTTGATTTCTTCAACTTGGTTTTATGTTGGCATTTTTAAGTTCTGCTTAACAAAGTGAGGCTGGTTTACTGGATTAGGATAGTTGACACGATTTAGAATCACTAGATAGCGGTGGAAAGTCAATATAAGCGCAAAGGCTGACTGGTAGCAGCGACTTGCGGGATTACATTTCCTGGTAAAATGACAGGTTACGGAGACGCAGGAGTGCAAGGAGTAAGGCTCGGGTACGTTGGTTAGAATGAGTTTGATCAGCCAAAAGCAGTTGGTTAGTTGCTTCAATCCATTTTTTCTCTCTCCCTGGGCTCAATCAAACATGGCTTTTGTCTCCTGGATCGAGGTCAAGCGATTTCGTATTAAAGCTAAGGTTTTTGAAAACCTGTTGTCTTTTAGACTGTCCTATTTTCTCTAGTCTTCCTTTACTTTTTTGTACATCGACTTGATTTACTTTCTATACTTTGATTTGTAAAATAGACATGGCACGTCGAAAATTCATGATCTGTATGCTGGTTTTTGCCTTCATAGTTGCAAGCTGGGCAACACCCTTGCCCAAAATTAAGGCCAAGTTGAGTGCAAACGTCAAAGCCGGCAAAGCAAGAATTTCATTGAGTGTCGATTTATTTTCTGGACTCGCTACCTGGTTCACTCCCAACAAAGGAGGAATAGAAGGCGGTCCATTGGGTGAGTAATCGACGTGTAACTGTAGCGTATTTGCTTTGTCCAAAGCATATGATTAACATGTCTTCCTCCCGCTTGTGTTTCTCCCATAAACAGGAGCATGTGGACCAAGACAAAGCAATGATGATATGATTGTAGCATTGGTAAGTAAAGAATTTGTCAGTCAACCAAGGTCTAATACGCTAATACCATTGCTTTAAAGAACGCTGCCCAATATGGTGATATGAATAAGAAGAGCAAACACTGCGGTAGAAAAGTTTTGATAACCGGGCCAACAGGCAAAAAAGCGACGGCAGTTATCAACGACGCATGCCCGGGTTGCAAAAAGAGTAAGTTGTTGTTAAAACAGGTTGTCAACAGTCGACCATGACTAACCTATACTTGATTTGTGCATTCCAGATTCCTTGGATCTTACTCCCGTGGTGTTCAAGAAATTAGGCAGCTTGAATACTGGCATACTGAAAATCAAATGGAAATTCATCTAATTGGAATATCTAACACTCCACTCCTTCAAATACCTTGCCTATTTATGTACTCTGACCACGATAAGACTTTCTGACCCCAACATACAGTATAACAATGCCATCCAATTTTTTAAGCATGACTTTTTGCCTTATTGTGATATCTTTTTTATAATTTTCTCCATCGAGATGGGAAGCGGAATATGAAATGGATTGACCCGCTGAGCCTGCACCGATTTTCGTCTGCCGCGTGCCTGCGTGAACAAATCTTCTCATTCACACACATTATTCACCACTCTGCATCATCTTCCCACACCAAAGGTATTGCCTTGTTGAATGAGTTGGCCTTAGTTTGATTCCATTGCAATAATACAATATTCCAATATAGACCATTAATTACACCTTGGCGGATTTGCTGCATTCCTTATAATGAACGGTAAACTACTGATTTCCCTCCCTTACCTCCACCCCACAATCTTGCATGATTGCGAAATCACGTAGGCCGTTTACCGATCGCAGCATGCTAATCGAACTTTTTCTCCCCCTTATTTGAATTATGCCAGGAAATGCGAATTATCTTGACACAACGCAACTTTTTGGATTCCCATTGAGCGATTATGGTTTTGGCTCGGAAACAACCGGCCTAGAATACAGCATTTTATCAAATATGTTGCAGTCTCCCGGCGAGCTGCCAGCAAATTCGGATGCTCAATCTACGTCTAACACGGCAGAGACTTCGCCATTAGTCTCACAAGCGTCAACCAATACTGCCAATATCTCATCCCAAGCCGGCGGAGCCGATCAAACTGCCATGGCCATCGATTCTTCTATCTGGCCCGATCCAAAGCCGATGGATACACCTTCAAGTATAACATCTACCTCTTCGCCATTTGCTGTACCTCAAGGATCGCCCTCTGCTGGTTCACCACAGCAACAAAAGCCAACGCACTACGCAATGACAAAGCGAGATAGTGTCTCATCCTCTGGAGGAGGTCGTCGTAAAGGCGGTAGTGGTAACACTCCTGAAGCGGTCTACGCCAGTGTAAAGCGTCCTTTCAATTATGCTGAAGGTTTTCATTATTTGATTCAATACGTTCGAGACAAGTAAGTAATATGAAACGAAAGGCAAATGCCACTAGCTTTCTTCAGCCGCCTTATTATAGTCGAACCCCGCAAGTGGTTTTGGCTTTATTATTATCAGTCTACTCATCATTTTATTACAGGATGCCTCGTGAAGACCTCATGAGAATTAGTAGAGCGCTAGCATTATTTCGCCCGTCCTTCATTGCTCTCATTATGAACTTGACAGAGGAAGACCTTGTATTTATGGAAAAGTGCTTGCAGCGAACACTATTGGTATGTTTCAATCAATGACATCCACTGGCTTAACATACCTTCTTCTAACTATATTCCAAACAATTCATTTCCTTGATCAGGAATATGAAAAATTGATCAGCTTTTCCGGTACACCGACAGTCGTCTGGCGGCGGACAGGCGAGATATGCCTTGTAGGAAAGGAATTTTCTTTGTTAACCAATTGGAGCAAGGATGCTTTGCTTGGCAAGAAAAAGTACATTTATGAAGTAAGTTGGGTATTATGACCTCGATTGATCGCCAATCATCGAGTGGAATACTAAACTCTCTTTGTAGTTAATGGACAGTCAATCAGCCGTCGAATACTGGGAAAAGTTTTCAATGCATGCTTTCGATAACACCGAATCCTGTGCCTTCACCACATGTATCTTGCTTTCACCTACGAATCGGCCCGTGCCTTGCACCTTTTGCTTCTCGATCAAACGAGACATCTTTGATCTTCCAAGCGTAATTGTAGGCAATGTAAGTATCCCCCTTCCTTGCTATCTAGGCATGTTCTGCCGTACCATGGCTTTTTCTAACTTCACTTCTCTCCATTAGTTTTTGCCTATACTGAGTTAACTGGTTACGAACCTTCATTACCATTTGCATACATATTATCACTGTTCTTCTTATTTCTTCTCGTTGCTGTACATGTATACCAAACCACCAATTAAAATATGTGCTTGTTACAAGGCTAAAGTAGATTGAAGGAAAGAAAGAGTGGTGCAAGGTAATGGAAAGACGGGTGATAAGCTGCAGTTGTAGCATTAAAACTTTGACAGATAGTACTCACGTTGACAAAGCAGCACCCCAAATCTCAAACAAAATACCGTGATTCCCATAGTTTTACGTGTCTATGGACACTCATTCAACGGACATTGCTTGATTTGACATTTTTTAATCGAATGACATTGAACGCACCAATCAACCATTAAGAGTATGAAAGATTAAGCCTAGTGACATAACGCCATCCTGTGGCCGAAGTTGGTTTCAGCGCACTTTACGTCAGATTTTGCCCTGAGCAAAATCTTTCACTGGTGCGCTTCACAGCACCTCCGCAACGTCTCATGTCCGCCAGCCTCCTATTGGGAAAGTGTTGAGGCCACGTTGTTCGAAAAAAAAAAAAAAATGAGTCAGACAATGAGAGAGAGATCAGAGACAAAGAATCGATATTGAATGTGCACATTTCAAAGAACAGTATACACACTAGTGTGCTGGTCGATATGATAGATCTAGCTGTATTGTACTGCAAGTGAAGGGAATTCCTTGTGAAATGATTCCGTCGTACTGCGGTCAGTTAGTGGCTATTACAGTACCTTAGCAAAGCATATATTCCCTTTCGATACATGGCTAAGGAAATTGCCTAGTGCTCACCTTAAATGATTGTAGATCTATGTACATAATGCGTGATCGTATCATGTCTCAAACTTGTAATTACAAATCAAGATGTAAACGATATTTCTCCAATCTTTCTAACGCTTTCATTCAACATTGTAAGTTGATACAATTAAGCATATTCAGACAGATAGGCAGAGTAATTAAAAACATGGAACGACAATCAAGTTTTCAGACATGTTAGGGTGACTAGGAAAGCTCTGTTGATGCGGTGTAAGTTGCAAAATAGCTAAGGTACAAGTGAGTGAGGATATCTATTATAATTATGTTGTTCGCCGGCGAAACTATAATTTAGACAAGGACCCACTTGATATCAAGGATACCAGTGTCTGGGTTACCGAGCTTGTTGAAGACTGCGGGAGTAAGATCCAAGGAACCGTACTTGCACTCAGGGCAGGCATCGTTGATGGTAGCTTGAACGGTCTTTCCGTTGTGGGTGATGGCAACCTTCTTACCGCACCATGAGCTCTTGGAGTCAAGGTCACCATACTGAGGAGCGTTGAGAGCGACAATCAAAGAATCGTCACCTTCTTGGGGACCGCAGGCGCCAGTGGAACCTCCCTGAAGGGCAGGGTTGAACCAGGTGGCAAGTCCAGAGTAGGTGGAGCTGCTGCGGGCTTCGAGAGCAGCACGACGCATGGCACGACGGTCATTCTTGACAGAAGGAGGGACGACGACGTGGCTCTGAGTCTCAGGAGAGACATCGATGGCAGCAGCAGCAGCGACAGCTGCGGAAGCAATGGCAAGGGCAAAGGAGAGGATTTGGACCATTTTTGGTAGTTTCGTTATTTGAAATGAAGGAATGAGTTAAAGTGAAGTTTAGAGGTACGAGCCGGTCGTAGAGATTGTGATAACTTTTTCATCAACGCTTCATTGTTGTACCTTTATACCCCAACGAACGTCGGACTGTGGATATAACTCTAATGGCCCAGAACATGGTCGCACTTTTGTTTCACTGTCTCACTTGGCCCGAGTATCTGAGAATCAAGTGATATGCACAGATTGCTCTCGATCATATTCAATCAGATTCGAGGTCCCTTGTCGTTAATTGTCTTCCGCATCCACTGAGCTTTGGTTGGCTTTCAAAGAGGTTGCCACATTGCCACTTAAAGAAGTCATCATTAGTGTTACTCGCTATCAACAATACCTGAATCTTCCTAACATAGTATTCCCGTACCCTTCCATTAAAGTAATTACCTGCCATCTATTAGGCCCCAGCTAAATTCAAACATTCATCAAATTAGCTTTTCTTTATGTAAGTCGCTAGTAGAAGCGAATGGTAGAAAAAAATTTTCTCAATTTTTGGAAATCAGCGTACTTTTTTGACCGTCCGCTCTCGTTCAGTCTTGGAAATGACACCACGGCCCCAGATCACCAGACGGGGGGCCCTTGCAACCATGTGTTCCAAAAGCCATCAATCGTTGCGATACTTCATATAAGATAGCCATATATTACGTTCAATAAGGAGAACTAATGTTTTGGAACTAGATGTATACTAGCAATCATTACCAAGAAGATGTGACAAAAGAACACTTACCTTTAACATTGAAAACTTTTCATTTTTGACGTATGCAAGACCAAGCTGAACTTCGGGCTTTCGACTGTCAGCTTTGGCCAGTTGCTAGTCTCTCTGTATCTCTTTTCCTCGTCTCCGCTACAATACCAGCACAGACATCAACGACTAGCTCGATCCATCTATTTTGTGTCTCGAAATCAGTTGCGTGATGGTGTTTGTCGTCAAATCTGAAGGTCTAGTCCTAGCGCTATCGTCTCTTGGTCGGTATCGGTGGTTGTGGTGGTTGCAGTGATTGTACTCACCATGACTTTTTTGGCTCGATGTGCGATTGGGCCCGCTATGGTTTTATGTCGGCCGTGCTTTATGACCACCGTAGTTTATTGTCACTGTGCTGTATGGACCCTGTGTCTCATTACCCCCTGCGTTTTGTGGTCTCAGAAAGATGTGTCGCCTTACTTTATAATACACTTGTGCTTTATGACTGTTGTAAGGTATGGTAGCAGTGAATTATGACCACTATTGTTCATGACCGCTGTCACTTACGGTCGCCGCGAGCTAGGACCACCGTCGTATATCGCCGCTAGCATTTTTCCGCCGTCTCGTTTGACCGCTGTCGCTCATGGTATTTATCACATATGAAACGCACAAATAATACCGAAACCAACCGATGTTTCATCGTTGAAAGTTCGCAGATTGATACTTTGCTACGTAGCATCCTGATTGTGGTATTTATTGTAAGAAATTTCAAATAGCATGTAAAGCAATCAACATGGGTTGAAGGTTATACTTTGGTAAGAGGAAGGCGAAAGGACTGCGGTAGGGCAGGAGCAAAAGAAGAAAAAAAAAAAGAAAGGAGGCAAAAAACAGAAACAAGAAGACTATTTGTCAACGTCAAATGAAATCTTTATCATAATTGATGTATTAAAAGGTAGTGCCTTCGGCCGGTTGAGGTAGCTTCCTACCTGCAGTAGCCATCTCCCTGAAGAACATATCAATGTTAGATGAAATAAAATCAAATTCAAGTTGCTCTTATTGAGTTTCTCTTACCTTCTAAGGTCAGTCAAGACAGTTTCAAGAGTATATGCCGTTCGCCAGTTAGCCAAACACGAGAGTTTAGATGAATCGACCTACCAGAACACGTTTATCATTCCGTTTCTACATGATTCAAAATAGCATTACATCACTTTGACTAACCTTGCCATTCGTATGGTTCACACATGGGAGATTGATCTTGGAAACAAATTGTACCTGAGGTGGCTCGTTGGGGTATCTTTCGCCGCAGATAACCTTTAAGCTGTAAATTCTATTTTCGTGTACGCTCTATTCAACAGACGCTCAGTGTCAATGGCTTGGTAAAAACACTCTACTACTCATATAATGTCACTTACATGACCAGGGCCAAGAATAGTTGCATGCCAGTTATGCATCAGAATGTCATCGTCGGCGAGACCGTAACTGCAGGTTCCATCTCCAATACCCTTCTCGCCCTTCTCAAGCTCCTCCAGTAATCGAAAGTTTCTAGGCACTGTATAGTGAGATAATTGTGTTAGGTGTGGTAGCAAGTCAAAGTTTCAAAAACGAGGCAAGTGGAGCCATTTGTTGTAAAATGTCGAAAAGCATGCGCATATAGCTTATGAGTCCTTCTGTCGTAGCTTTCTGATGACTTTTTACTACTTTACGTAAGGATATAAATAGAACTAGAGCCGCTTCGCTGACATTTCGCCTAGACAACAAGTCAAGGGACTAGACGAGCAGAGAAATGCCAACAAGTTTCGTTGATTCCAAGGGGCCATCGGCATATTGTGACTACTCGCACTGTTGCGCAGCAAGTTGCATTTTAAGTAGAGGGAACTTTTCAGAACGAAATCTCTTACCAGTCGCCATGGATATATACGCTAATCTGTATTAAAGCGAGTGGTGTCGCGCCTTTGTACGGGAGAAACAACAACAGCCTGACCCTCACAGCGGCAAAACTAAGCAGACATGTGACCTCAAGTTGGCCGCAGTTGCTGAGCCAATGAGAGCCTTGGAAATGCGCCTGCTTCGGCCAATAGAAATCATAATTGACTCATTACCAACACTGTGGTCGAACGTATGTTGAGGAACTTTGCTTCTGACATGTCCAAGGCCACTGCCAGATGGAGCTCTCTTTTAAAACTATGCTAACTGCTGCTCGCATGCTTTGAGGTGTAGCAGCAATATATTTATAGTTTCGATGACGAATAGGGCAAGGATATAAGTTTGAAGAGGATGACAGTAGTCAACATATTGGCCACACGCTGCTGTATTTTTCATAGAACTTTGCGTTGTCTTAAGACCTATTTCGACATTTTATTTTTCAGAGGTTTGCGTTTTTATTTTGTTGTCTACACTTTGTATTGAGATGTCATTTAAAATAAAACAAGTTACATTAAATCCAGAGCGAAGCTTGCTTCTATCCCGGTCTACTATCACAGTAGCCAGTCAATATTAATGAACCTAAAATCATGCAAGCCAGACGAATACCTACGACCTCTGCCAATACCAGGTAAGATTCCTAAAAATCATATAAACAGTTTCTAACGCCCATATCTCGCCCTTCAGACTCACCATTCAATCCTAACTGTTCTGTAACAATCGGAACAAATTAATCTCTACAAAAATACAGACCATAGCCAATCTGTTTAGTTTGTGATAGTAGTATCGAACCAATCAAATTGGCTCTCAAAATACATTCAATCAATTAAATTCCTTTATGACTTTCCGATAGCCAATTAAAAATTTTAATGGAGATATAGCAGGCCAATCACCATCTACGATCAAATTCGCCAATCAAAAAGGCAAAAGGAAACAGCCCGACGTGGGGGTCGAACCCACAACCTTGTGATTAGAAGTCACATGCGCTATCCAATTGCGCCAGCCGGGCTTTCGATATCTTTGTTAACTTTTTAGTCATTATAATATGTTGTAAATTATTTTTGCTGCTCTACTATACCAATCAAGGCATTCGTGCTAAATGAGCTCTTCGCGTTTCATGGAGCACTCGCATCTTTTGAAGCATTGCCAAATATTTGATGGTGTGGGCATGATTAGAGTTTGGGCTGAAGATTTGACTATCATTGTAGATGTAAGGTCCTGAGTCTGGACGTTGCAAAGAATTGAAGGTATTGAGGTCAAAGCACATAAATCTTGGCAGTGAAGGGACGTTTCGAAAGTAGGTTAAGGCTCGTATTAGATACCATAATAAATTGTATGTATTACTGTTATGAAGTTTCCAAACTGATAGATTTCCGGAACAATCGTATGGCGGCACTTACGTATTGATTTATAGATTGTAATGGAGACTGTAAATGAAATCTCGCATTTCGTTTTATCGGGATTACATATTGTCATGTTATTCAGCTTTTTAAGTTTTAAGTTGGCTTCAATATCAAGGACATTGAAGTGTTAGTGTTATAATTCTTCTCGAATGCAAATTATGCTTCCTTTGACAGAGTTTCTTTTAAATCGTGGTTTTGGTGCATGAAATTATTCATATTTTTCAACGTTGATTACTTGATGGTAGCTGCAGTGATTTTTACTTTTGCAAAAAACATCTGTGGAGTGATTGAGAATAATATGTTATAGGAGAGACGAACAGGATAACTGAAAATATTTTTGTATAATGTGATAACCTACGCTTATATGAGTCATTTTTCGTAAGTTGAAATTTTTTTTTTTTTTTCAAAAAAAATCTTTTCGGACGATGAGTCGTATCAATCAATATATTTAGAGAGATTGAAAGAAGAGGTAATAGCATGTGGAACAGTTTTCACCGTAGCATAAATTTCGGCTGACGATTCCAACAAAGCACCACAATCAATGTAAAAAGCTATGTGCAAAAAAAAAAAAAAGGTGGTTTCTTGATTCATTTAAATATCGGCTACTGTTTACGCTAGCTAGCAGTGAATGTTGGCATAGTCTGTTTTTACATGATGTAAATGAGCGTCAAGTTAATTAGGATTGTGTATGATCAGATACGTTGAATTAAAACATATATGTATGCGGTACTCACCATCAGAGTGCCAGTCCTTCAAAAAAAAAATACGAGCAAGGATACGGATTGTGCAATTAACGCCGGATTGTTTTGAGACGTACGCGTTTATAGCCTACAGCAGCTATTCTTTAGCATTGCAATCATATTTGATGTTCAAACGTAAAATCACTTACTTTTAGTCATTCCGGAAACCATGAAAGATACACTCTTGCTTATTTGAGACGTACGCGTTTATAGTCTACAGCAGCTATTCTTTAGCATTGCAATCATATTTGATGTTCAAACGTAAAATCACTTACTTTTAGTCATTCCGGAAACCATGAAAGATACCACTCTTGCTTGCGCCGCCTTTTAAACACATTTTTTCATGTCCGTTGATCAATCACTGATTGATGTCAGTCACGGCATCACATCTAAACTCATTCGACAAGAAAAAGGTGGTTATCGACGTATGAATGCTAAAAGGTT